CATATAGATCACCAAGAGTAGCAAACGTAGCACCTTCAAGCCTTAGGACTGAAACTGCCATCGGAGATATCTTTTCAACTCCTTAGACTCAGCCAACCCTGGCGTTCAGATGAGCGGTCAAAGAGGCGAGAGGTTTCTTCAAACAGGGTTTAGGGTTTAGGGTTTTAGGTTTAGGGTTTAGGGTTCACCGCCGTAAGTAATGGGTCGATGCTCCTCTTACATAGTGTTCACTTAGTTAGGCCTTTCACGGATGCTTCTGTATCCTCAGGCCAGGCTTACATCTTTCTGGTATATGGACTGTGAGTGTGAGGGCTTCGGCTTAGGGGATCCCATCGGCAGGGCTTTGTAGGCTGAGAGATATTTAGCTCCCAGGGCCACAAGTCTAAGTTTAGGGCTCTTCTGTAAACAACCATTCCCTAAGACCCCAAGTAAACAAATACTACCTACTTTGGGCTCCAAAGTCTCTAAAGTCCATAAATGGCACCTATTTTGGGCCATTTGGAGCCGTTGGGATTCGAATCGAATCAAGCAACGGAAGCCTGAATCGATAGGAAAGCGGGTCAATCTTGCACTGTGGATTCGAAGCCCAGGGCCCTCCCTGTGCCTGCAGTTAGGGGTGCATGGTCCCTCGTAGACTCGTAGGTATTTTAGGGTCCGTAGATGAATGCTAGAGCTAGGGATGTTTCCGTACTGAATGATGCTGTACTTCTGTTGTCATCCAGAAAATCCGGTAGATTCTACATAGTTAACCCTAAGAGTCAATGTGCAGTACCCGTATAGTATCCGTATGAGTACACGGACTCTCAGACATGCGAGCGACATGAATACGCTTTAACATTGATCCCTCGGGGACGGGCTGTGGTGAAAGGCTTTCGGATTCTTACTTAGAGGATCATGGGACTTAGTAAGTAAAGTTATAAGTACCTTAACTGGGGTTATAAGTAGTTATAAGTATAGCTACCCTAATTATAACCCTAGTTACTAAGTCCCATGATCCTTCAAGTCGGCTACCGGAAATTGACGTGCATTCGCACCTGTCTGCGCTGGTGGCACAGAGTCGGGTCCCGCATCAAAACTCCGAAGGGAAGTGCTGACCCTAAACCTGAGAAACCCTAACCCCTGTATCCTAAATCCTAAAGCCTTAAACCCTAAACCCTAAAAACATCGAACCCATGCTTGAATCAGAGGCCCAGCTGCTGATTTGGGCCCAGACGGTCCGCCGTCCTCACCCCTCAGCCAAACACCCCCTGAAAGCCTTCTCCAAGGGTCCGATGGTCGTTAGTTATGGAAATTGGGTACACATACAATAATGAGTACTTGCTGTTTTAGGCAAGACTTACCAAGAAGAGGGAAAGCCTGCTTCTTACGTAAATCCTTCCACGCTCCAAACACCCCAAACTCTGAGCTCTAAGCCCGAAACCATAAACAGTGAGCCACAAGCCCGAGGTAAACTCTATATCCCAAGCCCCCCACCCCAAACCCAACCTTGAGCTTAAATCCCATGCCCAGAACCTGTTTTGAGTATGGGGCCTGCTGGCGCCTTGAGACGGCGGGCACAGGCCGGATGTCTGGCTTTGCTTATGTCGATACGGTTTCGAGGCGGTTTAGGGTCTAGGGTTTAGGGAGGTTTCGTCGTATTGTCGTATCAGGGCCTGAGACGCAAACCCTAAACGCTGACAAGGGTTTCGGGCTTATGGGGCTGAGCGATGGTGTGGCACTTACAGGAGCCCGAAACGGAAACCTAAAGGGATCTGTAGGACACTGTAGGGTTCCCTTAAGGGCTCCTTCCAAGGATCTATAGGTTTCCTTAGACCCTAAACCCTAAACCTAAAAACCCCTAAACCCCGAAACCCCTAAACCCTAAAAACCCCTAAACCCCTAAAACCTAAACTGGGAAGGTTCGAAGCGGCTTCGTAGGTTCTGCGACGGAGATAGACACCCGCATGTGCAAAAAGGGAAGCCGAGAACTCTTAAACCCAGAAGCCCTGCACATAGAAAAAGCCGACGCTGAGCCCGAAATCAAGCCCCGCATGCAGAGCCGTCTCGACTTAGTAGTATGCTTAGATTGACAAACTTTCGGGTCGGAATAACAGACAACAGTCATAGCAAACCCCTTTAGTCTGCAAACAGTTTGATTATGAAGGCCCCCAGATTAAACCTTGAACGACGAAATCCTCTCCGGCCCACCCGAGCTCAGCTTGGGCGTGTCCATGACCGTGAAGATTACACCGCTCCTGAATGCACGGCCCGGTCGGAACCCCATGGAAGGTTGAATTCAGGCTTGGAGGGGTGTCTGGTTCCAACAACCACAAGTGCTGAACCCTTAACGTGCCCGAAGTTACTTGTTGGCAGGTGTTTCTTGTATAGTTGCCCATGGCTCAAGACCCTCAACTTACTGTATGCAGTAGTAACTCAGTAGTAGTTCAATGTTCAGGCTTTCTTTCGTGCTGGTTCACAAACGCTCACAGTATTTTGGAGTGGTAAGCTATTTCGTCAGAGTCCCTGGCATATCTCCTATATCAAGCATAATGCACCCCCAAACCTTATGTTCATCGTCAAGGCTTCTATGTCGCATGAATGAATTATGTCTCGCTTCAGGATTCGGCATTTGCAGATTCCCAAAAGGCTCCATGTACCCGTATAGTAGTTACTTAGGCCTGAAAGTACCTATATATCTATATCTATATATATATATATATGTGTATGTATGGACTCCGTTAAGGTTTAAGTACCTACTATATGGGCACATGGAGTCTTCCGGATGGTTGTTGTGAATTCTTGGAGGACCAGGGACTTCGAAAGGAGGGTCACAAGTACGGTCGATGGGCTTACAGGTGGAGTTGCAACTCTAAGTAACCCTAAGGGTCCATGTACCCAAACAGTATATACTTGGGCCCCAATGTACCTAAATAGGGACTACATTAAGGCCAATGTATATACTATATGAGTACATGGACCCTTAGGGTAAGTACCTAGCTTATAACCCCACTTAACCCCTGATCCTTCAACTGCTCTGTGAGAAGTATACAGTGAAAGTTTGTAAGGGGTTGTTCCTTGGCATACAGAGCTCACGGCCTAGAAGTCTAGATATTTTTCGTTGCCAGTTACACAGTTGCAGCTGAACCTTTGGATTGAGAGTCTGCAGATTTTACTGGGGTGTTCGGCTTACACGATTGCTAGTGGGTTTAAATCTATGGATTTTCTGATCTTCTGATGGCTTTCCGGTGCAAGATCCGCAGCCCCAGAGCCTCATGTAACCCCAAACCTATTAATGGCCCCATAACCCCGGACCCTATATGCCTATAATTACAACCCTACACCCTATAACCCTATCATATAAAAAAAACAGCCCAAAAACCTTCTCAAAAACCCTATGACCCTAGAGTCATAGCCGTAAACCCTATAAACCTATAATTACATTACAACCCTAAGCCGTATAACCTTGTAATTATATCACTATATCCATCCTATAACTCTAACACCAAATCCACTATAAGCATATAAGTACAACCCAAAATCCATCATAACCATAGTATAACAACAGGCCAAAAATCTATAACCTTATAGTTGCATAACCCTAAACCTATTACAACCCTGAACCCTAAACCAATCGTTCCCGGCTTCGAATCTCGCGAGTTTGCGTGTGAGAAGGCCATTCAACGGTATCCCTAAACCATACGGCCAGCCCTAAGCGCCAATGCATCCACAAAGCAACCCCGGCTGTGAGATATGGGTTGTGCAACGAGAGTGCTTAGACGGAGGATCAGATTATCCGGCATCTACTTTGAGCTTTGGGCTTTACCTGCACCCCAGAAGTAGGCAGAATAATGGCCATCTATGGGTATTCTGCCATTAGTTTATCCTCGTTGGGGGTTTTAGGTCGGGAAAATATTTATGCGTCATAGCAATACAAAAGCCAGAAAGAAAATACCAAAAAAGCATGATATACTCGCGTCTTTATTACGGCTCACAAGCTCAGATTTCTCGTGGTTTCCACGCGTGTCCGCAGCAGCAGCCGTTGTCTGATGGCTCAGCTCCGCAGAGTTCGGGGGCTTACTTAAAGGATCATGGGACTTAATAACTAGGGTTATAATTAGGGTAACTATACTTATAACTACTTATAAGCCCAATTAAGGTACTTATAACCTTACTTACTAAGTCCCGTGATCCTCCAAGCAGGGTTTGGGGCTTTCCTGTGGATCCAAAGCCGTTAAGGGTTAGAGCCTCTAATTAAGGGGTCATAACCCACTATTTTGCAGGGTTTGGGGTCACAGGTTGCAACGGTTCTAGAAGGGGCTCTAGAATGGCTTGCATATCAAGTGGGTCTGGGGGGTCTTCACAATTAGTAGAAAGGTCCGTCTTCTAGCTGCTATGTAAGTATACCAACCATAACTAGTATACTGGGAAACTACTAGTGTTTTGTTGGGACCTCTCTATTCGGGTTTGAGGTCTGAACTTTGTTGAGGCCGCCGCAGGAGGCCGCTGAAGCCTAAACCAGAAACCCCCTAAAGCTTAAAGCCACCTGCCGACTACTGGACTTCCATTTCGATCTGAGCTTTGGCTTTCGGAGTACTCGGAGTTGTTTGGAGGTGTTCTGAACAATCTCCTCCTAGCGTCTGCTTTCACTACATCGGCACCCAAGAGTTATAGAGAGGGCTACAGACATAGCCCCAGGCATCTAAGGACTCATATATTAAGGCTTTTGGGCCCAAAGACCATACCATACAAGGCTTTTGGGTTGTTTTGATGCCCAGGGTAGGATCCGAAATCCGAGAACCCCAAGACTCTGAAGCTCGAAATCCATAGGCTGTAAGTGTTCAGGGTAAAGGGCGGAGGATCCTAGGTCTTCGATCGCAGATGTGAAGCGGATCCTAAGATCCCCAATATATAGCCAACCTTTAAACTTTCTGGGCTCTTATAGTTTAGTAGGAATCGGAAAGTTTGAACTTTCATTTCTGTGGTTTATCGGGGGAGTAGGGATCTGACAAATCGGAGACGCCATGCGCTCTTTCTGGCTTCTTCTGGCGCTCCGCTGCTGCGCCGGGAGCGTGGACGACGGATATGTGTACGAGGCCTCGACCGATCCGTTCTCCCATCCTCGTTTACTATAGGGGCCTTAAAGATTGTCGTATACCATTTGGGGGGCTTCCTTTATCCTTAATAAAGGGGTCTATAAAGAATCTGCAGGAGGGTTCTATGCTAGAGGGGCCTATATTATTACCTATACCATTTAGGATGTTCCTTATTATAGCTATATAGTATAGTGGGCCCCAAACCCTATTCTGATTATTAAGGCCCCTATAGTAGGAGCCTCTCACAGCGGCAGTCGCAATAAGGATGTTACATTTTGGTTGGCCTTAATGTAATCCCTGAAGGGGCCCCTAGCTCATGAACCAAGGCCCTTCCTAAGAGCCCCCCACGGAATCATGGTGTACCATGGAGTTCATCTATTCATGTATCCTGTGATCCTCTCGAAACAGCACTAACAAGGAGCATGGCGGTGGCATCGCAATGACCATAATTTGGGTAAGTTGCTCTCTAGTGCAAGGATGACCGGTAGCAGATGTAGGTGTGGCTACATGTGGGATGTTAGTAAGTATAGGAACGGAGGCAGTCACACGATGCCACTATGCACACTTGCAGCACTAGAATAGGAACCTTTAGCAAATCGGCTGCGGAAGGATCTCAGAGTTCTCCGAGAAGTTCTGCAGGCCTGTGCATTTCATTGCTTAGCGTTGGGGTTGAAAGTAGAGTCTAGGGCCTAAACGTGTGAGCAGTGTTGATAGCGAAACTATTCCAATTCTCTTCAAGTCTCCCTTCTGTCGATGCCTCCCTTTGGCGATAAACAGCAGTTTAACAATAAATGCAAGGTTCGAGTTTGGGTCTTTAGGGTCAGGAGTCCATGGCTACTAGGGGCCCGAAGACCGAATCGGGTCACTGAAAAATATTGACCGGAGGATTCGAGAATCCTTCACGAGGTAGGGCTTTGGGACATTTCAGATTTGCTTTTTTGGGCTGAAAGAGGATCTATGTCTCAAAGGTTTTCCAGAGTGCCCCTAGGGTAACTATAATTAAAACCCATACTCGGAGTCTTATAACTTCACTTATAACTGCCCTCGAACCTCCAAGTAGAGTTGTTTGTATCACGTCACCCTGTCGCAAAGAAGAGCCCTTTACCTCCGACCCGACAACCCTCATTATAGAGCTTTTCTTTGACAGCAGCTTGAGAGGGACCTCTTCCAAGGATCAAGGCCCCGAGATGAATCCCGAGGGTTCAGAGATACCATCAATAAGCAACTGGGCCCACAAAAGCAATCGCAGTATATATGGCCTCAACAATAAACCTTCCCTGAATAAACCCTAAACCCTTAAACCCTAAACCCTAAACCCTAAATAAACCCTAAACCCCTAAACCCTAGACCGTCTTGGAAAGCTTTCGCAGTTCCTTGGCGAAAAGGCCTTTCAGCCCGAAGCAAAATCGGAGAAGAGCTACGCTGAGATTTGCAACTGAGACGGATTAGGACATATAGGGCTTGTGTAGCTGGCTGAGTACGCCGCCTTTAAACTTCCGGGGTGTCGTCGTGCATCTAAATCATAAACTTCATATGCCCGAAACCCTAAACACTAGACCCTGTAAATTTAAAACACTAATTCCTACAGTAATCCTGCTGTGTTGGAAATGCTCCGCCTAAACCCTTTCTGGTCAGGGACTTCCTGAACTGGATGGTTTCACCGGTGTAGGATTCGGGGTTTCAGCTTCTACAGCCGTATTTTGCGCTTGAGGTTTACGCGAGGTCGGGCACTTCAAGGGTTGCGTATAGGATTCCAGCCAGCCAGGGGTAGGGTGCTGGCAGCGGGTCTTCCCGTTTAGCAGATATTTAATGGTATTTCGGGGCTTAGAGCTGGCATTCTAGACTCTAGATCACAACGTTTCCGGCAAGAGAGTCCTGATTTCACTGCCCTGCCTTGGTGACTCCCTAAAGGGCAAGCCCTTAACCCAAGATCCCCTAATTCCAAACTCCTAACCCCTAAACCCTCCACCACTTTCAGCGCCGCGGCCTGGAACTTCCTTGTCCAACACTAAGGGTGGTGACTTTTGTTGGGCAGCTATGGAGGGGACTCTTCCAAATCCTTACACCCTAGAGCTACATAGTATAATACACCTGTTTGTGCCTCACTAGATATACTGTGGCACAATAAAGAATAATACGAGACACTCCCTCCTAATTGCCCCAGCATGTCTGCCTGCACGCAGCCTTAGCTTCGCCGCCTTCGAAACAACCCTAAATCCTAAACCCTAAACAGCTAAACCCTACACCCTAAAACCCTAAACCCTAAACCCTAAATCCTAAACCCCAAACAGCGAAACCCTACACCCTAAAACCCTAAACCCTAAATCCCCAAACCCTAAACCCCCAAACCCGAAACCTCCCCAGGCTACGCCGACCCGAAAGCTTGACCTCAAAGAACCCCCCCCCCCTCGTTAGGGTTTAGGGATTTGGGGGTTTAGGGGGTTGGGGGTTTAGGGTTTAGGGGTTTAGGGTGAAGGGCTATTAGGGCTATTAGGGCTACTCAGGCTATTAGGGCTATTAGGGCTATTAGGGCTATTAGGGCTATTAGGGCTATTAGGGCTTAGGGTTTAGGAATTAGGGTTTAAGTCACTTTGGGATTTAGGGTTCATGACAGGGTTTACTCTAGGGGCCTAAATAATTACCTATAGTATTTTGGGGGGTGTAATTGAGGGTTCATGACAGGGTTTACTTTTGCCCTGGGCATCAATCAAAATAGCCCAAAAGCCTTACATAGTATGGTCTTTGGGCCCAAAAGCCTTAACATTTGAGTCCTTAGACGCCCAGGGTAGGGGCCTACATAATTGCCTATATCATTTGGGGGTTTCGTTATTATATCCACATATTGTAATGGGCCCCCAAACCCTAGTCTAATCATTGAGGCCTTTACATTATATTAGGCGGCTCGTTATTATATCTATATATTGTAATGGGCTTCAAAACCCTATTCTACTTATTAGGCAACCTCGCAGACAAGGAGCTGAGCCCAAAGCCCAGGTGAATTGACGGAAGTGACGTGTGTTCGAGTACAGGCTTGGATCAGATTTGGGTGTATCAGAATTGGAACACAGCAGCTTGATAATGTGTGGAGAATATGGTGCGTGTTATTGTATGACGAAGGTAGTAATATGTAGTAAAAGGTGGACTACCCTCTGTTCTGTATGGTACAGTAAAATGCGAATGTTTCGGGCCTCAAGCCTCCCCTGAAGGAAGAACGGTTTAGGGTTTAGGGTTTAGGGTTAAGCTGGTATCCACAGTATAAGGACGATTCCCCGGTGAAGAGGTAACTGGGGCTTTGAATTGGAACATGCTCCGATGCTCTGTGCCCTCAGTGTTCCATATTTAGGGACTGAGTCTTTGAGGTTTTCGGCATACCCACTCTACTTTCACAGTCGTCACTACTTGGAGGTCCATGGGCAGTTATAAGTGGGGTTCTAAGTCTCCTAGTATGGGTTATAACTTACAGCTATAGTTCCATTACTTGTAACTCTACTTATAACTACCCAAGAACCTCCAAGTATCTTCCGCACCACCAGCAGCAACATGAAGATTGACCAAGCCCTCATCACCATCGCCATCTTGGACTAGTCTGGCAGTTCTCGTAAAGATACACCTTGAACCATAACCGCAAACCCTACCCCTATAGCCCGAAAGCTGAATCCGAAACTCAGAGCCTGAATCTACATTCTACATATGGGAGTTTCCGAAAGTTAGGGTACCTTGTTTTGGAGTCCTTCTAATAAGGACCCTACTATTTAGGGTTACTACATTAGGATCCCCTATTTTTTCGGAGACCCCCATATGGCGACGCACTTGATGCTCGGAATCCTAGCACCTCAACCCTCAGCTTCTCAAAAGTGACTCAAATGGGGCTTTTCAGAAGAGTGTGAGGAGGGCGGCACTTCGAGTCTAAAGCTAAGGGTAAGCTCAGAATCCTTCTGGAACTCTTCTGCTCGAAGTTTGGGACTCTTCTCCTTGATTCTGGGACTCTTCTGCTTGAAGTTTGTTCAAGGTTTAAACCTGCAAGGCGAAATCTGAGTAGCTTAACTGAGCAGCTTATATAACTTGACGGAATCCTATCTTGAAAGTTCCCGAGCCGCCAACTCCGAGAATCAGCTCTATAGCTGCAGCACACCAAAACGATTTTGCAACAAGCTTATCAAGACCCATGTGTCATCAGAACCCTGAACCTTAAACTCAAAAGGATTTGATAGAAGCTCTAAAGTACCAGAGGGAAGGTTTACAACAACCTTAGCAAGGTCAGACCAGCGCCGGGCAAATCTGAGGAAACGCAGCCCTAAAACCCTGAGCACGAGCCCTAAACCCGGAAACTGTTCCTTGTGGAGGACCGGTGGCGAGTAAAGGTTCTGGCCTCTAGACAGCAGTCTAGAGCAATCCGGCGGTGTGCAAGAAGAGCCGGTTGTTTCATAGTTTATAGGATTCCGGTCTTACAGTTTGGCGTTGAAGGTGTAGCGGCTGACAGGGTTCCCGCGCCGCAGCTATAGGGTTGAGAGCGGGCCAGGGTTTTGGGCTCGGAATTTTGGTCTTAAGGGTTTATGGTCCTGGTTCACCACTATACAAGCCACAGGTTCTGCAAGTGGCGATGATTTGAGGGTCCGGGCTATTCGTAAGACTTTAATGCTTAGTCCATTGGTCTGGTGACTGCGACGATCTCAATTGGAGATGACTTGCATTGGTGCCGCTAACTTCTATAGGAATAGAGAGAACCCATTGGCAACGTGATCTTGATGAATCTGACAATAACTACCCGAGACCAACAACGTTCCGGGGCGCGGATAATTATGGGTGACTGCGCTCTTGCATTCCCGATGTGGCATTTATGTATGCCTCGGTCCGATTTGGCTGCTCGGTAAGTCCGTATAAGGTTATGACCATCTCCATTGGCTCTATACACGTCAAGGAGGTAGATCCTTCCATGCATCATGCGCATGCAGAACAAGGACAAACGGCATTTGCTCGTTGACTTCTCAGTCACCATCATCAGCAGCAACAGTTTGGTCATCACCACACACACACCGGCAATATCAACACGATTCTTCACTGCGGTGTACCCACTGTCTAAGGGAAACGAGTCGCATGATTCCCAGAAAACCCGATAAACCCGTTCCAAATCCTGAAATCTTTTGACACTCCTCAGCTGATGCCGAGGATCTCTTCACTTACAACACGGGTGGCATTCTCTCGGAGGCGATTTGCCACTCGGGCTTGAAGAAGCTGACAAGTAGGGCTTTGCAACCTGCCGCTGTACTGTAGTTGTAGTGCTAGAACCCCACGCCTCGCAGATTACTTTTCAATCCTACAGCCTAAACCCCTAATACACCTCATGCCTTTAGAAGATGCCACGCCGGAATTGCGATGAAGTGCGGTGTGGAGACGACAATTTCGGATTCCTCTTACAATTAAATGAAATAGCACGAGTAGCACTTCCGTTTTTGCTTAAGGTGCCCGAAAGGCCCACAGTATGCAACAGCGTCATGAGCGGTTCATATACAGCATGAAAGATACTTCTACCTGCCGCTTTGCACATGCTTGTTTTCGATTTGGTTTTCGATCCGAGGACTTTCCACCTCAGCCTGGGTTCTGGTTTAGGCTTGGGTTCCGCTTCTGTTCATTTACTGGGCTGGCGGGCGGCTTGCAAAAAAGAAGCAGGACGCCTGTCGAAGCCGGAATGCAGTGGGCTGGTGTAGAGCTGTAGCTTTTAACTTGACACACAAACAAGAACAACACCGAAAATACGATCTAGATGTCAAGCTGCTGCCTGTGTTTCAGTGGTGCTGCAAAAGGTGCCATGCTTGCTGCAGCAGGGTGTCCCAAACGGAACGGTTAAGTAAACGCATGACTGAACGCAGGAATTCGTAGAAGCTCAGGTTTTACCCTAAACCGTAAACCAAACCCCACACTGTCATGCCTGAGCTTCAATCCGCGACCCTAGACCAAGAACCCTAAACTCTCGACTCTGTAGACCCTCAACCCTAGCAGCCCTAAGCGCAAGAAGACCCTTATCCGACCCCGAGCCGTCAAATCTACAACCCAAGGCAGATTGACGTGGCTCCACGAGCTGCACATGAGCAAAGTGAAGGTGTTCAGGGTTTCGGCGAGGTTTAGGTTTAGGGGTTTGGATTGATGGTTCAGGTATGGGTTCACGAACTTCGGGTTTAGGGCTGGTGGCTGTTCCTAGCAAAAAACTAGGAGTTCGTGCCCGAAACGGTAAACACCAAATCGTAATGCTGCAATCAAAAGCGGTCAAAAAGCAATCGCTCTTTCTGTAAGCCCCGGACGTGAATGAAACCCCAAACTCCCCAAGCTCCCGAACCTTGAAATCATAAGCTGCTTCTAGCCTTCCTAGAATAAGAGCAATTATGCCCTAACTTCAACCCTAAACCGTAAACCCGAAAACTCTCTGATTCCGCTTTGCCTTTCATCCTTCAAAAATCCGAAGTGCAAACACAACCAGCAAAAAAAAGGACTACACCCTACAGCCCGCAAGCCCACTGGGCTGCAGTATAGGGGCCTTGATAATTAGAATAGTGTTATGGTGGTATAATCTACCCCTACCTATAAGAAGGAGCCACCGACATACTATCCCTATCCCTCCAAGGACCTCATAGTTAGGGCCCTAGACCCCTTAAGGACCCCATAATCAGGTCCCTGGAGGCATAGGGTATAGGCAATTGTCTAGCCGCCTACATCTAGGCTTGGTTGCAGAAGATCGGGGAGTCTCGAGTCAGACAGTCCAGAGGCCCACACCCCGACAAAGCAGGGAGACCCCTTAAAGGGTACCCCTTCTGAACCCTACTTCGGGCTCTCTTAAATGGGGCCTTGTTGAGAGGGTCTATATCCCCAAGGATCCCCCTAATCCGAACTCCCATAACCGCAACAAAACAGGGAGACCCTGAAGCCAGCAAGCTTTGGGGTTTGTAGGGTTTGGGGTCAGGGTTCATGGCCCCTCAACCCTAAACCTAAAAGAAACAACAGCAAACCCTCAACCTTACGCCCTAAAACCTAAACCCCTTCATTTCCCCCCAAACCTATGAACTTCAACCTTGGGAACCTTATTCCGAGCCCTGTAGTTTACAGTAATCTAGGAACTCCTCGAGAACTCTTAAAGAGCCGTTTCGAGGGTGTCTTTTCATGGCCTTCCGTTTAAGGATTCCTCTAAGGGCCTCTTCTGGGGTTCCTTTAAGGGTTCCTTTTTTCGGGGTTCCTTTAAGGGTTCCTTTTTTAGGGGTTCCTTTAAGGCTTTCTTTTTTGTGCCAGGGTCACCTGCCTAGCTGCCTTGGCGAGCTTCAAATGCTGCGTACATTGGAGCCTAGGCTGAAGTAGAGGCTTTGGCTTATATAAGGATTATATAAGGGTTGAGGGTTTAGGGTTTATAGGAGGATTTATATAGGGTTAAAGGTTTAGGGCTTTAGGGTTTACCTGTAGCCGAAAAGACCTACGGTTTTAGTGTTCCTTATTGTGATTTCGATATATCGTTCCTTAACAAGGGAGGTCTTTTCGGCTGCAGGTATGGGTTCGGGGTTTAGGGTCCAGGTTCCGGATTTACAGGTTTAGTGATACAAGTGATATGTTTGACGTTTCAGGTTTCTGTCGGGGTTCCTAAATAGGTTGTGTTTAGGCTTCTTTCGTTGTTTTTCATGAGTCCTAGAAAGGTTCTGCAAGCATGAGCCACTAGGGTTTGGGGCGCCCTTACTGATGCACCCCCACTTGTGTGCACCACGGCCAGCGCGGGCAAGCTTAGAAGTTCGGAAACCTATTGACAGCATGTCCCAGACTCCTAGACTCACCTTTTCACCAGTGCAGAAGGAAATGACCCCACAGCGTTAGATGTTTTTTCCCGATCTACTCCATTCCCGTGGTTTCTCCGACTACCCTACCCCCCCACCTTCAAAAGCAAAGCCCTAAAATCCAAACTCGTTTAGTTTTTATGTTTGTAGGGTTTAGGGTGTAGGGTTCAGGATTTAGGATTTAAGGTTTACAGGATTTCTAGAATTTTACAAGGTTTACCTTAACCCTAGATAACCTACCTTTTTAGGGCTCCTTGTTATGATTTCCTTATACAAGTCCTTAAAAAGGTAGGTTATTCCGGGTTGAGGTAGGGCTTAGTCTTAGGATTCAGGGTTTAGGGTTTGGGGTGTGAAGGATTCTAAAGATAAAGGGTTGAGGGTAAGGTTTAGGGTTGAAGGCCATAAACCCCCATGACTGCGCTGCAGAAAATTGTCGACAGCCGCGAGTTGGTGGGTCAACTGCCGGAGTCCGTGAGCCCCGGAGATGCAAGGCTTTCGAGGATTTTGGGGCTCCTTTCAAAGGAGGGCTATAAGGGTTCCTTTAAAGGGCTCTATAAGGGTACTATCAGGGTACTGTAAGGGGTTTCGGGGCTTAGGGGTTTAGGGGTTTGGGGTTGAGGGTTTAGGGTCCAAAGTTGCAGGCTCCGACCCAACTACCCTCTAACACACCCTGAATACCCACTATTAAGGATCAGAAGGGCTCCATTAAAGGGCTATTGCGGCGTCCTCGTAGGGTTTAGGATTTGGGCGTTGGGACTCTAGAAGTACGTGGCATAGAGTTTCGGCTTCTTCAGCAGGTTCGCTCGAGTTTGCACAGGGCTTGGAGAGTTGTGATCTGCCTTTTGGGCTTCTTTAGGATTCATTATACTAAGTTACTAAGGAACCCCAAATTAGTACTGGCAAATACTGAGGCCCCTACATTAGCTCACAAACTCCGTTTTGTTCGGGGCTTGGTGTTGGGGCATAGCGGGTTGCTGGGTGCAATGCTGCATCAAGGTATCATCGGAGTGTTTGGGCTATACCCTAAATCCTGAACCCCTAAACCCTAAACCCCTCAACCACTTAACCCCTAGACCCTAAGACCCTAAATCCCTGAACCCTAAACCCCTAAACCCCAAAACCCTCGGGTTGAGGTCGTGGCACATTGCTGAGAGCTTTAGTGCAGGTCCTTGCGGATGTTTGCCAACCACGACTCTACACAAACCCTAAACCCTACGAACTCTCAGTGACGACCCTTGACGACCCGGAGCATTTCAGCCAAACACGTACGCCTCCACGACCGCACCCCATGAAAGCACCCAATCCTTCAGCATTATCTCCTTGCTGTATATGATGTCGATGCTAGTGTTGATGGTGCTGGCGATGATTGTTAGCGTGATGCTGATGCCAACGAAGAAGAAGATGATGATGCTGTTGATGCTGGGTCTACCGATGATGATGATGATGGTTATGATGATGGCAATGCGGCTGATAATGATGGTAACGGTGATGACGAAGCCCCCTGATTCGTCAGGCTGCCGTTGTTTTGTGCATGCGTCTGTGTAGTTTCGCCGTTCTTATTCATCCACCCATCAACAGTTCATCCACTCTGTTGCAGCACACCCAGCGAACTTAGCATGTGAGTTGTGGGCTCTTGATCCAATGGTGAATACCGTTTTTCCAAAATAAAGGCTTGGTAGCTGTAGCAAATTCGAGCATGCTTCGCATGCTGTGGGTTTTCAGTCAACACCGAGACATCGGTCTATGTAATGACAGAAACTGGTAACCGCATAACCGTTGCAACTCATATCCAGTATTACATGATGCTTGTGCTCCGTAAGTTCAGGAACCGGCTGAACGATCAGACCCTACTATATCCGAGGCAATCTTAAGCATCTGGAGGGCCTGACCATTCGAGACGTCGGCTTCACAGGCCTCCACTCAATGTTTTCGCGGCATGGGCCTAGGGTTGTTCTCGGGGTGCTGCTGGTGTTTTTTGCCAGGGCCTCGGTGTTTCGCCGTACTGCAGACGTTCACATGTGGGAGCTTCCGAAACTGAGGGGTACCTCATTTTGGGGGTCCTTATAATGGGGATCCTACTATTTGGGAACTATATTAGCATTATTAGCGATCCCAGTCTGATGCAGCCACCAATTTGCTGAGGGCTACCCACAATGGAATCGATGACAAAGTTTGCTTCATAGATCTTCCACGCAAGAAGTCCTGCAGAGAGTCTTCTAGCTTCTTTCCGGCCTTCGATCTAGAGTTGAAGCCTTTCACTTTCAGGCTTCAGCTCCGAGGGGTGCAGGCTTGGGTTTCCGAGCCCTTCTGGAACTAGGATGCCCAGTAGTACGCTTATTCCCTTTTTGTAGTCCTAGGTTCCTTATAAAGTTACCCCATACCAAAAAGAGAGGCCTTTTAATTCTTAGGTTACTGGGTATCCTAGGGAAGACTACTTCGCAGATTAAATCAAATTGAAACCCGAAGGCTTGGTGCGAGGGGGCCTTGGAACTGGGCCGCCGACAATCAAAGGGGAAAAGGAGGGACCCTTAATGGGGACCCTTTAAAGGGATCTATAGGGGTTCTATAAGGGTATAGGGTTTAGGGTTTAGGGGTTTGGGGGTTTAGGGGGTTCAGGGGAAAAGGAGGGACCCTTAATGGGGACGCCCTACCCCATAATGGGCTATATAATGGGTATATAATAGCTATATTAAGGGTATATACCTAGGGGTCCTTATTAAGGGTCCCTCCTTTTTCCCTTGGAGACAACTCATGCGAAAGTCTGCAATTGCCCCTAAAGTTCAGCCTGAAGCCCTTAACCCCAAAGGCTTGATGCCAGGAGCACTCAGGAAAAGGCCTCTCCTTGCTTTCATCGAAGGAGTTTACGCAGATGTTGTGTAAGCACATGCATACATGCAGGATTTCAGCCGTGTTTGGACCAACCCTGCCTCTACAACAGCATGAACATCGAACTTATCATTTTTACATCCTAGGCTTCGCAGGCAGGGCCCACGTTCGAACATTGGTTTGCTTAGACATTGACATGGGTAAGAATACACCGTCTAAACACGCTTTTCCGGGCAACCCTGCTTCAGATTCGTGGCTGTCCATGACTGGTGTCTAGAACGTGGTCTTCTGGTTTATAAAGCTTAAGATGTCGCGCCAAGCTTAAGGGTATCAATGTGGGAGTTTCCGAAAATAGGGGACCCTAATGTAGTACGCTAAATAGTAGGATCCTTAATACAAGGACCCCAAAACAAGGTACCCCTAATTTTCGGAAACTCCCATGTGTTGCATTGGTCAACGCGGCCAAGTGCTTCACCTTAATTACACAGGATGTGCCTTGTCCGGAACAGCAAATCACAGGAACCTCCATCCCATCGATCGAATGCAGGGTCGTTTCCGCGCACCCTCTGGTCCCTGCCACGACTGCAGAAAGTGGATATTCAAGGAAAGCCTGCTGCATGTTGATATTATGGCTCTTGCGCTTCAGGCTCAGGGTTTTGGGGTTCGGACTTGTATGATACCGAGCCTTCAAAAGCCCTTTCCAACCCACTCAAACCCCACCAAAACCCCTAAACCCTGAAAAACTCTGGGATCCTCCAGAGCAATTTAAAACCGCTACGAGCAACTAAAGCCTGGGTCTTCACCAAGTGAAGTCCCAAAGGCCGGGCCGGTTCAGGTTAGGGTGTAGGGGGTTTTAGGCTCAGGGTTTTGGGGTTGGGGGTTTAGGATTTTGGGGGTTTTAGGCTAAGGGTTTTTGGGTTGGGGTTTAGGGTTTAGGATTTAGGTCTTAGGTTTGGGGTTTTGGGGTTTAGCACAGGGTTAAACTCGACTTCCTGAGCCTCTGAACCCTCCAAAGCCCTGAACCTTACCGCTTCAACCGAGTGAACAAGACTCAGGCATGAAACCCGGCACAGCTCCAACTCCCAAGCGTCTACAGCCAAAGGGTCCGAGGTACTGTTATGGGGATACTTCCCCAAATCAGAATAGGAGCCCCTGATATAGAAACCTACATTGTACTATACATGGACTTTGGACCCTTTGGGTAAGTAATGTCAATGTGAAAACCTGGTAAAGAAACCCTGTCCCCACAACCCCGTATCATATAGTAGGATTCATATAAGGAGCCCCAATGAAGGCCCAATGCTTCTTAATCAGGTTCCTACATCAAACCCCCCAAAACCCCTATAGTACCCTTATAGTACCCTTTAAAGGAACCCCTTACTTAAAGGATCATGGGACTTAATAACTAGGGTTATAACTAGGGTAACCCTATAGTAACCTTTGTAGTACCCTTTTAAAGGATTTTTTTATGGAACCCTTATAAAGCCCTAAGGCTTCTTAACCCAAAGGCTCCATTTACCATTATAGTATACTTAAGCCTTAAAAGGGTATATATAGGTACTTTAAGGCTTAAGTATGTGCTATATGGGTGGTTGTCAAAATTATGGTCCCTTTTGGGGGTCCTTATTATAATACGGCACCTATTATTTAGCGTACCCAAAAAGGTACTTGGAGGATCATGGGACTTCGTAAGTACGGTTATAAGTACCTTAATTGGGGTTATAAGTACAGTTACAGTAATTATAACCCTAGTTACTAAGTCCCATGATCCTTTAAGTACCCCTAAATCCCCCTTATAGGAACCCTTATGGATCCCTTTTAAGGAGCCTTATGGAGCCTTAGGAGTTCCAAGCCGAGGTACTGCACAGCTATCTCAGATGACCCTGGAGCTGTCTGAGGAGGCCCGGCCCGGGCCCGGTCGGTGTTCAGGGGTTCAGGGTTTAGGCTTTAAAGGGAACTCCAGAAAGTTGGAATATGGATCAATGGTAGGATCCCCTATAATTTACCATAGAAGGGTTAGGATAATCATATTCCAACTTTCTGGCTTCTACTGTAGGTTTAGGGTGGTTTAGGGTTTAGGGTTCAGCATGGTTTAGGGTTCAGGGTTTGGGATTTAGGCTTTAGTCTTAGGATGGTTTAGGGTTCAGGGTTTAGGATCTAGGCTTTAGTCTTAGGATGGTTTAGGGTTCAGGGTTTGGGGTTTAGTTTTGGGATGGTTTAGGGTTTAGGATGGTTTAGGGTTTAGGTTTAGGATGGTTTAGGACTTGGGATGGTTTAGGGTTTGGGTTCAGGATGGTTTAGGGTTTAGGATGGTTTAGGGTTTAGGTTTGGTATGGTTTAGGGTGTAGGTTTAGGCTTAGGGTTTAGGTTTAGGATGGGTTCAGGGTTTAGGTTTAGGATGGGTTTGGGGTTTAGGGTTCAGGGGTTTCCCCCTCCCCCTTTCCTGCCTGCGTCCCGGCCCCGCCGGTTGCTACCGGACACAGAAGTGCCTGCCAAAGAGGATCCTGTGCTGACCGCGGATTTGCGCAGTCCAAGTTGCGCTGCCTCTCTTGCTACATGGAGCCAACGCGCCCCAGAGCGGCAGTGGTGGGGGGGGCGGTCCGGGGTGGCGGGGTGGCAGACTGGCAGAAACTATTTTTTTTCTTTCCCATGTTTTTCATATTTTTTAATTATCCCTCCAAGGAAAAGCAATATATCGCATTTTCCTGAACATAGGAACAAATAGGAATAAAAATAGTGAAAAAATAGGAAAAGGTAGGTGGCCGCTGAGGCCCCCCCTCTACAACCCCTCCCCCCCACCCCGCTGGGCCCTCCCACCTCTGGCCTCCGTTTTGGGGCATCGGGGGTAGGGGGTAGCTTGCTTAATTATGCGAGTTATCGTGGCATTGCTGCTGTTGTGATTGTTCTATGGATGCTGCTGCTCATGCTTGTTTTGCTATTGTTTGCTGTCCTATTTATTTTCTACTTCTTCCTATTGCGTAATTTCGTTCCTATTTTTTCGTATCCATGATTCCTACTTTATTTTTTCTGTTTAATTGCTTCCTGCAATTCTGATGGCGGGCTGACGATTCCCTTACTAGAATAGACCCTACATCATAGGACCTGGGGGGGCGTTAGGGGGGAGGGGGGGTAGGGGACTTTACCTCCCTAACTAGGCCGTATTAAGTCCTTACTATGGGAATTGAGGCCCCCCACCCCCTCCCCCCTCAGGGTTTGCGGCTCGATATTAAAGAAAAGCTTGAGCACATTAAACAAAACTGCAAACCCTGAAGACCTCGCAGTATAGATACAGTACCAGGGAACCTCAGAGCAAGGGCATCGCATACATGCTCACTGGCAATAAACGCCCGACCGTGCACATCCCTAAGGCTCCATGTGCCCATATAGTATATACTTAGGCCTTAAAGTAGCTATATAGGGACCCCTTTGAGGCTTAAGTATCTACTATAATAGTACATGGAGCCTTTGGGCATTTTGTTGCGGGGCTATGATTTCGTTGATGGGGGTCTTCAAGTTCTGTAACTCGCCACCCAGAGCTGAACCCTAAACCCCAATTAAACCCAGAGCTGAACCCTAAACCCTAATTAAACCCAGAGCTGAGCCGATCAGAATCGGAAGCTGCAACTCGGATTTTACAAACCCTAAACCCTAAACCCTAAACCCTAAACCCTAAACCGTGGCTCGGCAGGTTGGTGCACTGTCTCAGCTGGAGTTCTTGTGGCTGACAAACGTGAAGACGCTTTGGCTTCGGCTTAGGGTTTAGGGTTTTTAGGGTTCAGGGTTTAGGGCTTTTAGGGTTTAGGGTGCTGCGTTTAGGGTTTAAGGGTTCAGGGTTGAACCCCAAGGGTCCCGGTACCTAATAATCGTATACTCTCCAAAACCCTAACCTACATAACTACTATCCTAAAACCGAATACCTGATTACTGGGTCCTGTGGACCCTATGGGTTAGGGCTGATAAACTTGAAGATGCTTTGGCTTCGGCTTAGGGTTTAGGGCTGATAGAAGCGAAGATGCGTGGCTTCTTGTCGTTGAGTCCTTTCCATGCCAACCCTCCATCCTCACAATCTCTACAGCCCTAAGTAAGACCTAAGCTGTTTACGACTTCGAAAAGTTTGATTCTTTGATTTGTTCGGGTTCCGGGTTGAGTTGAGGGAGGTTGGATGGTCTCACAAAAAAGCGCCCTAAAACCTAAACCCCTACAGTACCCTTTTTGTACCCTTATGGAGCCAATGAAAGGAACCCTTATAACACCCTTTAAGGGAACCTCAAACTGAGCTTGTGGAAGAAGAAACCCTAAATTAAAATCCGGAGCCCTAAACCCCCTCAGAGCCCTCAGACATGGATCCTCAAAGCCCAAACCCCTGAGCCCTGAAAAAGGGGGGTTGAGGGGGTGGGGCGGGGGGGGGGGGGGGGTTGGACAGGGCAGGCTTATGGTTCAAGGGATCAGGGTTTGGGTCTTAGCTTAGGGTTCAGGGTTTAGGGTTTAGGGTCTTAGCATGTAGGCACAGCCTGAAACGAGCCTTTTTGTTTTAACTATGCAGGCCCTTAGGTACTGGAAGACGCGGATTTGATCTGTTGGAGTGCCTAGACCCTGAACCCTAAACCGTGGGAAGGCGTGGGTTTGCCCGAGGTTCGGGATCCGCGAGTTGGTGCTGCGGGTTTTCTAGAACCAAATATGGGGCTGTGAAGGATGACTAATGTAGGGGCCTCACTAGTTAGAATATGGGTTCGGGAGTACATGATATTACAATTCATATAACAAGGACCCCAAATGGTGTAGGTAATTATTAAAGCCCCTATAGCAGGGGCTTGGGGCAGTTTTGGGTGTAGAGTTGAGCTTTACAGATAGCCTGCCAAACCCTAAACCCTAAACCCTTAACCCTTAACCCTTAACCCTTAACCCTTAACCCTTAACCCTTAAACCCAAACCCTAAAGGCCCTAAACGCCAGCACAGCCTGAATCACTAAACCCCGGACCAGAAAGAACGTTTAAAATCCTAAGCAATCAATCCTCATACCCTGGGGTTTGGGGTTTAGGGTCTGAGGTGTGGGGTTTAGGTTTGGGGGCTACTGCTGAGTTAGGGCGTATATGGGTAGTTGTCAAAATGATGGCCCCTTTTTGGGGTACCTTAAATATTAGGTGCGTATTATAATAAGAACCCGAAAAGGGACTCTAATTTTGACAACCACACATATACTAGGATGCCCAGTAGTACCCTTATTCCCTTTTTGTAGTCCTAGGTTCCTTATAAAGTTACCCAATACCAAGAACAGAGGCCCTTTTATTCTTAGGTTACTGGGTATCTTAGTAAATGAAGCACAACCCTAAACCCTAAACCCTAAGCATGCAGTCACTGGGTATCTTAGTATAGGCTTTGGCTTGACACCTGATCTTACGCTTCAAAACTGGAAGTGTGGGGTTGACTTACGGTTGATGATATGAACCTTGCATCACCCATAATAAGGAACATACCATGAATATACCATATTTCTCATAGTTACATATGGGTCCTTAATATGTGTAGGAAATGCAGGATATATATATATATATATATATGTATATTTATATAGATATATCATGAACAGTAGGAGTGGGAATGACTCGAAGATATGTAAGGAATCATGGGGCTTAGAACTAAGGTTATAAATCAGGTAACTGTGCTGATACGTACGCGTAGCCCATATAGCCTCACAGACCCAGTTAAGGTACTTAAAACCTTACTTACTAAGTCCCATGATCCCCCACGTATGGCTCAGGAGGCTCAGTCTCTCAGGCTTGGAGGTAGCTCCCAGATGTAACCGCAGTGGATTAAGCAGGTAACCTTTTACCTTTGTTGGGAAGTATAGTCCCTATATAATCCCTATAAAACCAAAAGGGTCAACCTTTAGTTCCCCATGACGCCCGACAAGTAGGGAATTAAGTACCTTGCATGCCTGCTCTTGTCAACCTCGGAAAGCCCTGCATGCCGAGCCTTATCAACCTCTGAGGGACCGACAGGCCTTCTGACGCAAGCCCCCGCAACAAAGAGCAGCAAAAGATCCTTCATCCGCAACTTCAAAGCAACCCTTTAAGGCAGTTGAAACATGTCATCCCAGGATCACGAGCCCTCTACCCGAATCTTTGGGCCTTCTCCCGCGGCTCCGAAAGCTTTACTTGACCAACACGCCCCTTGACTGCTGCATCTGGAGGGAGGGCTTTCGTTTGTTGCAGCCCTAACCTGGAATTGTTACACCAGGAAATAAATCACTAATGTATATATGTACACACACAGGTTTTAAAGGGTCTAGGAAATCCCTCAACCGCAACCTCAATACCTCTGAACCGTTTGAATCGGACCTCTGGGTTCCGGGTCTCGCGAGTTGCTCCAATGGTACCCGGCCTGCAGAGCCTCCCCTGAGCCTGAAGCTATGAGTTAACATAGGGGGCTTAGGGGTTCCCTGGACCCCAAAAGTATGCAGAATAATGGCCTTTTACAGGTTTTGGGCCATTTTTGCCTACTTTGGGGGGGGTCTAGGTAGGGGTTCACCGAAGTTAGAATTTTAGTGTTGGCATGGGCTACGGGGTGTGTGGGGATCTCAAGCCCAAGTGTGGGAGCTTAGATCGAGCAGCGTCCTTGATGGGGTTTCGGGTTTAAGGGTTTATAGGGTGTTGGGGGGTTTTGGGTTTATGTGTCTAGGGTGTATGGGTTTAGTGTTCAGGGTCCTTGATGGGGTTTGGGGTCAGGGTTTGACTTTGGCTCAACAGCGGTTGATAGTTTACCCACAGTTGGTTAACGATGTCTACAACAATGACTAGCCGCAAACGATCTACGATGGACTATTGGCAGGGTGTGTGTGTGTGTAACTGTAAGTACATATTTAGGTACCTAGTAATGTATACAAAGCCGTACCAGTCTATCTTCCCACCCCCGTGATGCAAAGGCCCATGTATAGTATTGCTTTGCAGTACCATCTGGGTGCTGTCTCGTGTCGTCGTCCCACGGAGGGAGGTTTGAAATAAACCCTAAATGTAAAACTCTTGTGACGATGGGTTCTGTTCAAGAAAAGCCCAACCGGGCCTCATAATGCCTTTTGAAGCCTGTCCAAGATGGTCTAGATGTACGCCAACTATGATGGAACTAGGTTCCTGCAGCCAAATAAGGATGGTGATTCTGTTGGGACGAAATTCCATCATGGTCGTATATAGGGACCCTGTAGGTATAGCAGGTATAGCAATGGCATCCAAACCCTAGGTTCTTGAATCTTCACAGTGGGGCCCAAAACCCAAACTGCGCGAAGCCCAACCGAACCTTTCCAGACCTCGACCCCAAATCGGAAACCAGCCCTAAACCCTAAACCCTAAACCCCTAAACCCCTAAACCCCTAAACCCTGAACCCTTAAACCCTAAACCCGAAGTATTGCTCAGACCCTAGCCGCAAACCTTAACATTCCCAAAACCATCCCGGAAGTCGTAGGGCGATAACCCAAAAAACCTCAAACCCTAAATCCCACAATACCCAATACAGGGAACTCCAGAAAGTTGGAATATGGTTTCATGGTAGGATACCCTATAATTTACCATAGAAGGGTTAGGATAATAATATTCCAACTTTCTGGCTTTTACCCAATAGAACCCTATGATGCCAAAGCCAGAAAACAAGAGCATATACCCTTTTGTTGCCTAACACAAACACGCACTGTATGCACCCAAGCCGCATCAACCCTAAAGCCTAAACCCCAAACCTTACACCCTACACCCTAAACGCTACACCCTAAACCCTGAACCTAGACGGCCACAGTTGAAACCCTCATGCCGCGTATCAGGCAGTTGCCACAACCTTTGCCATCTTCCCTGGGCCTGTTGAGGACCCCAGCGCTTTGTGGTGCTGGTTTAGGGTTGAAGGGTTTAGGGTTTGAAGTTTAGGGTTTTGTGTTTAAGGGTGGTTTAGGGCCTATACAGGTTAGAGTTGAAGGGTTTAGGGTTTGAAGTTTAGGGTTCACTGTTTGCTGCGGTTAGGGCTTAGGGAATAGGGCTGCAGCACAATATAGTAGGTTATGAGCCCCACGCTTTTGAAAGAACAATGTCGACGTCAGAAATCAATGCATTAAGTGTAGTCTTACGTGATGTGATGTAAGTAAGTATGTATGTACGTATGCATGCATGCACAATTGTAAGTGTGCATGTATGTCTTTATGCATGTATGTACGTATATGTATGTATGTATATAATTATGTAGTGAGTATACACATACACATGGTATGTGCACATACATCTAATTGTGTGTGTATACATGTGTATATATATATATATACACACGAATTATATATATATATATATATATATATGTATATATATATATATATAATATAATATAATATAATGAAATATAGTATAATATAATATAATATAATATAATATAGTGTAATATAATGTAATATAATATAATACAATATAATATAATATAATGCAATATAATATAATATAATGTAATATAATGTAATGTAATATAATGTAATATAATATAATATAATGTAATATAATGTAATATAATATAATATAATAGAATATAATATAATATAATAGAATATAATATAATATAATATAATATAATATAATAGAATATAATAGAATGTAATAGAATATAATAGAATATAACAGAATATAATATAATATGACATACTATACTATACTATAATATAATATAATATAATATAATATATTATAATATAATATAAAATAATATAATATAAAATAATATAATAAAATATAATATAATATAATATAATATAATATAATATAATATAATATAATATAATATAATATAATATAATATAATATAATATAATATAATATAATATAATATAATATAATATATATATATATAATACATACATCCATATATACATATATACATATATATAAACACACATGCATATATATATATATATATATATATATATATATGTATACATATGTGCACATCCAAGAGACGACATACATACACCCCGCCCCATGCCCCCCAAAAATCCCTCCTGTGTTTGTTGTGGCCCCCTAGATTCTGGATTCCGGAGACTCTAAGCCCCCAGAGCTCAATCTCAAGCACTAGGGCGGTAGTACTTCTGGAGGCCTTAGGGTGTACGGCACCGCATTTGCGAAAGCGCAGCAGCTAGTTTAGCACGACGGAGTAACATTCGGCACCGCTGCCGATGAGAATAATATATAAAGCCAATGTATCAGGATATTTGTAACTGTCGTAGCATTCGACAGCATACCCCTAATTCTACGTTCTGTATCCTTAACTTAAACACCAAGTCCATGATCTTAAAACAATAAGCTTTTTACCCTAGACCCTAAAACCCGTAATCCCACACAAAACGGGACGCTGAACCCTGAACCCTGGACCCATATCATATCTTACCAATGTTTTAATGTTGCAAATCTTGGAGGAAGCTCAAGATCTTGAGATTGGACCAGAATCAGCTGGAGGCTTTTGTGTGTTTCTGCGTGCGGGGGGATGTGGGGGAGCGGCGGGGGGTCTCGAGACTTCGAGATTGCTTGGGTGCTTCAGGATTTGAGAGCTTTTAGGGCTTAAGGATTTGGGAGAAAGGGTTTCGGGTTTGCCTGCATGCCCCTACTACTGTCGCGATTCAAACCCTAGCTCTTAAGAGGTCTTAAGCTGTTAATGTTTGCAGGGTTCCGTGCTTCGGGGGCTTAGGACATATGACAACAGGCTTTTTTTGCTTTAGGCGTTTTCGATTTTAAGGGCTCTGAGTGCCTGGAGGGTCTATGTAGCGGCTTGCTTTAGGGTTTCGGGTCTGAGCACATGGATTTTCTCGTTGAGAACCTTTCCCACATGCTTCTGCGCAAAGGGTACACAGGCCTTCAATCGTAAAACCAACCCAAAACCCTCGATGGGTTGAGAATGGTTTAGACCCTAAGTATACGGTTCCAAAACAACAATCAAGCCGAAGCCCCTTTCATAGGATGCTTGTAAACCCTAAGGGTCCATGTACCCAAATAGTATATGCATTGGCCTTTATGTAGTCCCTATATAGGTACCTTGGGCCCAAAGTATATACTATTTGGATACATGGACCCCTAGGGAAACAGTACACAGGCTTAGGGACTCCCAGCTGCCTCCAAAGCAACACACTTGGAGGGTCCAAAACTTAGTAGCTGGTTATTTTATGGACTTATAAGTATCATAACCCCAATTAGGGTCCCTTTTAGGGTACTTACAAACCTCCAAGCACTCCATGGCAACGCGACCTAACGAAGCGCAATCCCCTGTTCTGGTGTCATCTCTTGCGGCCCTTGCACCCAAATGAATCCGAGTTCTAAACAGAGGTAATAATTATTGTTTAGGGTTTAGGGTTTAGGGTAGGGCGGGTTTCTAAACAGATGTAATAATTACTTTTTTAGGGTTTAGGGTTTAGGGTAGGGCGGGTAGGGTTTGTGCAAGGAGAAGGCAGGAACCCGACGTTTATTCACCCCGCCTAAGCGGCGACAAGCCTTCATCCCAAAGCCACATCAGACCGTAATATGATTTCCTTATATGAAACCTTAATAAATAGGTAGGTTATTTGGGGTTACGCTCAGGCTTAAAACGCCCAAACCCCCAAAGCCAGGAATGCCGAAATCCTCAACTTTCCACTCGCACAAGGAGCTCCCGCCCTCATTGGCAGCCCTGACAGAGCTGACAGAGCCCCTCCCCAAGCTGTCTTGTGCAAGAGGGCTTCTATTGGACTTGACTGGAAAAGATGTCGACGATCTCTACACTCTGTTTAAACCTTGCTAACACCCATAGAACCTACTTGTGACAGTTGTGTGGGTCCACACAGCCAGGCGTAGTTCAGGCGCTAGGTACTGCAGATGCTGCGGGTTTAAGTACTAACGGGGGTCAACGCGTGCTAGTTATTTGAATCCCCTTGTAGTCCGGATTATGACTGGCCGCCAAGACCCTGTTCAAATTATTAAAGGTGCTATATGGGGCGTTGGGGCTTGCAATGGGCAGCCAAGCTACCCCAGTTAGCCAAGAAGTTTTTCGAGTTGAGAGTTGATAAAGTTTTAGAATAGGGTTGTGTGCCATGTACTGTTTAGTGCAAGTTCACAGTAAAGTGACCCAAAGTTCGTCATTATCTAGGCCTCTATACGAACTGGTAATATGGCAGGCCTGTATATAGTTAGCAATGGTACTCAGTTCTTGCTCCCATTTTGTTCTACACATTTCTACACGTACCAAGTACAATAGATTCCAAAGCCCTGTTCTAAATTACGGCCCTAAACCCTAAACCCAAAAGCCGAAAACCTAAACCATAAGCCTATACGGCCCCTGTGTTCTATTGGAAGGACTCGGGCACTGGGTTCTGCAGGCCAAGCATCACTAGTCCGGCCATGTTGAGGGCCCACGTGAGTGCTTGGATGATCATGGCACATATAGTAACATATTAGTAAGTAAGGTTATAAGTCCGTTAGCTGGGATTATGAAAAATAATATCATAACTAGTATTCATAACATGACAGTATTTTTATAACCCTATAGTTACCAAGTCCCATGATCCTTGAAATGAGGGTTCTTCTTGCATTAAGGTGCTGTGGCTGACCTACGTGCATTGCGAACGGGACTTAAGGGGTTGGCTTACCGTAGTCTCAGATAGGGAATAGTTCATACTCGCATGTTGCCAAGCCTTCCGAATGATATTGTTGTTGTAGTGTAGTTCTCATGGTACATTAGAATATGTTGCACTGCATTGTAAATAACACTACAGAAACTGAGTTTATACTGCATGGCAGCACGTTCTAGTTGTGTAGGCCCCGCACATCAGGCAGTGCACCAACAGTCCACGGCTGCACAGCCGCTTTGTCTTCTCCCAGGGGGTCCTAGGTACTGTCATAGGAAGACCTTCCCCAAATCATACAAGTATTTCCTAAGATTGAAATCCTACATTCTACTATATAGGTACTTCGAACCATTTTGGGCGGGCTTGTATCAAGGGACCCTGCGTTTCGGGCGCGAAGTGTGGAGTTTCAAGCATGGTGACTGCGATGCCGAGGCTGGACGTAAGGAGCAACAAGATCAAGGACTCATGACCCCCTTTTTTGGCGGAGGGCGAAGCGTTTCTCTAAGTTGAAGTTGCTAATGACATCAAAACATGTGCGTGTAATAGCAAACCCATCCCCAAAATAGGCTTTACATCGAGATGACCGTTGAGGATGCTGAGTCTGGATTCTTTTTCTGGTTTAGCATTTTCCACGGGTCTTCCTCAGGGTTCCTTATTGTATTTAAATAGACCCCAAAACCTGTTTGAGATTATTAAGGCCCCTTAATCAAATCCTTATAACAGACCTTATAGTAGCCCTTACAGACCCGTTTCAAAGCCTTCTTCCGGATGTTAATGCCCCGATGTAAGCCAGACCAGTCCGAGGTAGCATTAGGGAGACCCCTTAAAGGATTCCCTTCTTAATCCCACTTCTGGCTCTCTTAAAAGGACCTTATTGAGAGGGTCTATATCCCCAAGGGTTCCCCTATTCCTAGCTCCGAATCAGGAGTTCCCCCTGTCTTTCACGGCCTTTTCATCGCTTGTGCAGTGGGACATTGGATGTGACTCGGAGTGAACCCCGGGGTTCGGGGAGTTTCCGAAAGTAGTGGACCCTCATGCAGTACCCTAAATAGTAGGATCCTAATTATAAGGACCGTAAAATGAGGTATCCCCAATCTTCGGAAACTCTCAGACTTTATGTACCCCAGCAACCTACCATTTCGGTAAGTAGAGCCCTAGGGGAAGCTGTTTGGATGCAAGATTTTTGACGCTGGACCTGACAAGAGCCGGAGGCTCCAACCAGGTTCCAGTCTTGTTCGGAGTCTGGGGTCCTTAGCTGTTGGGGGTTTCTTCTTCTGAAGGTCAGTTTGGGGTCCAATCTGAACGTGAGCGAGCAACAACATGTGTGGCAAGTGGTCCTAATTAGGGAAGCAAATCTTGTTGGGGGTTTAGGGTTTTGGTCCAAGGGTAAAAGGAGGGACCCTCAATAAGGACCCATAGGTATATACCCTTAATATAGCTATTATATACCTATTATATAGCCCATTATAGGGTAGGGGTCCCCATTAAGGGTCCCTCCTTTTCCCCTTTCATTTGGGGGTTTAGGGGTTTTAGGGTTTAGGCCTTCGAGTTTGAGAGTTGAACGGCATTAAGATTGGGCATCAACTCTTGAGCCTATCTAATCATCTCCTCGAGTCAACTCCAGGCACAGCATTCCCGCGACTTCGAACCCAATAATCTGAAGCTCCGGGCGAATTCCTTTAACGCTCCCTGTCCTTCAAATAACCTAAACCCTAAACATGTCAGTCTCAGAAACAGGGACCAGGATCCTAAATACAAGGACACATGCCTGCTGTTTAAGAACCCCCCCAATATGGCCCCTTGCAACTTGACAGTGGCCTGTAATGATGGACATTTCAGATTTAGATTAGGATTTATAGGCTATAAGACGTCGCCCTTCAGTTTCAGTTTAGTCTGCTCATGACCCCTACCTTGAGCTACGTGTTTGTAGGATCTGATTAGCATTGTTTCAGCTCTCCCTTACTTACGAACCTGCCAAAACACGTTGCTGGGAGGAGTATACCTAGAGTCTGAATTCCCACCATGCAGCCCGGAAGAATTGACCCTATACGGATACCGATGGTCATGGTATGCCTTAGACGGAAAATGCTTAGATTAGCAAGGTAACTATTGCTGTACCTACCCATATATAACTACTGAAGATCTCTCGGGCTTTTCGTAAACCCTGCACCCTAGACCCTAAATCCTAAACAACTACACCCCACAACCCCTAAACCCCCAGACCCCTAAACCCTCAACCCCAAAGCCCATAAATATAGAACCCTTACTTATGGATCCCTTTAAGGGAATCCCTATACATCCCTTTAAGGAAACCCCTAGACCCATTAAATGCTTCGGCCCAGACAATCCGATCCTGGGGGGCCGTGCTCAATCGCACCGCTGCACGCCGGCAAGACGGGACCCCTGCATCTTGTGGCGCGGCTGCAGGTTTCTTATTGGCTGTAGACTCAACTTTTCAATTTTTGGGGTTCTTACAAGGTAGTCGATTCTGAGAGTTTCAACATGAATTTCTTTGGGTTTTGGGCCAGTGAGGTTTAGGGTTTGTCGGGTTTAGGGTTTAGGGAGTTTTTTCAGATCTGGGGTCAAGGGAATTGTTTAGGGTTTAGCGACGTATTTGGTATTTGGGGTTCTGTGTTTAAGGACACCTTTTGGTTTTTTGGGGTTGTGGGTTTGGGGAGTCAGTGTCATGTTTTTTTCACCCCACCCCCACCCACCCACCCCACCCCACCCCCACCCACCCACCCCACCCACCCACCCACCCCCACCCACCCACCCCACCCCACCCCCACCCACCCACCCCACCCCACCCCACCCAGATTGAGGTGCTAGGCTTGTAAGCTTCGGGGATAAAGGTACACGAGCTCTAGAACTTCAGAGTTTCCGGGTGTCATGTAAGCTCTGTAGCTATGATTCTCTAAGTGCCCATGTACTCAAATAATATAGACTTGGGGCCCAATGTACTTTTCTAGCCAGTACTTTATGTCGGCCAAGGTATATACGGTTTGGGTACATGGATCCTTAGTGCCTTAGTATTGTAGTTATGGTATATGTTACAGTAATGCTTGTAGTATGAAAAGCAGCAGTTGTGCCCAAAGGCTCAGCGCAGCCCAAGCTCCATGGTGTTTGCTATTCTGTCTTAGGGGTTTGGGGTTAAGCCATGAAACCTAAAACCCTAAACTCTAAGCCCTAAACCCGAAACTCTAAGCCCTAAACCCTAAGCCCTAAACCCTAAACCCTAAGCCCCATACCCTAAACCCTAAACCTAAGCCGTAACCTTTAGGGTTGAGGCTTTGGTGTAGGGCCGGCTCGGGCTCGGCAACAACTCATGACTGGCTGACATCCACGAGATCCGGTCCCTTCATAAGGGTGTAGGCTTTAGGGCTTGGGGTTTAGGGATTAGGGTTTAGGGATTAGGAATTAGGGTTTAGGTTTAGACTGTAGACCCGAAAATAGGCACTATTTGTATATGGAGGTGGAAATGTTTTGTGAATGTATTTTCTTATTCTGGGCATGTATTTGTTGGTTTGGGTGGTTGGACTTTCGGCTTTTACGGTCTCCTGGCGTTTGGCTTCTTGCCTTCCTGGCTTCGGGCTCTTGACGTGTAAGCTTTTACGCTTTCCTAGCTTCGTTGCATCCTGACTCCTGACTAATTATAATTGTTTTTGAATGGTTTCTCCGCTTCTTGGCTTCCTTGGCTTCATGGATTTTCGGCTTCTTGGCTTCTTGGCTTCTTGGCTTAGGCTTGTTGCTGTTTCGCTTTGTTCGACCTTGTGGTCTCTTGACCATTTTGGCATCGTGGCGTTTACGCTTGCCTGGCTGCGTAGCATCCTAGTTTCTGGGCTTCTTAGCTGGTTCTACGGGGTTTGAGAGCACCGATATGTATATATGTATATATATATATATATATTATATATATATATATGTATGTATGTATGTATGTATGTATGTATGTATGTATGTATGTGTGTGTATATATATATATATATTATGTATATATATATAGTCTTATTATTCTTATATTGTTATATATATATGTGTGTGTATCAATTTGTTTAGTATGTGTGTATATATGGTCACGCGCTCCGCGGCGCCCCCTCCCCCCCAAAGGTCAATGGTCTGGATATAGGTGGGGCCCGCCCTCCCCTGTGCTGTGGGCTGTGGGGTCTCTCTTCCCCCTGTGGGATGGTGTTTGGGGGTTTGGGGTTTAGCTTAAGCTTTTGAGTTTTGGGTTTACTGTGAAAAGGTATCAGGCGTCAGGCTTCGATCGACAAGGGCTAGGTTGGTTAGGGTTGACGGTTCATGTTCTGCTGTAGGCTTGGAGCTTGCATCTAGGCGGTGTTTAGGGTTGGGTGTAGGGTTTTAATGTAACAGTAGCACGCGTTATTTTATGGGCGTAGGGCTTGCCTGGCCGCCCCAGCACCAACCCCACCATCTAGCGGCAACAGCTCCGATCCCTATCCACACATGCCAACCCCCCCTTCCACCCTACCAGACCATATCATTGGGGAGGCCCGGGGGGGGGGCAGACGCCTGCCCATATATATATATATATATATATATATATATATTTATTTAGTTATGTATTTATTCATTCATTTATTTAGTTATCTGTTTATTTATTTAATTATATATTTAATATTATTATTATTTATATATTTACATGAGTATTTATTCATATATTTATATATTTACATGTTCATATATGTATATATATATATATATACATACATATGTATATATATATATATATATATATATATGCTCGCCCCCCCCCCCCCAAGATCTACGTCTGCAGGTTTTCGGAGTCTGGATTTCCTGATTTCCGGCTTTCTGCAGTACGTAGGTTTCCAGATTCCAGATTTGCATGCACTATGTTTCCAGAGATTCCAGATGTCCAGATTTGCAGGCTCTAAGTTTCCAGATTCCAGATTTGCAGGCTCTAGGTTTCCAGATTCCAGATTTCCAGATTTCCAGATTTGCTCACCCTAAGGTTTCCAGATTTCCAGAAATCTGGAATCTGGAATCTGGAAACTTAAAGCCTGCAAATCTGGAAATCTGGAATCTGGAAACTTAGAGCCTGCAAATCTGGAAATCTGGAATCTGGAAACCTAGAGCCTGCAAATCTGGAAATCTGGAATCTGGAAACTTAGAGCCTGCACATCTGGAAATCTGGAATCTGGAATTTGAAAACCTAGAAACTGCAAATCTGGAATCTGGAATCTGGAAACTTAGAACTTGCAAATCTGGAAATCTGGAATCTGGAAACCTAGAGCCTGCAAATCTGGAAATCTGGAATCTGGAAACTTAGAGCCTGCAAATCTGGAAATCTGGAATCTGGAATCTGAAAACCTAGAGCCTTCAAATCTGGAAATCTGGAATCTGGAACTTATCCTGCAAATCTGGAATCTGGAAACTCGAGGACGTGTAGAAACATGAGCATCAGCCGTGGCCTCATGAGCATCAGTCGGCTTCGGGGCTGGTCCTAAGACCAAAAGCCGCCTGGTCAGATTTGAGATTGATCATGGTCAAAAAGAAGTGAATTTGCTTAATGCACCACTCAACAACGAGGTCATGGGGTAGCGGCTCCAGTTATTGCACTGCCAAGCAGCACCGCTGATGCTCATGATGCGCGTGTCTTGTCCGCCCCCAAACCTGGTGATGCTGGTCCAAAAACCAAAACCGCCTGGTCCGTCTCGTTCTCCCACAGCCGAAATCTTGAGCGAGTGAGTGTTTATGAGAGGGTCTAGTGAAGAGGGACATGCGATATGTGATGGGTGCGCACCTGTGCACAATCAAGTGTGACTCCAAGCCTATTGAAATCTTGCCGCACACGAAGCCATGGAAATCCACCCGGACGAGGTGCGGTTCAACCGCACAAAACATGTGATGCTCAAAAAAATCAACTTTTCCAACCCTTGAAACGCACGAAACACTGCTATGCTCAAAAAATTCCAAACTTTTAAGGAATCTGCCCCCGGCCTGGCCATAGATGCCAGAATTTTGGGATTTTTTTGAGCAGTACAGTGTTTCGTGAGTTTCAGGGCTGGAAATTTTGGAAGTTTTTTGAGCATCACAGTGTTTTCTGATGTCCAGGACAGGATATATTGCATCACAAGATAATTGTGTGCTTTCAACCGTTGTCAAGGACTAAAAGTAATGATTTATGTGTCTTCTGGAACAACAACGGTTTTCATTACTCTTGTTTGGTAAGTATGAAAAAGGCCTAGTCGTTGCATAGTTTATTTCATATATGTTTTCGTTGGTTGGTAGATCTATGGCACCAGCAGCACTGGCCCCAGTACCTGAGCTTTTTCGAAAATGGTTTTGGCCATTCTTCGGCAAGCTGCACCGCCTACAGATCCATCACTGTAGCAGCGCAAGCCTATCTAGAACTTAATTCATTTCATGTTGAAGACTGTGGGAAACTGTTTGCATCTTGCTATCATCAGAAACAATGGAGACTTCCTATTCGGTTTCCTATGAGACATCCTCATACCTATCAAGCAAGAGACATGAAGATTCCTGCTAACCCAGAAGAGAATTCTACGATGTCACCTGTGTAGTCTTTGAAGACTGAAGAGAGCTCTTTTTCATGTTGTGATACGAACTATGACAGCGTTTAAACCACAGTCACATACAGAAGGACCGGTATCGCTTTGTCAGGATGTGAGGGAGGTGTAGAAACCGATACAAGTCTTATGCCTCTTGCCCGTCTAATAAAGGATACCAGTAAGCAAGCTTCTCTTTGTTTCTTGATCACATCTGGGGAGTGTCGCTTGAAGATTGAAGAGAGCTACTTTTTCCGCTACGTTCTATGACAGCAATTAGAGAAACAGCCATGGACATAGCGATCGGCATCTTCTCAGGGGTATAGGACAGCATCATCAATAAGAGTTAACCGAATGAAAACTCATGGCCCAAATGAGTACCCTCAAAAATAGATAGCGATTGCTATGCACATGGCTGCCTTTAATATCGACTCACAACATAAAGAGGAGTTTTCTTCCATGAAGTGCCATTTTACTTTCTTTTACAAGGTTAAGGAGCCCCTGCCTTGTGATTGATACGTATCAATGCAGCCAGTCGTAACTAGTCCTGCTTCATGTTTGGAAGGTTGCAAGAGCTCTCTTACTTCTTGCTGCAGACGAGCCTTCTTGTGCGCCCGCATATGCACATGAATTTTCCAACTCCAAGGGAGCTTTCCCATTTTTATGAGGCAAAAAACAACTATTGGAGTATTGCTTCAAAAATAAATGCGCCCGTATATTCGACTTCCTCCATGTTTTACGGACAAGACATGAAAGGAGCTCATTGTGTTTCGTAACTCATAAATCAAATGCTAGAGCTATTAGGCCGCATCAGAATCGGACGCTCACGAGCAGCGGGAAAGAGATGGCCCACGCACACAGACGTTCTCGTAAGAAAGACAATAGTATTTTCATTATTAGAGGAATGTCGTTAAATAACACACCATAAAACGCAAAAAAACACGAGGTTTTTTAGTACTACCTGAACAAAAATAGCACGCCCTCCAGCATTTCAGCTTCTCCAACATATAAACTACCATAAATCTGCTGCCGAGATTCGGCGCCAGACTTTTACACATATCAAACCCGCGACTTGTAGCAGTACTGTTTGCATGCACATGGAGTAAAGCACAATTGTATCGGAATTTACGGTGTTTTCGGCATATATGAGTAGTCGACCAATGTAGAGAAGCAACCTGTGGAATTGTGTGGAAGAGGCGGATGTAGATCTTGGGGGGGGGGTGACCATATATATATATATATATATATATATACATATACATATATATATATATATAGATACAGGTATACGTATATTTATATACATGCCTCCAATTAACAAATTAGAAATGCATCAAACCACAATCAAAATTTCATCAAGCATAGCTACAGGGATTAAGAACTCTAAAGGGTTCGGGATTTCCAGGAAAGCATCAAGCTTTGGGATACTTGGGTTTCGGGGTGTTACTCAGCACCGTGAAGAGGGTGTTCTGTGTATACTAACCTCGCCAACTGCACAGAGCTTGCTCCTTCTCTTCTTATGTCAACCTCCTCGGAGGAAGTATTTAAGACATAGAAGATACATTAGACTGTTATTTGTGCATATCTACATGTCGAGTGATTTAGGTTAAATGGGTTATAGATAGCCGGAGCCCTCAAGCCACACCAGAACCTTCAAGTCAATAGCCGAGATCCAACAAAGCCCTTATCCACATTCAAACCTTTAACCTCATCAGCGTTTAGGGTTCGGGCCTCAATCGTGCTAAAGCCTTCATCGATCCTCGTGAAACCGACATGTGCTCATCAGACATACTGTATATCCCCATATATCCCCATCAGCCATGCGTAAAACCCGCAAATCAGCCCGTTTTTGCATCCCTACAGACCCCACATAACCCTTGTAGAGTATGAATATGGCCCGTAAGCTCTCATACATAGCCCTGAACCCTAAAACCCTTATAAGCATTATATACGCCTAAACCCGCAACCCGTAAACCTTCGCACCTCCCAGGTTCAAGTCGTCGAAGACCAAGGCAGAGTGCGTCGACGAAGGGATGCGCTCTCGGCTTGATCCGTGGCCTCGTTAGGTACCGTTTTGGGAGAGTTTTTCCCAGTTCCCTTAAAGGCTTAATCAATATAGAACTCTCTTGAATTAGTTTCGGGGAATGTTGAAATCTGAGTTCTTGTAGTTTAAACAATTTGTCTTGTTTTCGCTACTTGTAACGCTCGAGGGGGTCAGGGTTTTGGGCTTTTTGGAGTGAGGGATTCAGGGGTTCAGGTCTTAGGTTTTGGAGTTTAGAGGTGCCCTCTTTTGGGGTTCTGGTTAAGAGATTTAATGTCTGGGGTTTAGGGTATAGGGGTTCTTGTTAAGCGATTTGATTCAAGTTACCATAAGAATAAAGAAACCGCTCATAGTCGGATTAAGTTGTAGAAGGCTTGAAAGGGGTTCAGGTTTTTTGTCAGCGCTCAATAGATCTTCCATAGGGCTTGAAGGTTTGATACTTTGCAGTGGTTTTTTAGTGCTTTCAAAAGCATATTGTTTATAGGGGTTTAGACATTTTTTGTTTGACACGGTGCGCCTTGCGCAAGGTGTTGGTGCGATTACGATTTAGGGCTCAGGATTCCTGCAGTCAAGATCGTCCAGAGAATTTTGGTATCCAGGGCTTGGGATCCGTTGTTTAGGGCTTAAGGGCTCACGGTCTCAGGCTGGGAGGTTTGGAAGGCCAAAAACCGAAAGTGCTTTAGGTCAGGGGGCTCCGGGAGGGTACAGGATTCTAGGTTGAGGGCGCTCCAGCTATGTTCAAGAACAGGCTTTCCGGCGGTCGAGTCAAGACGTGTTTGGTTTGGCTATTTCTGCTACAGGCGACAGGTGGTACTGCTACTGCTACCGCTACTGCTCCTCCAGCTGCTGCTGCACCTCCTACTACTACTTACTAAAGCTAGAACAACAACAACTACTACTACAACTACTGCTACAACAACTAGTACTAGTACTACTGCTACTGCTACTGCTACTCCTACTACTACTACTACTGCTGCTGCTGCTATTACTACTACTATTACTACTACTGCCGTTACACTACGACGACGACAGATGACGGCTACCACACGTGCTACAGCAAAATTTACATAGTTATAACAGTGTATGCAATATGTAGTTGCTGGTTGCATTAATAGGTCAAGGCTTGAAAAAGAGGTTAGCAACTCGATTAAGGACGCCAAACCTGAAATCCTGGAGACTCAGGTGTCGAATCTCCAAGCCCTAGGCATGTCCCCGTGAGGAGTAGCTTGATTTTGCATACGGGGCTCCAGGTATGTACTAATTGAAGAGGAATAGACACTGCGTGCTGCCAGTTTTAAGCGGTGTCTGGGACTTTTCTTTAAGCTTGCTGTGGCAGACATTCATGCCCGTGTGGCAGTAGTATATCTACGGCTGGGCTGTCGGTGCGCGCAGTTGCCTTTGCCGCGGCTGTCGTTAAGTGTTCTTGAAGCTAGCACTGGACATCACAAGGTCGCAGCCACTAGGTGAGCTGGGGTGTTTGAGGCCTTATTTGCTGAGGTAGGGTGTTGCTGAGACCTACATTGCTTGCAGTGATATGTGGGGTGCTGCCCCAAGTCATACCGCAGGGTTCCCTTTTTCCGTGCATCGGCAACATGTCCGGCACCTCGGTACTAGGTATCTATACTTGAGAGGTAGCAACGGCCTCCACTCCAGGGATATGCGACAATCAGTGAATCCGAAAAACTGCACAGCCGGGCATGGCAAGAACTCGTCATATCTCGTCATCTCCCGAGCGGCTTCTTCCACTGCCACGGTAGCCACATCAGAGGCCCAAACTAAACAATCCTCGTATTTTGTGAAGGAGAACGGATTGTGTGCTCCAGTCGCTATACTTCACATGATTGGGCAGTTCGTTCCATTGTCAGCAGAGCCGACGTGCACGGTTGGCAGTTTATGTCTCGTTGGGTTCGTGCCATGTGCGGTTCACGGATCCGACGGATGTGACTTGATCGAGGTTTCGGGTTCGTGTTTCCGTGGCGAGTTGCCTTGGACAGTTCGCGCAGCCCAATTACCGGATCGGTTGCAAAACTTGCGTCAGGCAAGCGGCTTCTTACCTTCGTACGACGTGCGGTTGCGGCGTTAACTAGCGCATATTAGCCCGGAAAACATACGCTGACCGATTCTCCTAAACAACGCGTAAAATGTGAATTGACCAAAATACGCCTACATTAAGTATATCAGCTAATTACAGATAAAAATGTTCCATCTTCATCCCTAGCAATTAGAGAATATTTCCCCAAACGTTGTTGTAATCGTCGGGTCTTCTAATGAAAATGCATCCGGATGACGGATTTTGGTTCCGGACAGACCGAATGCCCGAAGAGCAATAAATAGGCAAGAATCGCGAAATCCTTGATCAATTCTTGGCGGCTTAAATAAGCAGTCTAGAGCAAGCCTTGATCCGTTTTGTTTGGCGCAGCTTCCTGCCCGTGCGCTGCAAGGATGACATATTCAAGGCCCTTTTGGACGGGCAGTACGAGACATACAAAAGTTTCTTGGAATGAACTGACCGTGCTACCCCGATAACATCCTGTTCTTAAATCGTGTAACTGAGCCAGTTGTGTGAGTTCGTCTTGTTTTGCAACTCTTGTGCTAGGCTTCACGCTTTGGCTTTTCATGTGCGAGTCTGCGAGTCACACGGTATCCTCCTCTCTTCACCTCCTGCTGCTCCCTCCCCCGCCTCCTCTTCCTAACTACTAATACCACTGCTACTGCGGCTGCTACTGCTACTGCTGCTGCTGTGCTGCTGCTGCTGCTGCTGCTGCTGCTGCTGCTGCTGCTGCTGCTGCTGCTGCTGCTGCTATGACTTCCACTACCACTACCACTACTGCCATTGCTATTGATACTGCTACTGCTACCGCCTCTACTCCTGCTGCTGCTTCCGCATTGTGTCCTACGTCTTGTTGTTCTCGTTGTGAACGCTACGAAATAATCATGAGCACAGCGACGCGAGAGTGAGCACATGTACGTCCCCATGGGTTGGGATGGGAACATCAATCATCTGCAGCACTGTTCTTCCAGCTGCCTTGTAATACTACTTGGATGTTCAGGGGTAATTATAAGTGGCGTTATAAGGAAGGTCGCCAAAATTATAAACCTTTATTACATGGGACTTACAACTCCGCTTATAACTACCCACGAATCTCCAAGTCCAGCGCGGTCTACCGGAGCCAGGAAGCTCCCACAGCCCCTCAAGACATCGTCCCACGAAATCTCATCATGTCATCATCCCAACATGGGAGTTTCCGAAAATTAGGGATACCTTTTTGGGGGTCCTTTTTATAAGGCCCCTACTATTATTTAGGGTACTATATTAGGCTCCCCCTATTTTCGGAAACCCCCACATTGTGTTGAAAGCTTCGCTACCGGCTGGGGATTCAGGGTTGTGGTTTGGATTCACAGGGCTTAGGGCCTTACGGTTTTCGGATTTAGGATTGGTTCTGAACTCTGAATCCTATACACCATCAACCCTGAACCACAACATAAACCCTACCCCTACACCCTTGTTGATGTCGCCTTGTGCAGCCTCAAAAAGGCCCTCAACTAAACTACACCTTGAAACCCGAAAACCCTATGCCGCCTACATTTTTTGTGAGTCGTAACTATCTGGACCTTGCCCTTGCCCTCAGCTTTTGCTCCACCCAGGCGAGCAGCCAAAGTGCGCGTGTTTCTGGGAAGGGGTCTCTCAGCTTGGTGTTGTAGGGTTTAGGGTCGTGTAGTAAGTACAGGTCGGAATAGTACTTATCGGGGATATTAAAAGGATTCTACGCGATGGTTTTTTATACAGTTGCTACTGTCATACGGGGGGCAACAATGTAGGGATTCAATGTAGCGGTCTTGAAAATCAACAACGCATTGCCTTCATAGTCCCTGTACAGTTTTGCGCTTTGACATATCTCAGTGGCTTATTCTTACCTTCGCAGTTGCCGGCGATTTCGGCGTTCCGGTTCGGTTGCGTCCAAGGTCGGGGAGCTTTCGGTTGAAAGTAGAGGTTTGGGACTTGAGGAAGCGCAGGTGAGATGAGGGCTTAGGGTTTACGAAGCCAGAATCCGCGGTCATGAAAGTTAGTTGTAGGCCTGACTTGAGTGTGGTGACTTCCACCGTTTGTGCGAGGCGGTCGCTAAATTTCAAGTCGGGCGCGGGGTTTTTGCACCTGTCAAGATCTCCCGCTTCTAGGATGTTGTTGATGGTGGTGGGGATGATGATGGTGACTAGAAGGCAACGGCTAAAGAGCACGTTCATAATGATAGCGGCTGTGGTGAAAAAACAGGCTGAAGTTCAATGATTTTGTGTATTTATGGGGGGAGGATGGGATATTTGGCAATGTGCTGACTAGGCTTCATGGCCTCATGAGATCCTTTTGGACTGTATGCCTCCGTTCCTTTTAGTCGGTGGCCAGGGGGCTATGCTGTTTTCGGTTCAGGGTTCGTGTTGTCACTGCCACTGATATCATCTTTGGAGACGGTGCGTGGTCTTTTGCGTTTTGGGTTACGTCGGCATATTGTGTTCAGGATGAAGCCGATGAACTCAGAGCACTCAACCTCTCAGGCACAACATCCTTTGCTTGTCTTTCTGGTGGTGGCTTTGCCTTTGCCAGGCCGTGAATGAAAATCCTTTTTTCTTTGCACATCACACCCTAAACCCTAAACCCCCCTAAACCCTAAACCTCCCCAAACCTTAAACCCACCTAAACCCTAAGCCCTAAACCCTTACAGTCTTAGAGGCAACGAACATTGAACCCAAGAGTGTCCCAGGTGGCTTGCCTCACGACGAGGAATGGAACTCGAGTGGTTCACCGAGTAGTTGGCATCAGCCACTTCGGCTCTTCAAGCAGAGCCTACAGTAGGAACCCAAAAGTTGGAAACCCAATAGCGTCAATCCTTAAGAGTAGTTTATAGGGAATCCCGGCACTATTTTTTCAACTGCCGGGTTCTTAGTAATGTGGAATGGGTTATCGGGACTACTATAGTGGACCTTACCTTAAGGGACTATCACAGGGATCCATCCCACATTCCCTATGAAGCACCAGACTGTCAAGCAGGTCCTAACCACACCGCGAAAAGGCTCTGATTCACAAATCCATAAATAACTAGATTTCGCGGTCTCTGGGCGATCACACGTTCGTCTCCCGCCGCATCGGGTTCGCGGAGCTTTGGAACTCCTTTTCTCTACATCTCCAAAACCACAACTCTTCTGGTTCAAACCTAAACTTCGGTTGAAGATATAAGTCCTGCACTACAGATAACAAGGAATATACCATAGTTCCCATAGTTTAGGGTCCTTAAGGTAATGCAGGATTTATATCATCAACCGTTTCAACCCTACCTCTATAGTCTCCTCAGTAGCTGAGTGGATAGACTTTACACTTTTTGGGATCATATTACCCACTACAAAACTAAACGTGTACACTTTTGGGGGGGCTTATGGACTCAGCAACTAAGTCTCCGTTGTAGGTCAGTTTGGAGTGTAACCTATTTTACGCTCAGGATCCTATAGTATAGTTTCGAAGTGGTTATCCACAACAGGAACTACAATGGATACTAGAGGAAGTTGCCAGCTGCTAAACCTATCCCCTGTTGAACCCTGAACCTTGAACCCTAAACTCAATTCTGATGCGCTGCCAAACCCTATTCTAATTTTAAGGTCTCAACGTCCGCTGGCTAGACCTTACATTCCTGGTGCAACTTAAGCCCAAGAAGCTGTTAGTAAACGATCAAGGTGTGGGATGCGTGAGATGCTGGAAACAACAAGAAAGACACTTCTGAAGTCAACCCTAAACCCTGAACCCTAAGGGTCCAAGTACCTGATAACCATATACTCTCCAAAATCCTAACCTACATAGCTACTATCCTAAAACCGACCTACATTCTGGAACCCTTATAGAGCCCTTTAAAGGAACCCTTTTCGAATTCTTAAGGCCCAAAAAACCTAAACCCTAAAGCCTAGACCCTGAACCTAAACCCCTATAGTATCCTTATAGTACCCCTCTAGTACCCTTATAGAGCCCCCTATAGCCCCCTTTAAAGGAACCCTCTACCCTAAAAGCCGAGGTTTGCAGACGGCAAGGCTAGAGGGCCATCTCCCGAGGCAGCTTGGTGAACTCGAAGATCTGGAGCCACCCGGCCTTTTAAAGGGATCCATTCCTTTATAGACTGTAGGGGATCTATAGGGTTCAGGGTTTAGGAATAGGCTCTTAAAGGGATCCATACCTACCTAGACCCCCAAACGTAGGTAAATTAATGGCCCAACATTATTCTACGTACTTTTGGGATCCATACCTATATAGGTAAAATAATGGCTCAAAACCTATAAAAGGCTATAGTTCTACGTACTTTTGGGATCCATACTTACCTGGACACCCAAACGTAGGTAAATTAATGGCCCAATATTATTCTACGTACTTTTGGGATCCATACCTACCTAGACCCCCAAACGTAGGTAAAATAATGGCTCAAAACCTATAAAGGGCTATAATTCTACGTACTGTTGGGATCCATACTTACCTAGACACCCAAACGTAGGTAAAATAATGGCACAAAACCTATAAAAGGCTATTATTTTACGTACTTTTGGGATCCATACCTTTGGGTTCTGTAAGGGATCTGTAGGGTTTAGGAGTTTAGGGATTTAGGATTTAGGGGCTCAGGGTTTCGGGGTCTAGGGTTTAGGGCTGAGTTTAGGGTTTGGGGTTTATGGTATAGGGTTTAACGTAAGGGCCTGAATGATTAGAGTAGCGTTGCTAGATGATAGGGGGGTGTAGGGGGCCGTGATAATGGGGTTCCTTTCAGTGTTCTACACGGGTTTTATGATTTTTGTCATAGTTGGGTAACATTTTACATGTTCATGGGTACTTAAACCCAATAAGGAATTTAAATGTACATTTTTAACCCTATCCCAACCATGAGCTACTGATGAGGGCTACTAGGCTGCAATATCGGGGCCCTCCTAACTGGAGTAGGATTCCTGTAAGGGTTCTGCAAGGGCCCCGTGATACGGATGCTAGGGGCGGGTATTGGACACAGGTTCAATACATACGTCGTCTGAAAATTATTCCGACCACTCTGGGGAATTCAATCTTGTTGCTTAGAAGCTGTTCGCGTGGTTTAGTGATTGCGTGTGGTTTTGGCGGTTCAGGCTCGCGATTCTTTCAGTTGTTGTTTGTGGTGTTTGTTTTACACTAAGACTCCAAGTAGTATACAAACAGTACCTACTTTGGGGTATAGATTCTATCAATAGTGCCTAGCTCTTTGGAGTCTCAGGGTTAAGCAAGCTTGTACCACCAGTATTGGTTTCGCCGATTCCTGTTCTAGACCTTCCAATTTACAGGGATTTAGGATTTGGGCTGGAGGAGCTGGGATCTTGGTCAACGGCCGAGGTTTTCGGGTTTAGCATGGCTGGCAGAAGCAGCAACGCTATGTGCGGATATTCGCAAAAACCGATTCCGGGGCGTCCCATGCTTACAGGTTTTGGCGATGGGAATCCCCTTGCAGCATGGTTTCCTCCTGTTTCCATATAGTAGAGCCCTGGCTGAGCGCAATATGGGCTTCAACACGGAATCCAAGGGACGGACATACGGTGTCAGAAAAGACAGGGGCCCGGAATACAGACCCGTCGTGGTGGCACGAGCACCCTAAACCCTTAACCCTAAACCCTACCCTAAACCCTAAACCCTAAACCCTAAGCTAAACCCTAAACCCTAAACCCCCAAAGAAACCGCACGCGTAGCAGAGGTTCCTCGATCTTCGTGGGCAGCTGGGAGGAAGCTCGACAGCCCTGAGTTAGGGTTTAGGGTTTTAGGGGTTAGGGTTTGAGGGTTTTAGGGTTTAGGGTTTTAGGGGTTAGGGTTTAGGGTTTTAGGGTTTAGGGTTTTACTGTTTGGGGTTTAGGGTTTTAGGGTTTAGGGTTTAGGGTTTTAGGGGTTAGGGTTTTAGGGTTTTAGGCTTTAGGGTTTAGGTGTAGCGCAATTTTCGCCTTCCCGCCTTAGGGTGTTTTGAACACTGACCTCAATCCTTGCCTTGACTTGCAGTCGTAGCACATAAACTCCTAAACTGTCTCTAAACTTCTCAACCCTTAGACTCTAAACCAACGTTTATAGCAGCTAAAACCCTAAACTCTGAACCCTAAGCCAGCGCACCCTACACCCGAACCCCAAACTTGCAGACCCCGAAGGCAGTAAGGTGAAGTTAGTTGGAGTTTATAGGGTTAGCAGCAAGAAAGCTGGCCTGAACTCTACCAGCACGCTAAAAATAACGTACCTTGCTAAGGACATATATGAGGAAATCATGATCGGGAACCCTATAAAAGTCCGGCCCATACCCTGAACTCTAAACCCTAAACCCTAAACCCAACTCTAAACCGTCCTCCCGCCACGAATTGTCCTTCTCTCATGTTCCAACTTTACCTGGGGTTCACACTATACCCTAAACCCTGAACGCCTAAACCCTAAACCCTCTCAAACCCTAAGCCCCAAACCCTAAACCCTCAAACCCTTAAACCCTAAACGTCTAAACCTCTAAACCTAAACCTTAAACCCCTCAGCCCTAAGCCCCTAAATCCCTAAACCCTATGGCTCCTTACTAAGAGGGTCTTGGGCTTTCTGGGGGAGGCTTTCGGCTTTGAGGCCCAGGCTTCGGAATCTCACTACAAGAATCCGGGAGCCTGGTTTGGGTAGACGTAGGGTTCAGGGGGTTCAAGGGGGTTTAGGGCTTACCTGTAGTCTCCATTGTAGTTCCTTTTTTTGGTTAACCAAAATCTCTATTATAGGATCCTAACCATAAAACCGGTTAACCAAACAAAGGAACTACAATGGAGACTGTAGGTAGGGCTCAGGAATCTTAAAACCTGTGTGGGTGACGTAACCTTTTTCAAAAATCTAGCACCTCATAAAAGCCCTATAGAGCCCTACTCTATTTCTTAAGGCCCCTATGTTAGCTGCCCAGAGAGCCCAATACCCCTTAATTAAGGAATATAGCTTAAATCATATTATGAAGCCCTATATACTTTAAGCCATATTCCTTAATTAAGGGGTATTGGGCTCTCTGGGTGCTTTACTGCTCCAAGGCGCAATCCCGGAGGAGATCGCCAGTTTGCAGAAGCTGAAGATACTGGATTCTCGGACCGCGTACTCATACAGTATATGCTTTGGCCCTAAAGTACCTGAATAGGGACTACTTTAAGGCCAAAGTATATACTATTTGGGTACGTGGGCTTAGAGGGCTTCTAGGTGTAAGGTTTAGGTCTTGGGTTTGGGGATCTGGGTTTAAGGTTAAGGATTCAGCGACGATACTGGGTTCTTGGCATCTAAGTTTGGTTTTGTATCTTTCGGTTTCCTAGAAATCGTAGTTTCCCATGGTTAGTCTGAAAGTCTAGTAGAGTTTGGTTTGTTTGTTCATGTGTGCGCTGTGCCGTTTGTTCCTTCGTCTAGTACAGGGCTCTCTTCAAGGCTATGGGGTTTGGGGTTGCAGTCGGAGGTCATCGTTGTTGAAGGGAGCAGGCGGAAAGAGATCCTGAAACCCGATCTTCGCTTAATGCAGTTCTTTATCTTTAACCCCGTTTCGAAGCCCAAAAACAAAAACGCTCTTTGTGAAGTCCTCTAGGCCAGACTCCCCCTAAATTCTGTTTATGGGGAATACTGACGCAAAACATAGTCGTATTTCCTACTACAGAAACCTGACTTTCTACCTTTTTAGATACTCTGGACACTGTTCGTATGAGGAGACAGCGCTGGGAGCTTGACTTGGATGCTTAAAGGCCACGGTTTACGCTCATAGATAGTATTAGGGAGACCCCTGACAGGGGACCCTCTTATCCTTACTTATGGTTCTCTTAACACGGACCTTATTGAGAGGTCTACATCTTCAAGGGTCCCCCTGATCCTAACTCCTATAAGCTAACCCTAAGGATCCATGTTGTCACATAGTATATACACTGGCCTTCATGTAGTCCCTATATAGGTACTTTGGGGCTCATGTATAAAACCCTAGACCCTAAACCCTAAACCGGTATCTCTACCTAGACCCCCCAACTACCCTCTAATATACCCCAAATACCCACTATTCAGGGCCATAAGGGCTCGATTAAATCGCCATTGGGGGGTCCTGCTGTTGATGATATAAATCCTGCACTACCTTAAGGGCCCTAAACTATGGGAATTACGGTATATTCCTTATTATGGGTACATGCAAGCATTTGGGCTTCTCTTCGCCGTTCGGCCTTCTCACATCTTGCCCTTCCTGGACCCGGAAGCTTCGACTGGAGGGCTTAGGGTTTTGGGTTTCTGTTTAGGGTTTAGGGTTTTTGGGTCTAGGATTTAGGGTTTTGGGTTTTGTGTTTTGGGTTTTGGGTGTAGGGTTGTGGGTGTAGGGTGTAGGGTTTTTGGGTGTAGGGTTTATAGGGTCTCTGAACCCTGAGGCCTAAGATCCTAAGCTACCCGATGCCTCAGGATCTCACCGGAAATGCGCTCTCCGGGCCAATCCCTTCGAAGATTTTCAGCATGGAGGCCTAGTCTGCTGGTGTGCACAGCCGGGGCTTAGGGTTTAGGGTTAGTGGGTCAGGGTTTTGTGAATCCAAAATGTGGATCTAGGATTTAGGGATGTTTAGCGGTTCAAGGTTTGGGTCTTACAGTGCGCTGGGCATGGCCAAATTTTAGGGTTTAGGGTTTAGGCGCACAGCTCGGACATGGCACAGACATGAGATGAACATTCAGCGGTTCATGCCTGTTATGTAACACACTAATTAGGACATATGAATGAATAGTGATGATACCGCGGTATATGCTTGCCATATGCTGCTGTACACTCGTAGATGCATCCGTACCTTGTTCTTACTGAGGTCCCCTGTATATGGGAGCTGAAGTCCACAAAGTAATGTAAGAACATCAGCTGCAGCCGAGCCGCAGAAGAGGAGCCCTACAGTTCAGGGCAGAATACACATCATAATCACTACTTGGAGGTTCATGGGTAGTTTTAAATGGAGTTATAAGTCCCCGAATGTGAGTCATAAAAACTCTACTTAAAACTCTTATAGCTATCCTGAGCCCTTATCCCTAAACCCGTCTAACCCCTAAACCCTTAAAGGAGCCCTACTTCTAACTACCCTTGAACCTCCAAGTACGCTTGTGAAACGGTTCGAGAAGAACTCCCTCGGTAGGCCGAATTATACGCCGAGAGGCTTTAGGGTATAGAGTTTAGGCTTTAGGGTACAGTAAAGGGTTCAGGTAACCCAGAGGATCCATATACACTACCATTATGGAATTAGGTCCCAAAAGACAATTCTCATGATGGTTTTGGGGACCTATTTCCATATTGTTTTTGGGCCCTCTGGCTAAAAGAGTTCTGCGGCGGTTGCAACACGGTTACGTATCAACTGCCGCCAACAGGAACGGGTCCAGCACCAGTGCCAGCAGTTTCATCAACGACATAAACAGAAGTAAACCCTAACTAACCCTAACCCCTGAACCCTAAACCCTAAAACCAGTGGAAGTATGCAGTCCAGCTCGTACACAGCTCACATCTCTTTTCCAACCAATGTCTGGGCTTGAGGGTTTAGATTTTAGGGTTTTCTCGACTTGCAAAGATGGGGTACACCGACTACCGGTTGCTGGATTCGGGATTGGCGGCGATAGATTCTGGATGTGGCTCCTCCCGCAGTCTGCGTGTGAACAATTTGATGTTCATTGCAGGGTTTCGAGCCTGGTGCTCTTTATGAGATTCTGTGGGCACACAACCCCCCGTTGTCCTCTAAAACCTCATCACTTGTTGAGTCGTGGGGATTTGCCCAGTACACGTAGAACCTGCGACAGCTCTTCAACTCACAGCCGAGCCCGTGGATCCGTAAACATAATTCCCTGTAGTAGAAGCCCAAAAGCTGGAAACCCCATAGCCTCAATCCCTAAGAGTAATGTGTAGGGATTCCCAGCTCTATTTGGCCTTAACCCGGTTTCCAACTTTATGGGGTTTGCTAACCTTTGATATTGGAGGAGCTAGGGAGCCAGGGGTGATGATAATCCCTACTTAATAAGGAGCTAAAGAGCCAAGGGAACCCCAAAACCATTGGTTAGTTTACTGTATAGCATCCAGGCGCTTCAGCTTCTCTCACTGGCAGAGAACCAGCTGAGCGGTGAGCTGGCTCTTGTGGCGGCAATATATGTTTGGAGTCTAGTTTCGGAATTTAGCCCTAAACCCTACGGTATATGTTTGGGGTCTAGTTGCGGAATTTAGCCCTAAACCCTACGGAATTTTGCCCTAAACCGTTGCAGGGTTGGTTCAGGGTTTGCTGCAGAGAGCAAAGACATGGAAACTCCCCACAGGCTGCCCCGAATCTACAGCCTATTTGGAGGATCTGGGAAGTTAGCAGGCGGGGTCATAAGGTACACTTACTTCTCACTCTATCTAAAGTACATCATACAACCCTACTTACGAGGTCCGCTGATCCTGCAAGTAGGGCTTAGTGTAGTAAGCAGTAAAGCACAGCCGGAAGGCCACTGACGTAGTTTGATAGGGCACGGGCGTACGTATCTTGAAGCCCTCTAACATTCTTCCTGGCGTGTTCATCAGTTGACCAGCTTTGGAGGTTTTGTGTTGAACAACTCGGCATGGGTTGGGGGTCTCTGGCGGCTTTCGTTCTCCGGTGTCTTTTTTTGTGACTTAGGAACCCTGAGCCCTATCTGGACCCCCAATGTAGCATACAGTAAACCCCATAAAGTTGGAAACCGGATTAAGGCCAAATAGTGCTGGGATTCCTTATACATTACTCTTAAGGATTGAGGCTATGGGGTTTCCAACTTTTTGGCTTCTACTGTAATAGTTGTTCATATATGTTGGATCATTAGCTACGTTTGAGGGTTGAGGTAAACCCTAGCTTGAATGGTGTGGGTACATGACATGCCTTTTACAGATCTGACAGCGCAGGTCTGGGGTTTAGTGTCCGGATTTTTCGGGTTTCGGGCTTGGCAGTTGAAAAACTCACGGCCCTGAAATCATGCGTCAAAAAGTTTGATGCTCCGTACAAATCGATTGGATCCCTTAACCCCACGTAACCTACCTTTTTAAGGACTTATATAAAGAAATCGTATTAGGGAATCCTAAAAAGGTAGGTCCCTTAGGGTCCAGGTCATGCCTGATTATGGCGGGCCTTTGTCTTACGATCTCCCACCCCATGCCGTTGTCAGCGGCCCAGCCACCCAAACCTTATTGTATTTAGGCGTGTTGATTCAAACTCGTTTGGTTGATCTGTTTCAACATCTCTCCGGGCAGGGCGCAGGGGGCAGGGCGCAGGGGGCAGGGGCAGGGTGCAGGGCAGTGCAATGAGGGGTCGAGGCGTTGATGGCATCAATGGCCATGTGTCAATACTTTACAGCAATAAAGGGGCCTTTTCGATTCCGAACAGGGTTTGAGGCGTAGAGTATTGAAGACAGACTCCCAAGGATATGTTTTGTAATTGTTCAAGCGGTTCTTTAGTGTCGGCTCGGGCTGAGGGTCTGGTAAACTGTTCAGTGTATCTTTTGTGGCAAGCCTCATAAGTCTCCTACAGTAGAAGCCCAAAAGTTGCAAACCCCATAGCCTCAATCCGTAAGAGTAATGTATAGGGAACCCCAGCACTATTTGGCCTTAATCCGGTTTCCAACTTTATGGGGTTTACTTTATGTACAGCCAACGTACAGACTAAGCTCTGCACTGAAAATGATGCATTGTCAATATGGTCTTTGTCATGGTATATAATTACCCGTGTTAAAGGTTGGTATCCAAACAAATGTAAGTTTTTGCCAAACATCTCAGTGCTTGGTAATCTTGCTATTACTCATATGACCCTCCCTAAGCCGCAAACATCCCTCAAACCCATTATGTACAAGCGTCAATCAGCCCCTGGGTGTTCTGAGCTTGATGTGGAATCTGATTAATGAATCTACTCCCCTTTGGGATATCCGCAACCCAACATCAACGGTTTTGATAGTGGGGTTTAAGTTTCCGTGCACATGTTCATACATATGTATATATACATATATGTATACACATTTACATATACTTGTACAACTATACATACATCCAAACCCCAGGGCCGAAACCAGATTATCGATTCTTAAAGCAGCGCAAGTGTTCAAACAGGCCAGACTTGGCTTTCATCACGTGGCCTCCACCAGCATTACAACCGCAAAGCTTAGAGCACTGAAGACCCTACACTCTGGACGTTGTTAAACCCATAAATCCAGAATCTGAATCCGACGTCCCAGACACGAACTGCAGCTTCGACCATCACGGGTGAACATGTATATAGAAGATAGAGGTACGCGCAGGACAGAGCCGATAAGGGCACACTTCCGCTCAATATCACCTGCTTGCTTGGCCCCCCGATCGTAAGCCCGGCAAACTACCATGGAAACCCCGACAGGAACCCCTCTTACGGGTGCAACAAAAAGCAAGTCTCATGGTCTCGAGCACTCGACACGCTTTGGTTGCAAGTACCCGATAAGCACATACTCCCAAAGGGTGTTGATGTTTAGGAGTGCGAAAGCTGCTGCTTTAAGCTTTAAGGCTTTAGGGTTTGGGGTTCTGCAGTTCTGCTTACCTACAATTCCTACGTGCTCTCCGAGACCCGAGTATCTAGTTGCTGGCAACTTGGGACTTCGACGAAGGCTTCTGTCAAAATCGAGATGCCGGAGCTCTTGGTCGCGTGACGTGAAGAAGATGCTCGAGGGCGTCGGATCTGGGGTTTCGGCTTTGGGCTGATTGTTGCTACCTAGACCCCCAAAACTAGGTAAAATAATGCCCCAAGCCTATAAAAGGCTAGTATTCTACATACTTTTGGGGTCCAGGTAGTCTAAAGTTTGTTCTTAGGGTTCAGGGTCTAGGTTTAGAATTGCTAGGATGTACCTGAACCCTCAAGAACCTACCTTGTTGAGGACTTATATACGTAAATCATATTAGGGAACCCTAAAAAGGAAGGTTCTTCAGGATCCAGCTAAAGTTTGTTCAATATCGAGGTCGGCTTCTTGGGTGCAGGCCTCGTGTCCCGAGCTTCAAGCGTTAGTGGGTGGGACTCAGGGCCTTGGCTCAGGTGTACCTCAACGCCCCTTAAGCACCCTGTCGATAGCCTACCCACGTCGAAGGACAATTACTTGTGGATCCAAAAACCCTACCGTTTTAACGGGTTAGACCCTCTAACTTGGGATCTGCCCCCGCCCACTAACAGTTGTCACAATTTGAACCACAACGAAAAGCACAAGAACATCTAGTGGGTTCACCGGTTTTCCAAATATGAAAAATGGACAGCCAGGAGAGCTGAGTGTGAAACCTAAATCTTTGACAAAACAAGCCCCGAAACCATGCTTCCCCTCCCAGCAAAATCGAAATCTGCCGAACGCAAGGCCCAGAACAATTTTCGTTTCCAATTAGTCACTGGGCTGCAACCCTCAACCGAAACATTTCGTTCCATTCCCTCTACGCGCAGCCAGGGATGGCGGGGGGGCCTGGGTGGATGGATCGGACGTGGACCCAGGGGATGGGGCGATTCTGGGTGGTGAGGGCGGGAGGGAGAACGACTGATGCAGCTCCTAAGACCTGGCAGGGCCGTCCAGGGCCTCCCAGGGCCTCCCCAGGCCTGGCACCTTTTGACCAATTTAAAAGGCAATCCTGGGTTCTGCTGTAAATTGGAAGTTTTCGTCTAGTTTGTGCTGTTTCTTGTGCTCCAAATCGCAAAACAGTTGTGCGTTTCTTGTGCTGGATTTTGGAGTTTGTGGTCGGGCTTGTGCTCTGGGTTGCAAAACAGGTGCGCGTTTCTTGTGCTTTTTCTTGTGCTCTAGTTTGTGCTTTTTCTTGTGCTGGATTTTGGAGTTTGTGGTCGGGTTTGTGCTCACTTCGGCAAAACAGTTGTGCGTTTCTTGTGCTTTTTCTTGTGCTCTAGTTGGTGCTTTTTCTTGTGCTGGATTTTGGAGTTTGTGGTCGGGTTTGTGCTCTGGGTTGCAAAACAGTTGTGCGTTTCTTGTGTTTTTTCTTGTGCTCTAGTTTGTGCTTTTTTCAAATTAAAACTCAATAGGCTGTGCTTCCCGGGCCGCACTCGAGAGTCACTAGAATTTTCTAGTTTGTGTTTTTTCTTGTGCTGGATTTTGGAGTTTGTGGTCGGGCTTGTGCTCTGGGTTGCAAAACAGTTGTGCGTTTCTTGTGCTTTTTCTTGTGCTCTAGTTTGTGCTTTTTCTTGTGCTGGATTTTGAAGTTTGTGGTCGGGTTTGTGCTCACTTTAGCAAAACAGTTGTGCGTTTCTTGTGCTTTTTCTTGTGCTCTAGTTGGTGCTTTTTCTTGTGCTGGATTTTGGAGTTTGTGGTCGGGTTTGTGTTCCAGTTTAGCAAAACAGTTGTGCGTTTCTTGTGCCCACTTTTGCGTTCTAGTTTGGAGATTTTGGGCAAACTGCTGGCCTGATCCAAATTTCAAGCAAAGTAGTTGTGCTTTTCTTGTGCTCCCTTTTGCAATCGAGTTTGCAGATATGGCCTGGCCAGATAGCACCCTGGCCCTGCTGGCCTGGGGCCGGGCGCATTCCGAAACTCTCGTCGATTTTCTGCAGAAATCCTAAACCCTCCGAAAGCACCAAGCATCAATTCTTCAATCCTCCACTATTTGCCTTTGGGCTAATTACCGAATTGGAACTCTCGGTTCCCGAAATCAAAAACCTGCTGAACAGTTGGGGCCCCCAAGTTTTGGATACTGGATACTCCAAATGCCCAAACCTGGTCAACAGTTGGGGCCCCCAAAATCTGGAAACTCCAAATGCCAACCTTTGGAATCTAAAGCGAGGGCTCCCGAAACTCCCAAACCTGCTGAACAGTTGGGGCCCCCCAAAACTGGGAACTCCAGAGGCCTCCAAACAGTTGTGCTTTTTCTGGGGGTGTATATATAAGGAAAGTAGTTTCCCACTGTTACTGGGCGGGGGCAGATCCCAACCTCTAACTACTGAGTTCAGGGGTCATAACCTACGCTTTTGCAGGGTCTGGGGCCCCCAGGTATGCGCTCATTGCAGATTCTGTTGTGGTTTGTACAAGTAGCTGGGGTTTGCTCTTGGAGGATCTTGGTTTTAGCTTATAAAGGCTTGATTGAGGTGTAGGGGTTCGGGGAGTTCGGGGCTGAGATAGGGGGGGGGAGCCCAGACCCTGAGAATTCCTAGACTCGATGATCGTGATCCGCAGCTTCCCTTACTAGGTCATGATGGCCGGAAAGAAGAGAATCAGAGGGAGCACTCTGTGTGAGGAGGGCATATGTAGGTCGCCGGTTATGCAAACGTCAGTGCGTGTGCCCCTGTAAGCATTCCTGCATATTTACATTTTGGGTGCTAATTATCTGTGTTGATATTTCCTGCCTTAGCCCAACACCGTTTGTACTGAGATGGGCCTCCGCTAGTTTTAACGTCTGAGGTACACCTGCCGCAAACTCTAGGCGCCCCAAACCCGAGGCTACCATATCCCTGTGTGATGTGCATGAGTTCGCTTAATATAAAATCTGTCAGGCCCTCAAGCTATCCGCGGCCCGGCCTTCCCAGAAAAACGAAGGTTCCGGTTCTGGTAGCATGTGAGGTATATAGAGCCCTACAGTAATCCCTAGTCACCTCGTCCCTAAACCCTGAACCCAAATTCCCAATCCCTTTATTTAACCCCACATGGGTGGTTGTCAGAATGATGGTCCCTTTTAATATTTAGGGTGCCCAAAAAGGGGCCTTAATTTTGACAACCACCCACATGTTAGTTTCGGAATCGCTCAGCTTTCCTGAGGTGTTGAACATCTCGTTCAACAAGTTGTCGGGTGCGCCGTGGTCGCACACATGTAGGGTTCAGGGTCTCTTCTTCATACCTGGACCCCAAAACTGTGTAGAAGAATAGCCTTTTATAGGTATCGGGCCATTATCTTGCCTACTTTGGGGGGTTTAGGTAAAACCTAAACTCCCAGATTCTTTACACTGGAGATCCTGTGACTTTACTAGGGTCTTTAGGAAGGGGTCTGTGGTTGCGAATTGTGGTGGTTCGCAGTGAAGCTTCTCAGACGCCTAATCCTTAGCTACACTCCCCCACCGAGGGACTTTCAGTGGCTTTACTTACCTTTGGTTAGTAAGTAGGGAATGGAGGAATGGGGTACAATTGTAACTACTGTTACTACCATTCTTCCATTTCTTACTAACCAAAGGTAAGTTTAAGGCTCTTATGAAACGTGGATGAGACCAGTTTGGTCCCATGTAGTAGCCGCAGGGCTCTGCCCCTGATTAATGGACCCCCCCTTGTCTGTAGGGGTTATCGTAGGCGACTGAACATAGGTCCGTCAGAGACAGGGCTTAATCTATCAGGGGTCTACCTGGACTCGGGACAAAGCTGATCAGTGTTGGTTTCGAACTGAGTTCCCATCCAGAAACAGTATCGCAAGGGTATGCACAGCGTCTGTCGGGTTCCAAAGCCTGCGAACTCTCCACTATAGTAGGTTATGATCGCATACGTGTCAAAGCCGCTGTAACACCCTTGCAACACCTGTAAACAACACCTATGAGACCCAGCGCAGCCCTCATATCGAACTCTGGCATCCCTTCTTCCACCCCCAACGAACAAGGACAGAACCCATACATGTGCGTATGTATGTTTGTCTGTATTTCTGTATGTATATCTGTATGTACGTATGTATGTATGTATGTATGTATGTAGGAAGGGTATGTATGTATGTAAGTATGTATGCATGTATGTACATGCATGCATACATACATACATACCTTAACAAAAATACACCTATGGACCCATGTCTGATCCGTGCCAAGGGGTGCGCGGTGGCCCTATCCTCAGCGCAGCTGCCGAAGCTACGGTACTTCCACCTTCACAGGCCCTCTCTTCTGGCGGTTCAGGGTTTAAGGATTCAGGAGTCTAGGCCAAGTTTAGGGTTTGGGATTAGGGTTAGGTTTAGGGTTCGGGTTTCATGGTTTTGAATTTGGCGGTTTTCCCTGCAATGAACAGATGTGTTCTTGGGGGGCAGTCTAGTACACCAGCACTTCTTGGAGGTTCATGGGTAGTTATAAGTGTAGTTTTGAGTCCCCTAACATGGCTTATATGATTTTGGTTACCTTACGTACAACCCCACTTACAACTACCCCTACACCCTGAACCTTACAAACCCTATACACCCTAACCTCCAAGCATTATAGGAAGAAGCAGGCGGCGAAGCGCTTGTCGCTTGAACCTACCGTCGACGCAAACACACATAATGTAGGGGGGCTGAATAACTAGAATAGGGTCTTGGGGGTTCCTTAGTATAAGTATAGTATAGTATATCCCCAAAACCCTATTCTAGTTATTCAGGCCCCTAAATATTATCAGGCCACAGACGGAAACCTTCCCGGCAGCGCAATAACTTCTTATTTCAAGCTTTATGCCTAGGACCTGGAGTAGGCCCTTATTCCCTTTTTTTAGGGTTCAGGTCCCCTTATAAGCCCCTTTAAACCAAAAAGGGCACCCTTTTCGTTCCTAGGTTACTCTTGGGTCTAGATGCCCCGTGAGGATCCTACCTGGAAACCCAAAGGCCCAAAGCCTATTCGTCGAGATCCTAAGGTAAACGCCAGAAAGTTGGAATATGAATTTCCTAACCCTTCTATGGTAAACTATAGGGTATCCTACCATGAAACCATATTCCAACTTTCTGGAGTTCCCTGTAGGGGTTTATGCCCTATGATTACGGCTCCAAACCTACCGATGAGTTAGGAGGGTTTGGGTTTATAGGTTAGAAGGGGCCCCTACCCTGTAATCGTGACTACAAGGATTCTATTATTAGGGCCCTATTCTATTTCTAATATCCCACTATTAGGGTGGTGGCCCCTTCTAATTTATAGGTATTACCAAGCTCGCGGAGCGCCCTTAAATCCCCAAAAACCTTAAACTGTAACCCAGAGACCCCAATACCCCTTGATTACGGAATATACCTTAAATTATAAGGGGATTCATATTATGATTTAAGCTATATTCCTTAGTTAAGGGGTATTGGGCTCTCTGGGAAGCCCTTACATCCCCAGGGAACCGGAGCCTGCAAGGATCAGCGTCCCCCTTCGAGTAATCAAAGGAGCCATCAAATCGTCGAAGGATGGATCGGTTTAGGGTTAAGGGTTTAGAGTTCAGGGTTTAGGGTTTAGGGTTGAGGGTTTAGGGTTCAGGGTTTAGGGTTTAGGGTTTAGGGCCGGATCAACAGCATAGGGCAGGCACAGCAACACCTACGCGAAGCAAGCAAGCAAAGCACAATACAGCCCTTACACTCGTTCTGCAGGATTCTCAAGCGGTAAGCCCTACATAACATCACTTGGAACCTGCAGATTGCAGCTCCTGAGTGCAAGCACCACACAGCTTTGGGAACACTGCAGAAGCCGGCAAAGGACAAGCCTAGACTCGACTGCTCCTCCAACAATACTGAAAGGAACAGCGCCTAGTCCTTCAGCCTGACCCATACCCTATGTATACACACGAAATCCTGCAAGGCCTACAGTATGGAAGTACTAGGACTTCCTGGCGGTCTTGCCCGAAAGCTGCCCTAGAATGAAAACCCCCAGAGCCATACAAAGCCTCTCAGCCTCGAGCGGCGCACCAGAAACCCCTACAACCCTAAACCCTACAACCCTAAACCCTAAACCCTAAACCCCCTACAAACCCGAAGCCGCCAGAGGAACCTCTTCCAGGGAGTCTTACCCCAAGACCGGAGCTCTTGGCTGGGCTTCCCCAACCTCTGGGAACTGACACTCTCTGGGAGCCCTGGGCGACATTAACTTAGGAGTACTTAAAAATATTTTTTAATTTTTGGCTACTATAATCCCTAAGAAGCAGCTAAAAATACAGTTTTTGCTAGGGTTCCAAGTTCAGCATAGATTAAAGTGTGGGGTTTAGGGGGTTAGGATTTAGGGACAAAGGGTCCGGGGTTTAGGGTTGCGGGAATTTAGGCATTAAAACATTCAACTGGAACGGGTAGTTTTAGGCCTACTTAGTATAGACGGTTTAGGCTTGGCTTCTGCGAGCTGGTTCTTGTTACCCTACGAAAAAACCCTAATCCTTCGCCCGAAATCTCTGAAGGTTGTTTCTGTATGCTTTGGGTTCATGCGGATAGTAGCAAAGTCCCCACATGTTGTAGAGGCTACAACCCCTGAATCTCTCCTCGCTCGCATCAAACTGGGCCTTCCCATTCGAGTTACAAACCCTAGCCCGAGTTCAGTCAGGAGACATTACCTGGAGGGTCGGGGGACCTAGTAAGTAGGTAGTAAGTAGACTTATAAGGACCCCCAATAGGGACCCTAATTGGGGTTATGGTACGTATAAGTCCCTAGAATAACCAGTTACTAAGTCCCCCGACCCTCCAAGCAGTTTAGCCCGAGGCCGTGGCTGGGAACTCTAGGCCCTAAAGCTCTGAACCTGTAAGCAATAGACGAAATTCTGGCTCTAAAGCGTGGGCACTGGGTTTAGGGCTTGGGGTTTGGGATCTAGGGCTAAACCGGATTGTGGCTGAGGAATCAATTCAGCTTGCGTTTGCCGCCGGCCATTGCAAACCTGAACCAGCTTCGGGCGCCCTGTCGGCCAACACAGGTTCCCGAATCCCCGAAGTCTTAGTCTTGCGGTTGATGATATATATCCTGCATTACCGTAAGGGCCCTAAACTATGGGAATTATGGTATATTCCTTATTATGGGTAATGCAGGGTTTCTATCATCAACCGTAGTACTTGTAGGTCTTAGTTTGGTTTGAGGCTTTCTATGGCTTCACGCTAAGTATTGTAGGGCTTTGTCGGGAGCATCAACAGGACTGTAGAGGTACGTTAATGCTTGTATCGTTGCTTCGAGGGGGGTGGGGCATGTTCTAATTATATATGAACCATGAGTGGGTCTTTGAATGTTTTTGCTACAGACAAATGCATGCAGAAAATATTCTCTGGGATTTATGTAAAGATTCAAATCCTTACCATGTGGACACTTGGACCTTTAGGGTGACTGAAGGCTTTACACAGTAATGTTTGGGTCGGAATGATTGGTAATGGTACCTTCATATAACTCCCTATTCAACGACTTCTATGTTGTAGAACGTGTTTAGATGATGCAAGAGATCCCAGGAGAGGGGTCAGGGTTTAGGGCTTCGGGCTTTGGGCTTAGGGTTCAGCGACTGGGCTGTAGGGGTCTTCGGTTTCGGGTTTAGGGTCGGGCTTCTGGGTCTTAAGCTTTAGGGTTTAAGGTTTGGTGTGTGCAGGGCTTTGTGAACTGGAGAGTACAGAGCTTTCTATCATGTGCTGAAGCATGTGTATTGACTAATGAAGGGTATTGGCGCCAGGGATCGTATACCTCACAACTACTCTGCACATGAGCCTTGGAAGCAGCAACCCCCCCCCCCCCCCCGGGCCCGAACCATACACCGCAGCTCTGACGCAGACGAACACAAGCCTTATGAACCTGTACGCGGATTACAAGACCAATGTATTGGTTCAGCTTGTGTTTAAATCCTTAAACCTCTTGAACGGTTTAGATCGACAGGGCTTATATGCAAAGGGCCCAAAACCTGATTTTTGTTAGTATTTGGCAAACTTTGTCTTTATTTGTTTTATTTTGGCTTCATTTGGCTTTATGTAGCATATGTGTTTATTTGTTGTTATTTGGTTTTAGTTGTTCTGTGAATTATAAGTGTTTGGTTGTGATTCAGTCAAACCGCTTCCTGCTGTTCAACCTGGCTTCCTGCTGTTTTACGTCAACAAATTTGTTTTTATTTGTTTTTAAAGTTATTATTATTCTTATCAACTTAAGTTTTTGGTTGTGATTGAGTCAAATGGCTTCCGGCTGTTCTACCTGGCTTCCGGCTGTTCTACGTCTACAAATTTGTTTTTATGTGTATCCCGCTCTCAAACTTAAGGTCCTACTCCTTCCTAATCGCTTTGGACTGCTACTGAAAGTTCAGGCTACCTGCTAAGTCCAGGATATATCCAAGCCCACATGTTCTTTACATCCACATGCATTCATACCACGACACTGTTCATAGTTTTCAACCCCCCCCACAAAACCTCAGGCGCTGTTCGGAAAAGTAGTACTAACCCGACAGACCATGTCAGTGTTTACGTGTGTGTGCGCGTGCAATCATAACCTGTGCAAATTATTATAGTATATAGTACTTCGCCAGTTTCATAACTGGCACAGTATAAGTATCAGAGATAGTTACGGTACAGCCGTATGTGTGGGTCGGCATACATATATATATATATATATATATGGATATATACATATATACACGTATGTGTATATATATATATATACACACACAAACACATCCGTCCGTCCGTCCGTTCCTCCCTACCTCCCTCCCTCCCTCCCTCCCTCCATCCATCCATCCATCCATCCATCCATTTGTTCATCCTTCTATCGTTCCATCCCTCCATCCTTCCATGTATATTGCATAGTGCATATTGCATTATAGTTATAGACCGCGGGCGCCGCCTCCACACTTCGCCGGCGCCTATAGATACATGTCGGTCTTTGTGCGAGCATGGAGACTCAGGGGTAGACATGGTTACCCTAAACACTTAACCCGAAAACTTAATAGCCCCACAAAGCCCGAAACCCTAAACCCTTAATCCTCCAGCCCCTAAGGCCCTACACCCGTGACCTTGACACCCTCAACGCCCAACACCCTGAGCCCTAAACCCTGCTACCCGGGGATCGATAGATACATAGACTTATCCCGGGCATGCTTATCCAAATCCTCACTCTTCGACCCTAACTAAGGCTCCATGTACCTATATAGGGTATAGGGTTTATGGTATAGTATATGATAGTGTATGCTTAGGCCTTGTGGTACCTATAAAGGGGCTCCTTCAGGGCCGAAGGCTATACTATACAAGGTACCTGGAGCCTGGGGCAGGGAGCCTGAACCCTAAACCCTAAACCGTCTGAGTTTAGGATCTAGAGCGCGAAGGGCTTAGGGATTTAGGATTTCGAGCCCTTCAGGGGCTAAGTATATGGGAGTTTCCGAAAATGAGGGGTACCCCTTGTGGGGTCCTTGTAATAAGGATCCTATAGTATTTAGGGTACCATATTAGGGTCCCCTATTTTTGGAAACTCCCATATACTATACAGTACTAGGAGCCTTGACTCAGAACCCCTCAACCCAACGTTTGCGGGCTCGAATCCCTCCCCCGTCATCCCCCCCTCCCCCCGGGGAGCCTGGGTTTCGGATTTCAAGCCCGAGGTTCTTGATATCTCAGACACGAATCTCGTGGGCAAGGTGCCGGGAGCGATGGAAGCACGGTCAAAGATACATTGCACATAGGACTTAGTAAGGGTTCTTAAAGGGCTCTTTAAAGAGATCTATAGGCTTTCTTAAAGGGATGTTAGGGTTTTGGGGTTAGGGATTACTTAAGGGATCATGGAACTTAGTACCCAGGGTTATAACTAGGATGACTATACTTACAACTACTAATAACCCAATTAAGCCACTTATAACCTTACTTACTAAGTACCATGATCCTCCAAGTAGAGGTCGGAAAAGCTAGTAAGAATACTGGCTTGTCACGCTAAGGTACAGTATACCCCAAAATCTCTACGCATCTAATCACGGCCCTCCAGTCACAGCGGCAGGCTCGACTTCCACAGCTGTCTCTCCTGGTAGTTGTCTTCCACCTCCTTTATCTCCTTCTGTGTACTTCGGCGACCACTGCTGCGGCGCCGTGCATAATATGGAGATCACGGACGCTAAGGCTCAAAGACTCATTTTAAGGCCTTTTGGCCTAAAGGCCATACTATTTGAGGCATTTGGTCTATGTGGAGCCTCAGGTTTTGTTTCATACACCCAGAGACTCAAAACACGACAGACATCAATCAGGGCTATGCCGTAGCGTCTATCGGCTTCATATGACAGTGTCAGGAAACAAGGGGCCCTTATGTTGAAGCTACACGAACAAAAGGGTTCTAAAACGAAGGACAGCTGAATTTTGCAATACCCCCTTCTTTGTTTCTTCACCGCTACGCTACTCCGTAATTCAAGGCATGCCCATAGGCTCCATAGTAGTTCTTTTTGAGGGTTCATATTCTGTCTCCTATAATTTATAAGGTAATCCCCAAAAGGAACTTCTGATAATCTTCGTAGCTAGCCTCCTGTCGCTGAGCGAGATCGCACATCAACAAGCTTTGTTAGTGGGTTGACTGTTTCATCTGGCCATCACCGAACTGATCGACATTGTGGTGAGAGTTGGCGGCGTAGAGCTTAGGGTTCAAACGGGGCAAAACGATGCAGCTTACTTACCAGGAGATTCATAACCATTCATGGCGGCACATTTCTGCTGCAAAAGGCTCGGGAATCTAGGGCTGGCCTGTTAAACCACGTTTACCTTAGAGCTGAGTGGATACACTTTACACTTTTTCTGGGATAGTATTACCCACGATAAAACTAAAAGTGTACACTTCTTGGGGCTTATGAACTCAGCAACTAAGTTACTGGGTGGCAGACTCGAAGTTTCGTGTTGTTTGAGCTCAATACGCCGTGCCTTCGGGCACCTAGCGCAACCCGCATCTACGAGCCAAGCTCGACCCCCAACTCCTGCAAACTCCTAGCGTCCTAGCCTAGCAGCCGAATATATGCATGACGGCCACATACCCACACGCCTACCGTTCGAAACAAAAAGGACTTAACCCCAAGACCAAACCTACCTCTTAATTCAACCAGTTATCAACCCTGAACACGCCGAAGCAAGCAACGCGGCGCACCAAGGAGAACATGTCAGAGCTTATCCGTTTTGACATCCACAACAGCAACATCGACCGAAAGCTTTTGGGGAAGAACCAGCCACTCGGAGGCTCAAGATATTTGGTATGTGCCAGGAGCCCCCGAAGGGCCCTTTGAAAGAGCCCTGTGGTCCTTAATAGTGGGGGGTAGTTGCGGGTTCTAAGTAGGTTACCCTTATTATGAAGGCGGGTACACGGAGATTTAGGGTTGTTGTTTGATGGGTTTGGGGATCTAGTGGTGTAGGTAATTTTTACTTTGAGGTGTAGGGCCTTATGGCTTTACCGGGTGGCTGGGGCTCTGAGTGGCTGGGGTCTTTGTTGAAGCCTGAAACCCTGGGTCCTAGGTTTTTGGTTTGGGGTTGAGGGTCAGGGTTTTAGGATTTAGGGGTTTAGGGTCAGGGGTTTAGGGTTTTGGGGGTTTAGAGGTCTGGGGGTTTAGGGTTTAGCGGCTTAGGGTTTAAGGGTTTGGATTTAGGGTTTCGGGTTCAGCCTTACTTGGACCCCCAAAGCCTGCAGAACAATGGCCTTTCCTCGGTGTTGTGCCATTATTCTACCTACTTTCGGTGGTTTAGGAAAACCCTAACCCAAATGCTCAAAATCGCCCAAGAGCATCATATAGTATGGTCTTTCGGTCTAGAAGTCGAATCCTTAGAGCTTTAGGGTTCTAGGAACCCTTATAGTATCCTTATAGGAACCCTTACCGTTGGGGAGGCCTTAGGGTAACCTTCCAATTCAGGAAATTGGGAGGAGATGGCTCGAACTGTGCACCGATGCCTCTCGGATGCTTTTAATACAGGGGCCTTAATAATCACCTTTACTATTTTGGGGGTTCCTTTAAAGGGATCCTTCAAGGGGTCTATAAGGGATCTTATTCTAATTATTCAGGATCCTTGTACCGCCCCGAAGCCCTGAACCCGATGCCTCTGAAGGCTTACTTAAAGGATCATGGAACTTAGCACTCAGGATTATAAATGAGAGAACTATACTTAAAACTACATATACCCCCAATTAAGGTACTCAGAACCTTACTTACTCAGTCCCGTGATCCTCCAAGTCAGGGCAGCATGAAGCCTTGATGTCTTCTTACAGTACCAGTTTTAAGGTCAGGACCTCTAATATTGAACAGTAATTAGGTACCGGAACAGAGGGGTAGAGTACTACCTAACAAGCCTAAGAACCTACTTCAAGCCACAAGGAATCGGAGAAAGATTACCGCCACCGCACTTTTGGGGACCTTCGAGCATGAGGCTCAATGGCTATTACTTCTGGGGTCCCGCAGTATTAATTATGGTATAAAGGGCCCAAAAACCTTATTCTAATTATTGAGGGCCTAGGTATTACCGTCATGCAGGACAGAAGCTCCATGACCTATGTTCGTCCCAATGCCGTGGGATCACAACTTAAAAGTTTACCAGTGCGGTTGCACTCATTACTTGGTGTCTATGTTGCAGGTATTTAATACTGAATAATGAAGCCCTGAAGTAACCTAAGACCCTCAAGCCCTGCATCCCAAACACTATACACTATACACGCTTGTAGGACCCCGCGAATAGGCCCCTAAAGAAGGCCAACACCCCAAACCATACACCTTGGAACCATAATATCTTTTCACTCCAAAAACCCAAGCCCGAAACCCTAAAACCTAAACTCCAAACCCTATATAGATCCTTATTCTAGAACCCTTATAGATCGTAGATCCCTTATAGAACCCTTACGGATGGATCCCTTTAAAGGAGCCCCAATTTCCCCCACAAACCTCACCCACAGCCCCCAAGAGCCCAAGGCTCGAGGACCCATGCCACTTCTTCGCAAGCTCTGACCGCGCACCACTGGAGAAAGCCGTGAGGAGCGGCTGATTTTTAGGGCCGAAATAGTTCAGGGTTTAGGGTTTAGGGCTTAGGGTTTAGGGATAGTCTCCATTGTAGTTCCTTTTTTTGGTTAACCGGTTTTATGGTTAGGATCCTATAATAGAGATTTTGGTTAACCCCTGGACCCTCGTAGTGAGATCCTAAACCTTAGCCCCCAAAGCCCAAACCCTCGCCCACAAAGCCCCCAAGCCTATTAGGAGCCTTAGGGTAGGGTTTCGTAAGGTTTTATTAGGGTTTAGGGAAAGCCTTGAGGAGCGGTTTACTTGTCCTACATGGGAGTTTCCGAAAATTAGGGGTACCTGTGTTTGGGGTCCTTATAATAAGGATCCTACATAGATCGTAATTAGGGCATCCCGCCTTGCAGCCTTGCACCTATGTACAATCAAAAAAGTTAGTAGTTTTCGAACAAATCCAATATAATGTTGTATAATGGTATAACATAATATACTATGTGCATGTATGTTGTACAGCTAGTGAAGGATCTGAACCAAACTCCCCCCCAAGACTCCCACGGGTAAGCAACTCCTGGCTTAACTGGGCAACTTCGGCATCCATCCCCCAACAGATATGAAGCCACAACAGGACTGTTATGAAGCCCTTAAGCCCCAAATCCTAAACCCCATTTAAAAACCAGACCCTCCATCCCAAACTCTATTAACCCCACAGTCAGGACGGTCTGGGGTGCTGCGTACTGGCAACGACACGCCTACTCAGCCGACACGCCTTTCTGCTCTTGGTCAGGCGCTATGGGCGTGTGTGTGTGTGTGTGTGTGTGTGTGTGTGTCAGAATAACCTTAAAAATATAAGCAAAAGTAATGAAACTAATAATGGACATACGAATAATAACAGTAATACCAATGGTAATAGTGATAATAACAACAATCATGTTAGTAAGAACATCAACAATATTAGAAATTGTACAGGACTAAACAGGCCCATGTTTAGGGTTTGGGCACAAATGGGTGTGCCAAAACTCAGAAAGTAGCCTATGTTTGGGGCTTTAGGGTTTAGGGTAGGCCCGAAACTGAATTGCAGACACTGACAGCCGTAAGTAAGCTAGATGGGGAGGCAATCTAACTCCCCACCCCCCAGACGTCTTAGCACCCAGACGGTCCGAGAATTTGGACTTTAAGCCGATAAGCTCTTCACTCCAGTCCGAAGCTTAAGCCTTTACCCCTTTAAACCCATAGCTGCAAAGCATTGTCTCTGGAATGTCGCAGCTTGGCCCTTAACCCTGAATTGAAACACCCTAAACGCTGAACCCGAAAAGCTTCATGCCCCAAGGCCCAAGAGTTCAGGGTGTAGGGTTTAGGGTTTAGGGGTTTAGGATGTAGGGGTTTAGGGATTAGGGGTGTAGGGGGTTAAGGCTAAGGTTTAGGGTTTAGCATTGTGAGTTAAGGGCTTAGGATGGCTCAGGGTACTGCCAGTCTATGCTGGCTTCATAGCGACTATGACGGCTCTGTTAAATGCCATGTTGTCGCTGCCGTGAGGACCTTGGGATTTCGACTGCCGGTTTTCCTGCCTTTTTGGGGCTCCTCATTATGACTTCCTGATATGAGTAGGCCTGCTTTAAGGGTTCCCATGACGGGACCAGGTTGCGAGACACACTGCAAAGGTCGGGTCATCGGCTACCTACAGGGTCACACCCTGCGCGCTTTTTTCACGTACACAGTTCTATGCGTTCTATGGTTAGGTTATCTCATATAGAAAAGTAGGTACATTTAAGGGGTAGGGCATGAGCCTATAGTATAGATGGGGTTCAAGGTCGCGGGTTCTTTTGTTAGAAGAAGATGGATGAGGAAATGAGGAAAACCCAAAGACCTAAACCCTTAGCCCCGTTTACCCTAAACCTCAAGCTATGGGTGTAACCCAACTTTAAAAGCCCTAAGCCTCAAGCCCTAGGCGTAACTTGCACCACAGCGAATGGCCAGCCGAGAGTAACCTGGCGATGAGCGGGGTTTCAGCACGGCTTCTATATCAGTTGTTTACGGATTCTAAATTCATGAATGGTCTCCCTGGGCTCCATAAGGTTTCTATATGGGTTCTAGAATGGATCTGTAGTAGGAGTTCTTGGGTCGAGGGCATCTCGTTTTTGCCTAGCATCTTCGTTCTGATAAGCAGTGGTCCCTGGTCTCTTGAAGGTATTGTTTTACTGGGAGTCACTGGCACGGTAGCGGTCTAGGCATCGGGGTTGCTACGCTATGGTTAATGCAGACCCCAGATTCATTAACCTCCTCTCTGTGAGGGCCTTAATATCTTAGAGACTCCGAAATCGCTCCATTAAGGAGTATACTTCAAACTATTGCAGGCTCCTTAACATGATCCAAGGTATATTCCTTAATTCAGGGATTTTGGAAGCTCTGGTACTAGATTAGGATCCCTATTGGATTCCTTCTGGTAGTAGGCTAGGACCCCTATTGTAAAGTGCATTCCTTCCCCAGGGGGTCCATATACATTACCATTATGGAATTAGGTCCCCGCAACCATAATAGGGATGGTCTTTTGGGACCTAATTCCATAATGGTAGTGTATATGGACCCTCTAGGTTAAACCCTAAACCCTAAACCCTAAAACTTAAACCCTAAACCCTAAACCCTAAGCCCTAAACCCTAAACCTAAACCTTCAACCCTTAACAGTCGAGTTCTAGAAGATGCTGTCATCATCATGGGGCATGGATCTAAAGTAGGTAGTATTATTGGGGAGACCCCTTAAAGGGTAGCCCTTAGAAGCTGCCCCCACCCTGTAATAGTGGTATAATAGGAATATAATAGGGCCCTAATATAATCCTATATAATCCTTATGGTCACTATTACAGGGTGGGGGCAGCTTCTAAGGTACCCCTTCTGTACCCTACTTCTGGCTCTCTTAAAAGGGGCCTTATTGAGAGGGTCTTTTTCCCCAAGATTCCCCCTAATCCTAACTCCCATACAGGCCTTCTTGAGGAACGGAGGTTTAACACATCAGTGATCCATCGAAAACCAGGGCCATGTCTGCCCCACGTAGGGCACTGGCCTTCCAGGAATGAGAGCCCTCATACTAACCCTTACCGGGTCCAGCCCTAAACCCGGTAAGTACAAGAAACACTTGAGAGACAACACGGCACTGAACAAAAGCACTTGAAGATATCCTAAACCCCAAACCCTAAAGCCCCAAGGTGCCCCTATCATGAACCCCTCTGGAATCCGATGAACTGCAATAAGAACCTAAAGCCAAGGCCTACAAGCAACTCATACCAATCCTATCAAGTCGCTCAACAGCCTAAAACCCAAGCCCTAAAACTTACACCCCTGACTTCAACCCATACGTCCCAAACCCTCACAATTTATAAACCCTAAACCCATAACCTCAAGCCCTCACCCTGAAAAGGGGTCCTCAAATACGGGCCTTAATAACTACCTATACTAGTGTCCGGGGCTCTTTATTACACCTAGAGTGTATTATACCCCAGAACCTTACTCTAATGAATACCGTCCCTATATTAAATCCTCATAAAAGACCTTATTTCAGCGGTTACAGACGCCTTTCAAGGAACCTTCTTCAAACTACTGCTGATGGACAAAATCCTGCATTGCCCATTATAAGGAATATACCACAGTTCCCATAGTTTAGAGTCCTTAGGGTCATGCAGGATTTTGTCCATCAGCAGTATAAAGGCACCTACATTAAAGACACTCAGGTGGTGCGGCTCATCCTCGAAGATGCTTTGATGCCCCTGGGATCCGGTGTAGAGTCTAGGGTTTTAGGGTTTAGGGGTTTGAGGGTTTAGGGTTTTAGGGTTTAGGGTTTGGGGGTTTAGGGTTTTGGGGGTTTAGGGTTTTAGAGTTTAGGCGTTTCAGGGTTTAGGGTTTCGGGTTTTAGGGTAAGGTTTAGGTGATCCGGGAACCCTTGACGCTTGCAAGGGATTCGGCTTTTGAGTGTGTTTGAAGGCTTTTCGGGCCAACTTTGTGGTTTTAGCGGGTGCGGTGTAGGGCAGGACTTGTTTTGGGTTTGGGGCGTTTAGGGTCTAGGCGTTTTAAGATTTAGGGTTACGGTTTTTGGATTTGAAGTTTTGGGATTCATAAGGGCTCGGGTTGGTTTCAGGCTCCTGATAAAAGAAGCTCTGTCTTGAGTGAAACCCAGAAAGTCGGAACATGGTTGACGGATGATTAGTGCTAGGATTCCCTATACTTTATGAGGATAGTTTAGATGGGGCCCCACCCTGTAGGAATATAACAGGGCCCTAGTATATTCCTTATAGTCACTATTACAGGGTGGGGGCCCCTTCTAAAGGATAGTGATTCTCCAATATACTATATACATTGGACTTAATGTAGTCCCTATTTGGGTATATTGGGGCCCAAGTTTCAAGTATATGCTTTATGAGTACATGGACCCTTAGGGGATAGTGATGTTCCAATTTTCTGGCTTCTGCTGTAGAATCTGTGCGAAGGGCAGTGGTCTGATCAGGGCGGCACCATCCCCGAGGGACCAAGTCGAAGAAGAAAGGGGCTTCCCCTTTTTCAGTTCCAACGGTTTTGGGTTTAGGGTACATGTGATATGAGTTTATGTTCAGTTCTAAACGTGTCCTTAAGGGTCGAAGTACTCCCTGCTAGCTCTGTCATAGGACTTTGGGTCCATTCTGTGTACCAGGAGCCATAAATGAGGACCTCCTCAGGATATGTGATATGAACCTTTAACTTATCGAGCCGAACCTTCCGTGGTTTGGCAAACTTCGAGGATGAGGGGACATACCACGGCTGTTGATAGTGCGACTGCTGCTGTTATTGTGGCAGTCGTTGACACGTTTACCGATACTGTCCTCGTTACCTCCTTTCCCATCACTGCATGTCAGATGTCGTCGTTCCGCAACTGTGCGGGTGGGTGGTGGATGTCATGGCCATGAGGCTTTGCTAGGGCTGGCTCGCTGCAAAGGTCGGCCTGACCGGCTAGATGCCCTCGGCATGCGGGAGAACGGTGCCGTCGTCTACGGCGATGCCAGCCGGCCAAGCCGGTCTGTGAGCTGGCTGCTTTCGGCGTGCAACAGCTACGAGCAGTACTTCGCTCGCTTCCAGCTGCTCCTTACCCCCACGGCGTCGACGGTGCCGCAGCCGTCTTGCCCGACGGAGTTCCTCGCAGAGGTTGACTCACAGCACGAGGTCGGGAGGTGCACGTCTAGTGGCAGTGCTGCGCCCAGTGGCAGTGCCGCACAGCCATTCGTGCGACAGGTGACGGGTCTGGATTTCCGCGCTGGGCAGGCGGGGTGTCGGCTATAGAGAGTTGTCTTCCGTAGACAGTCCGTTAAGCCAGTAAGCTTGTCGTGCTTGGTGTGCTGGAAGTTGCAGTGGATTCGTTTGTGTGCCGTCCGGCCATTGGTCCGTGGTTCTGGATGTGTCTCGGTGCGATAATGCATTGCATTCAGAGTTAGAGTACGCGCATGAGTTTCTACGAAGCGTCGGCTTGGTTACAGGCCGAGATCAATCCGGAGGTAGCCGTTGCGGCTGGGCTGTGGCAGTTCGAGGAGATCGTGCAGCAGGAGGCCCGCAAAAGCTTGGTTCGGGGTCGTTCGGCGGTGCTTGAATCCGGGCTGTCTCACATCGGGTGCGATCCCTCTGGTACATGGCTCTGCGGATGCGCGTCGGGTCTTGTGTCTAGGACGGCTATGTCATCTACCCCGGCAAGCAGTTCCGCGGCTTCCTCTCCGACGAATCGGCGGCATTCGTTCCCTGCCTAGTCTTGGATGTGTTACATGCCATCTCTTGCACATGCTGTTGTGCTTGAGGTCAAGGGCATGCTACTCTTGAACCGCGCTGTCACTGGCATGCTCATGCCCTTCGACTGCGTGAAACGATGCTGGACCAACGAAGCCGGGCTCCAGCTCGGTTTCGACCTGGGCACTTCCTCCGGAAGGTGCATGCGCAAGCCAGGCATCCGGTCATGGCATGTGCTTGTAGAGGTAAGCCTCGGTAGTTTTGGGTGCAGAGGCTCGCCCCAGCAAGTCCTCAACACCAGCACGTCGCTTCGGGTGAGAATCACCAGAAGCCAAGAGCGATCGCGAAAGCTGTACAGCAAGCGAAAGGCCACAAGGCTTCAGAAACATATGCACACCTGGAAGAGCATGAGCTTGCCGAAGTCCCACTCAACGACTCTCCTCTTGTGAACCAGTGAAACAGGGCTCCTAGTCGTGACACGGCCATCACGAGTCTGCGAACTACTCAACGCGACAGGCAAGGCGCCTGATCGCGTGTCTGCGGCCTACCCTACCCTACCCTACCCTAGGCAGGAGCTCAGGTCTGTCGCGGGCTCAACACAAGAGTGAAGGTCCAGCGACCGCAGTGGCACTTTGGTGTTCGGCTGTTGCGGGCCTGAGCACAAGAGCACATGCCCAAGCAGCTGCAGCGGCACTCAAGAGAGTGTCAGTTTCGCGCACAAGCTGTCAAGTTGCAAGAAAGCAACGACACCTGTGGGTCGCCGATGAGGGGCATCCGTTCGTGGCCTCAGCGCCGAGGCAAAGAAGGGCGCCAAGACAGGCACGACCCAGCAGGGTACAGAACACTGTTGTAAAAAGCAGGTCCGGCGCACACGACATCAGGTATCGGTGCAGCCGCGCAAAAGGCAGTAGCACAAGAGAGGGGCACAATCTTAAGACCTCGCCGCTGAGGCCGAAGAAGGGCGCAACTGTAGAGGTAAGCCGGTCGGATGCACCTCCGACCCGAAGGACTTTCGTCGACCTTGGCGTGCGTACTCTTGCAGCGCATCGCCTGCACCGCCAACCGGGGGCGGAGGGGGGACCTGCTGGCCCAGTGGGAGGCAAACTTGCTGTTCGACATGTGTAGGGAGGCATCCAAGGCTCTCTGTTCACGCAAACTTCTGATAGGCGCTGCTTGCTTCCTGCAAGCGGCACATGCTGGACGCACTGCCGTCGGGCTCATTCGGACAGGACGACTTGCTCCGTCTGAATGCGATTGCGCTTCGGGTCCAAGTGGAATCCGTGGTCACCGTATGTAGTCAGTGCAGCATCGCGGAACTAGTTGAACGGAGAAGACAAGCATGGTACAGAAGCATAAACAAGGCGAACCAGGAGTGAATCGAATGTCTCACAAAGTTCAATCTTGGAGTGAGCTAACACTGGAAGGGGCCTGAAAGCGTAGCAACCATGCAATTATATGAAGAAGCGCCTGAAAGCTAATTCGGCAACTGTCTATTACCAAGCCCTACAACTGGAGTGGAGGATCCGTTTGAGTTGGCTGTCTTTGAGCCCATCTGCGAGTTGTCTCCAGTTTTGCACTCGTGTCTGTAATATTGTTATCTGGCGCTTCCATGGTGTTGTGTTCTCCGTGTGTCGGCTCGTCGACCGTAGCTTCTCTGGAAAAAAACGGTGTTGGGGATGTGAATCTTCCGTCTGGAGTGACCGTTAGCAGATTCGTGGGTATGACTTACTGCGAACCTCCGAAGTGACACTGCCCGGGCCGCTGCCAGGATCAGCTGGAGGATGATGACCACCGAGACTGGGATCGTCGCAGGGTGTCCCTGGAAGAGGCGACTGTGCGGGTGCAGGCTCGACATGTCGGGTACGGATCAACCCCGACTCGACTGCCCAACTGCTTGGAAGTCGAGTTGTCCCCATCTGGGAGTGTGCTTTGGCGTTGTTTGCGAGGACGAGGCCGATGTGCAGAGCACCCCAATGGCTGCTCTGACAATCCAGATGGCCGAAGCTCGCCGCTTCGACATCCGGCGAGGCATGGATTCTTGAATGTCCCCTCGAGCCTTATGTTACGCTGCCTCATGATAGAGGGGGAGGGGTTTGTGCCAGTATTCCATGTTCGTGTTCTGCGTGTGACAGGGACCAAGACAGCGCTTGCAGCCGGTATGGGCCGTTACCGGCGTGTGTGCAACCGCCATAAGAGGAAGGGCGAGGTGTTAATGTCGCACTCTAAGTTGTACAGCAGGAGTAATGTTTCATGTGCCCCCTTTCTGATAATTGTCCGATGCAACAATGGTGCGGCCCAGGCCCGACACGGGTTGGAGGTTCATGTGTAGTTATAAGGGTTCCTTTAGGGATCCCTTTAAAGGGATCTGTAGGGATTCTATAATGGTATAGGTTTTAGGGCATACTTGGAGGTTCGTGGGTAGTTCTGATGGGGATATAAGCAGGGTAACTACAAGTACAACCCATACCGGGGGACTTTTATAATTCCACCCATAACTACCCATGAACCTCCAAGTACTCAACGTGGTTAGAAGTAAGGCAGCTATAGCTGCAAATCTACTTACTACCCCGCCCAAGGCAATACCTAGACCCCCAAAAGCAGGCAAAAATAATGGCCCAGAACCTCTAAAAGGCCATTATTCTACATACTTTTGGGGTCGAGGTATGGTGGTCCGACTAAGCAAGAGTATCCCCTTGAGTCCTGCCGAACTCAATAGCCGGTCCATGGTGTGGTTGATGATCGCCCTTATTACTATTATTATTATTGTTATTATTATTATTAATAACATTATTATTAGTATTGTTATTATTAGTAGTATTATGATGATTATGATTGTTATTAGTATGATGATTGTAGGACCTGTATAGTACATTTACCGCTAGTACTAGACAAAGTATTGTAGCCGGGAGGCTCGCAAGCGCAGTAAATCGCTGGATGCACGAGCTGTGAGAAGGATGCACGAGCGCAGGCAAAGCCCCAAGCTTTCACCCGCACACCCAGCGCCCATAAACACAAAAACTGTGCGGTCAAGCTTTTCGACCTTTTGGCCGAGCCGGAGCGCACTATGCCACCATGTTAAGTGCTACAAGCTGGACTTATTAATTACTTCCCCAAAAGCCCGCATCCGGCCCGGATCATCCCCACTTGCGAATTGACAAGGTCACTAGATTCAGCGAACGCGTCTTCCACTGCCGCGGTAGCCACATCAGAAGTCCAGGATCGTGAAGTCCTCTACGCCGCATACATGTCCAGCCAGTTTGAACAGAGCATAGTAGAGCCCAGAGGAGAGTCTAGAAGCACTGTAACGTTTTGTTGTATGTCCCGCTTGCTTCATCCATGTTTGCGGTGACTTTTTCGAGTACGGTTATACAACTACACGTTCGAACTGCTCTCATGACCGAAGTTTTGGCAGCTGATGGTGTCGCAGGTCAAGGCCAGCATTCACACATGGAAGGTCCATGCATTATTATTATTGACCGCAGCGCACAGTTTGTCATGGACGAACACGAGCCGCCGCATTGAATCAACACTTCGCGGCGCGACTGTGCTGATGTTTGGTTTAAGGCTTCCACTGGCTCTCAAAATTTTCTTCACAGAAACGAAACCAACAAATCGTCTCCTGGAGCACGCACCCTTTCCATGCGGATGATATACAAATAGTAGTTTGGTGTCCTCAGCCATCCGACCGGTTACACTTGATGTAGTCCTTTGCACTCTCTCAGCTTTTGGGCGTCTGCTTGGCCGCACATCATTCATATCATAAACAGCCGGCCAGGGTGCAGTGTTGCGTCGCAGTATGCGAGCTGCTGATCATCGCACCAGCCTATTTCTTGGATCGGTATGGATGTCTGCCTCGCCGCCAACCGACATCTGTTTTGGAAGGTCAGTTACGTATTTCGTATTCTGTTATGCATGTGTCCATGCATGCGACTATGCATTTATTTCGTGTGTGTGTGTGTGTGTGTGTGTGTGTGTGTTTGTGTACCGTGTATGTGAACTTGTGAACACAGATGCATACCCGTTTGTATTGGGATGAATGCCGAGTAACAGGAACGAATGAACGCACGATCCGATGAATGAATGTATGTATTTATGTGTTTATGGCTTATAGCAAGAAGGCAGGCAGGCTGGCAGGCCGGGAATTAGGCAGGCAGACAAAGCAGCAAGGCAGATAAGTTGGTGGGTAAGCAAGCAAGCATGTTGGCATGACTATAGATGCGTATGTACACATGCACGGATGGACGTACGTGAGCATCACCGTATACAACTATACATGCACATGTAGCCTACCCTTGCAGAAAATCTTGTCGGAATGGGAGTATTGAGGCGGTTTACTCAGGTGGTGCGCATAGCTGCTATTGACTATTGGCATCAAGTATGTCGAAGCCGACAGTGCAGGCACTAAAGTGTCTGAAGCACTTGATTCTGAAAATTTTGGTATACAGTCCGACTTTTGTTCAGTGCTGGTTCAGCAGATTTCTCCCAGTCACTTCATGTCGTGCATGCCAGACCCGGCAGTTTATCGCCCAAGTCTTTTGCCAGTCAACACTTGGCCTGACATACAGTGTTAATATATGCGCGGCCTTCCCGAGGTCGGGATCAGTGGCGAGAGACCTCGGCGAAACTTGGCAGCACGAGCCGCGCCCTAGCGACTTCCTCATGTCATGTATATTGAGACCTTATTTTCTTCAATGCGAAGCATCGCGAACATCGACGAACGAAGTTTGTGGGTTTTCTGATGTCGAAACACCAGGCTGTGGATTACTTAGCATTCTCGCACAGTCATTAGTCACACGTGTGCGGTCACTTCGACAATTGAGATTGATCAAAAAGAAGTATCCGGAAGCAAAGCTCTCAGGCATAGAGCCCATGCCGACAGGTTAGACTCGGTTGGGGAGCTTCTAAGCGATGAACACGAAACGTCCAAGCAGCGGTTTCCGCATGTTGAAAAATGTGGCATATGTAGCGCACACAAGCATAGAAGTTGCAGTGCGTCATCGCCATGTTGGCTGCCATACTTGAGGAGTGCTAGAAACTAGGAGGTATGTTTTGGATATCGGCATGTTGACCTATCAAGCACAGGATGACACATAATTACATATCAGTTCGGTTGCAATAGTGCAGCAGTTACAATATTAGTGATTTAGGAACCCTATACTCGAATGCCAGATCCGGGAGGATTCCTTGACGTCCATTTTTGAGCGCAGCTTCTCAAGGAACCATACCCTGAACCCCAAACCCCTAAATCATCCAACACCTAAAGCCTAAGTCCCAGACTCTAAATTTGCAGACCCTAAAATCTAAGCCCTCTTACATCCCAGACTCTAAGTTCTAGACCCTAGAATAAGTCTTAAACCTGACTTAAATCCTCGACTTTAAGCTTTAAACATGTAGTGATTTACTTTTTGAAAGACTTGTACAAAGAAATCCTAACAGGGATCATGAATTGAAAAGGTTCTTTAAGGGCCGGGTACCCTTCAAACCCGAAGCCACTTTACAACCTAAATCCTAAACTCGAGGCTCTGAGCCACGCTGAGCTCTAAACCCTAAACTCCCCCAAACCCCACACCCCAAACCTCTAAACCCCCTAAACCCTAAAACCCTAAACCCTAAACCCCAAACCCCTATAGTACCCTTAGAGAGCCCTTTAAAGAACCCTTGTAAACCCCCCCCCCCTTTAAAGGAGCCCTGGCATCCAGGATCTCACTGCACTAACTGAGCTCCGGATCCGAAGTCGCCGGACGACAGGCAAGCCTAAACCCTAAGCCCTACCTTAACACTGAAGAACCTACCTTTTTAAGGACTTATATAAGAAAATCATAATAGGGAACCCTCAAAAGGTAGGTTCTTCAGGGTTAAGGTAATCCTTAAAGAAACCCTAGACCCTAAACTTCAATCCCCTAAACCCTAAACCCCTAAACCCTAAAAAAACTTTAAACCCTAACCCCTAAACCCTAAACAGGGCTGGGTTTAGGGGAAGGTTTAGAGATTTCAGAGGTTTAGAGGTTTGAGAGGTTATCATGGAGGTGTTTAGGGGTGTAGGGTTTAATTAGATTGAGGGTTTAGGGGTTTAGAGATTTCAGAGGTTTAGGTTTTAGAGGTTATCATCGAGGTGTTTATGGCGTAGGGTTCAATTAGATTGAGGGTTTAGGGGTTTAGAGATTTCAGAGGTTTAGAGGTTTGCGGGCTGAGGGTCAGGGCCGGGCGGGTTGAAGTTGCGTCGAGGGTTTATAGGACTTACTTAGGAGCTGACTGGAAACACTTTACACTTTTTGGGATCATATCCCCCACTATAAAACTAAAGGTGTACATGTTTTTTGGGGGGCTTCTGAACTCAGCAACTAAGTCTAGAGTTTCGGGTTTCGGATCTGCACCCAGATTTTGCTTTCTGCTGGGTGGGTTTCCTTATTCTCCTGTTTTAGGATCCCTTGTTCTAAAGGGTCCTTTGTACTGTTTTGGGGGATACTTCCCCAGATCATAATAGCAATTCCTAATATAGAAACCGTACATTCTACCATACAGGCTTTTTGAACCCTTTGGGTTTAGGATCCCTTATTCTCCTGGTTTAGGATCCCCAAGAAAGGCTATCCAAACAAGGTGCGACCATCTCGGGTCTGGAGTAGGGTTCCCATCATGGTCGGGTTGCTTCCCAACCCTTTAACTTTTTTGGCTCTTATGGCCGGGTAGGAATCGGAAAGTTGACTTCTTATTTCTGTGGTGCGTTGGGGGAGTAAGCTTTGCTTGGTGATAACCAATCCTCATAGGATACATACCTTACTCGAACGCTTGCTGTTGATTCTGCATGAGCCTGCATGTACATTGTGTTTAAGTGTTCTCCTGAGTCTTCTTGCCCAGACCGATGGGGGTGATTGGGGCGGCACTGATGTTCACTGTTCTCGGAGTTCCGGTGCAGCTGAGTGCTCAGCGTTTCGAGTGGTGGGTTGCAGGCTTTTGGTGTGGGCGCAAATTTTAGAACGCAGGCTCTACGGTTGGGGTTCAGTGTCGGGGATTCAGGGAAGATGGTCGAAAGGCAGATGTTGCTTCTGTGTGACAGGACTTCATGGTGTAAACCCCTGTCCCGGGAACCCGACGACCCCTGCACCCTAGTCCCTGATTAAACCTCAACACCCGCCTAAACCGAAACCTCGCCTAACAATTCGCAACACCGCCAGCCACCTGCAATAAATCGAGATCCCATCGGCCGTGTCCACAAACACACACGCTACTCTGAGAGAGCCCAATGACTCATACTGCAGGGATATTCCTTGTTTTCCGGGTGTCTGATGACGTTACGTTGCGGAATATTGCGTATTTATCCTGCGCAAGCGAAAAACCCGCGAACCCTTTGCCCTACGCCCTGTAACACCTCCCGTCCCTGAAAAGCCCAAAGCATCTAAACAGAAAACCCTATACCCCAAAACCCCCAAACAGGCCCTAAACGCCTAAACCCTTAAACCCTGAAAGCTTTGAAGCCCAAAGGGTCCAAAGTACCTCTATAGATGAATGTAGGATTTCTATTTTAGGAATTACTACGATGATTTGGGGAAGTATTCCCCATAACAGTACCTAGGACCCTTCGGGAACGTCCTAAACCCTCAACCCCTAAACCCGAAGCCCTAAACCCTGAAACCCTAAACCCCTAAACCCCAAACCCCTATAGTACCCTTATAGTACCCTTAGAGAGCCCTTTAAAGCAACCCTTATAACCCCCCCCCCCCCCCCCCCCCCCCCCTTGAAAGGAGCCCTGCCGATCTCCCTTGGGCGACTTCAGAATCTCGAGATTTTGGAGATTCAAGGTTTCCAGCCCACGGCTCTCCCCAGAGACTCCAAAACCCCTTAATTAAGGAATAGACCTTAGATTATAATAGGAGCCCTAAGATGATTTAAGGTATATTTCCTTAATTAGGGGGTTTTGGAGGCTCTGGGTCCAAGAGGGTTTTGGCTTTACCACTTGGAGGGTTTAGGGTTTCGGGTTTAGGGTTTCGGGTTTAGGCTTTAGGGTTCAGGGTTCAGAGGTTAGGGTTTAGGGTTTAGGGGAGGTCCATGGCAATGGGTAGTAGTAGTAGTAGTAGTAGTAGTAGTAGTAGTAGTAGTAGTAGTAGTAGTAGTAGTAGTAGTCGTAATAATAATAATAATAATAAGTGGCGTTATTCGTAAGGAAACTTTGTACTTGTAAGCCAAATTCGGGGACTTACAACTCCACATGTAACTACTCATGAACCTCCAAGCACACGTCTCGATTTCAGACCGTGTAAATCCTAAGCCCAGGACATGAGGACCTCCTACAAGCCAAAACCGAAGTCGGCCGAGATTCAGACCAAAGTGTGTCAGTGTTGCTACTGCGGCAGTGCGAATACTCCGGAAGCCGGCCTGGATGATTTCAATTGCTGTGTAACGGCTGGGAGCTGTAGCAGCATAGCTAGAGCTCACAAAATCTGACGGATTCCAACAAATAAAGGGGCCTTAGTACTAATTTGGTGGTTTATGATTAATAACATTATAGTGTAATGTGGCCCTTATCTAATTAATCAGGACCTTGTTTTATGTGCACTGCTTCGAGCATCGCTGTGTCGCAAGGCCATTAGCACTCAAGATTTATGAGCACTGTTCACCTTATTCCGTTCATGCTGCCCACAATATGTCTGATAGTGCCTGGTACCAACTGCACGACTTGTAGCGAAAGCTGCATAAGAAATCAACACAGGTGTGAGCGTCCAAACTGCTTGCGGGCGCGCTAGGACTGTCTTTGACCTTTTCGGATATAAGGCCCCAAAGTAGTTCCGTTTTGGGGAACATATATTCCTATAAGGTAACCCCAAAAAGGAACTACTTTGGGGCCTATGGGTAGTCGGATGCTAGATGCGTATCTATGTACGAGCCCTGAGCCGCTGTTGTTGTTTTTGCTGTAGCTTCCTATTCCCTTATAAGGCTCCATGTACCCATGTAGCATAAACTTACGCCTTAAAGTACTCTTTTAAGGCTTAAGTATCTACTATAAAGGTACATGGAGCCTTTGGGACTTTAGTGCTGTAATTAACAAGGCTCTCTTGCAATTCTCCATGTCGACTATCGCATCAAACTAGTCGAGTACAATATGCTGGTGTTCCTGCATCACGTAACCGATGCAGTTGGAAATCAACAGCAGCAAAACTATGACTTATCATATGTGGTTAGTTTCCTCAGGCACAGCACTGAGCAAGCTCGTGGCTTGCTAAGCCGCAGAAATGCGCCAGGACGTCCAACACACAGTAGCTGCGGTGCAGGGCGCCTAGAGCCATTCCACGCCAATGCCCTGAAAGTTCGCGAAGGATACCATACCTGAAGCCTAAACCCTAAACCCTCCAAATTCTGTTACCTTGGTAGAACCCTAAACCCTAAACCCCTGAAATGCTGGTACCTTTGCAGAACCCTAAAGCACTGCAGTGCGAATGTGGAACCCACAGGCCCTTTCGATGGAAACCTGCTGACGTGCCTCTGGCTCGGACAGCTGAAATCGCTCCGTGCCACTGGATTGCATACATAGCTCTTGATTTATTTGATTTTGTTTGTGATGATATTCACATGCTGATGTATTTATATACTGTATATTGTATCTTAAATCTGCACGTTTGGGTTATAGGTATGCATCTGCATATGCACACAGTATATAACCTTTTGGCATATATACGGTATTCTACACAACGTTAAAAATACAGTTTAGAAGGTATCAGTTTAATTTTATATGTATATATATATATGTAAATGTACGAATATATATTCACATACTAATACATAGTACCTACTGTGTAATCTTTGTTTCGCACAGTGTTGGTGAACTTCATCAGATATTTAAGCAATATGCTGCATTGTCTACATGACCTACTCCGTACTCGACTTGCCACAGTAGAAACTGTATGGAAGGTGCTGTGTGTTACCTATAGAACATAACTTTTTTTAGTACTCAGATTTTCAGTAGTATTAATCATGTTGTGTTTGTCGTTGACGTGTATACAATGACTATATGCACATATTATACAACGTATGTCACACTTTATAAATGTAGTGTACATCATATACCGTTACCTATATATACACATACAATGTCAATGTGTACATATGTATATATACATACATGTATATGTATATATATATATATATATGTATACGTATATTATACATTACATACTACATGTATCCAGATGTATATCAAACACTATGTGTCAAAAGAAACGAGCCTATGCCCAGGTGTGGGCGAAGGTTCAGGGTGCAGGAGTTATAGGGTTTAGGGTCGAGAGTTTGGGGCTTAGGCTCGGTGTATCGTTACCGGCATACTAAAGAGAGGTATAGTACGGTTTAAAGTTTAGGGTTTAGCTTTGAGCTTAATGTGTCACATTCGGCTTCAGGTTTGCGGATTTGGACCATGTATTTTGCAAGCCCCAAAATGAGGGTCTAAGCCTTAGTTTGGCAACCCCAGGTGGTTTCGAGTATGTCCGTTTGCGGGCCGATGATTATCCTTTACTCTGTCCTGCATCATTTGGGGGGCGGGGTTGCAAGCCAGCTCTTCCAAGCGCTCCTCACTGAACATCGCATACGTTGGCTTATAGGTGTGCTATGGCGTAACCTTTGTATCGGGTTCCTAGAGGTTGGTCTTATTCTGAACATCTTGCTTTCTATTTCCGGCTATTTGGGAAGATGTTGGACACCAGGCCCGAAACCTAACAAACTAACCATGCTAGTTCCTTGCTTCGATGATCCAGTTTTATGGTTGGGATCCTACGATATCTTATCGCAGGTTTTAACCACAAACAGAGACTCATGGTATTCTCTCAGCCTCCCTCATATGGGAGTTTCCGAAAACAGGGGACCCTAAATATACTACCCCGAATATTAGGATCCTTACAATAAGGACCCCAAAATGAGTACCCCTAATTTTCGGAAACTCCCATATACCCTAAACCCTATAGATCCCTTATAGGAACCCTTAAAGGATCCCTTTAAAGGAACCCTAAGCCGCTCATCTCCCTAAAGCCCTTGTCTAGTTGGCGAGGCCTCGGTATCAGACGCCTGGGATCCTCACGCCTTAAAGCTTGGAATCCTGAGCTGCGGTGTATCCAAGGGTAAAAGGAGGGACCCTTAATGGGGACCCTTCAGAGGGATCTATAGGGATTCTATAAGGGTATAGGGTTTAGGGGTTTTGGGGGGTTTTGGGGGTTTAGGGGTAAAGGAGGGACCCTTAATGGGGACCCCTACCCTGTAATGGGCTATATAATGGGCAAACAATAGCTTATAGTAAGGGTATATACCAGGCGTCCTCATTAAGGGTCCCTCCTTTTACCCTTGGAGTGTAGGACTTAAGTGGGGATGGGACTGTAGGGGTTAGTTGGGGATTATTGGGCATGGTGCAGGATTATTATCAAGCATATTTAGGGATGCGTCGGACTCGCGACCCCTTCCTCTACTTTCCCGAGGTGCTGATCTTGCGGACTGCCTTCCGTGATTACACTGACGGCGACACGCTTCCTGAGCTTTCGTAGCATTGGTTTAGTAAGCTCGGCCAAGCCAGGATTACGTACGGCCGTACCGGGTGAGGTCGTTGGGAATCCGAAGCACAAAGAATCCTAGACAAAACCTGACAACACTAAATTCCCAATGTAAAAAACGGTACTTCGCACTATGTAATTAAGTTGGTACTTACTATATATATATATATATATGTATATATATATATATATATAGGAGGCAGAGCTGTTAAGTTTCTTCTCATTTTGCATCAACCCGCGCCTTGCGCATGTGTCATCCTTGGCACGGGAGCAGTGCTCTAAACCCTAAGCCCTAAACCCTCAACCTCACCAGAACCCTAAGCCCTAAACTCGAAACCCTGTGTGGTTTCCGGGGTTGGGTCCGACTGGCTCCCTCAACTTTGGGGTTTCGGACGATGGTGCAGACGGAAAAGGGCCCATAACAAAAACAAAAGTTGGAAACCCTGAACAGTAGCCTAGATCCATGAAGCTTTCCATGCCCGAACCCAAAGGGCTCTCGACTCCTAAACCGTGTATGCAGAACTCTTATACACATACCTAACCCTCGAAACCGTGCATGTTTCGGGAATGATGCCCCCTCTTTCTCAGTGGGATGAGTACGCGTGTAGTTAGAGTACTATGGTAAGTGACGCTGGGCGTGGGTGTCTCTCGCTGTGTGTGTGTGTGAGTGGATTCTTAAGCATATAGCTACCTCCTTTAGGGGCCTTGATGTTCAGGATCCTACTATGTTGCATCTATAGTGTTTTGCTTGATTTCTGAAACTTTCGTGTTGTGACAGGTTGCATACAGTGGGACATCATCAGCCGATGTGACATTATGTCTCCAGTCTCGAGTTTGACAGATCTTCCAACACCTTGTTCTGGACAAATTCCGATTCAGAGCACTGATGAAAAAATCTACGTGCTGGAAGGTGTCAGAACTAGGGTGCGCAGGGCTCAACATGTAGGCTTTGCAGGCAGAAGTGTGTCGGAATCTCCCAAACTTCAATCCCCTTCCGGTAGACCCAGCCCAAAATTTCGAAAGTTCAACTCGTAGAGACAAGGACAAGTTCGCCAATCTGGAGCAGCTGGAGGTGCTGGATCTTACAGGCAGCTTTATTGGTTTGCTTCTTTTGTGTTACGTTCTGCCTTCAGGTTGCAATAGATGTTCGTCTAGACATCAAGGCCCCCCAGATTACATCCTCAGCCTCAACTTAACTGTAGTCTAGTCGTTAAAGCCCCGGGATAGATTGACTCCCAAGCCCCAACCTCATTGTGGTCTGGTCACAAAGGGCTCAATATGAAAGAAATCCTAATCCTCAACTTCACTGTACTAGACTAACGGCCCTTTGTTTCAAGCCTAGGGCCTACAGCCTCAATACGTAAGAGCCATGTACAGGGAATCCCAGCACTAGTTGGCCTGAATCCGATATCCAACTTTATGGGGTTTGCATTAGCCTAAACCCTATAACTCCTAAACCCTACACCCTAGTTCCTAAACCCCAAACCCTAATTCCTAAACTGAACCCTCGATCCATCGTTCCAGCCAAGTCCGAACCCCAAGATCTGCACCCTGGCGAGGTCTGCACCGTACCATGAGCCGGTTTAGGGTTTAGGGTTTTTAGGGTTTAGGGATTTTAGGGTTTAGGGTTTAGGGTTTGGGACCCCCAGAGGGTCCTTGTACACTGCCACTATGCAAAACCATAATAGGGATGGTCTTCCGGTATCTAATTCCATAGTGGCAGTGTATATTGGACCCTCTGGGGGACACTCACCAACATGTCGAGAGCATATACAGAGAGTTTAGGGTTCAGGGAATCAGGGTTCCGGTAAAGTTTATAGTGCAGCATTCAGGGTTTATGCTGTGGCAGCTACCGCAACGATACACTTTAAGAAAGCAGGACGGTGGCCCTTCTGTATGCATTTGCGTGTATAGCTTTGAGTGTGTACGTATTACTCAGATAGACAGCCATATTGTATGGCTGTCTATCTGAGAAACGTCAGCAATCCCAAGGATCGATCCAGTAGCCCAGCATGGCCCAACGGAGGTGTTACGAGAGTTCTATACCTAAGGGTCCATGTACCTATATAGTACACACATTGGCCTTAAAGTACTCCCTATATGGGTACAGTACATTGGGCCCAAAGTATATACTATTTGGGTACATGGACCCTTAGGATATACCAGTTGTGGGAAGGGCGCAGAGGGAAGGGCTCAGAGGGTTCGTTTGTTCCCCCATCACCAACCCTCGACGTTCAAGCCTAAAGCCCTATTATAAGACCGAAATCTGTTCTGGCCGAGGGAATCGTGTCCACACAGACTTTGGGGACTTTATCCGCGTCTCGGCTTATGCCTGAAATTCGGAGCCTCGACTGGGTCGGAAACCTGATCTAGGACCTGGAGTAGGCCCTTATTCCCTTTTTTTAAAGTTCAGGTCCCCTTATAAGCCCCTTTAAACCAAAAGGGCACCCTTTTTGTTCCTAGGTTACTCTTGGGTCTAGTGAGAAAAGGGGCCTTAAGAGTTGCCTATTGAAGGGCCTTAATAGTTGCCGAAAGAATTTGGTGGGTTCCTACTTGTAACTGTAGTATAAAGGGCCCCGAAACCCTATTCTAATTAAAATGTTCACTTGCAAGTGTTTGCCTATTCTAATTAAGGCCCCTATATTAGGATGTCGGCTTGACCATCGAGTTTTTTTCCCGGTGAGTCCAATGAGCCTTGGATGGGAGCCCTCTACCCCACCACGCTGAAGCCCTAAAACCCTGAACCCCCACAGCCCCCCCCACCCTTCCCTGCCGTGGGTGGCAGAGGGAATTGCTGTTGAGTTTGGGTTGGAGGCCCAGAGTTCGGGGGCCCCTCGGAGAATTTGGTGGGGGGGTTCCTTTAAAGAGATCTATGGCTCTTTTGAAGAGATCTAGAAGGGTTCTATAGCAAGGATCTTAAGGTTTTTGGGGCCAGTTTGAGGTTTAGGGTTTGGGGCTAGGGTTTTAGGGGTTTTAGGGGTTTCGGGTCATGGTCCATGGTAGGGTCCCCTTTTGAGAACTGCCATTCCCTTGGAAGCCAGTTGCCCAGGTAGTGCGGCTGCTGGTCCTTAAACCCCAGGGTTATAAATAAGGTAATTGTACTTATGGCCACCCAGAGCCGCAATTACGGAGATTTATGACCTTGGTTACTAATTAAGTCCCGTGATCCTCCAAGTATTGAGCCCTTGTCCTCCCCAGAACCCTTCAGCCCAGAACCCTTCAGCCCAACACACAGGTTCCTTCAGCCCGATGCACTTTGTTAATGAGTGGCCAAGTGGTGAACAGAGCCTGGGGCTTCCGGTGAAGTAGGGTTTAGGGTTTAGGGTTTAGGGTTTAGGGTCTGGGCGAAGAAGAGGAAGCCCGAAACCGTGGCATGCCACCCTAAGGCTTGAGGTGAAGGAGGGTGTATGGTCCGGCTCTGGGTGATTGTATAAAGGGCCCCCTTCGGATAGTGTTGAGCTTGCATTTGGGATGTTATTGTGGGATACTAGTTACTAGTACAAGCAGCAAAAGCACACTTCAGGTGATCTTCCGAGACCGAAGTTGCGGGAACTCCGGCTGAGCGGAAACATACTGATGCTCGGTTCAACTTGAGTGGTCAAGGATTCATTGTACCTATAGGCTCATAGCATACCCCTTCTTTTAAGGTACCTATTTTTCTATATAGGAGATCCTAACCATAAAACTAGGTACCCTGAAAAAGGGGTGGGGTATGACCCTCTAGGTAAGCTACAACTTGTCCTGCTTCACCTTGTCATCATCCTAGTGTGAGCTGTCGGCTTGTAACTAATTTAGGAACCCGTACTTGGATGTTCATGGGTAGTTATAGGTGGGGTTATAAGTAGGGTGGCTATGTATGTATATATATATATATATACATATACAACACATATTAATCCAAGTAAGCCCCAAAACCCTTTTCCCTTATAGAATCCTTATAAATCCCTTTAAAGGTACCCTGAAAGGAACCCTTATAACTACCCATGAACCTCCAAGTAAACCCTAAGACCCTAAGAAGTCCCAAGCTCCGGGCCTCTCAAAACTTGATAACGAGGACTCGTCTTTCGGGGGCCATACTACGGTTGATGATATAAATCCTGCATTGCCCGTAATAAGGAATTTATCATAGTTCCCATAGTTTAGGGTCCTTAAGGTAATGCAGGCAGGGTTTATATCGTCAACCGTAGGATGCCCAGTAGTACCCCTTGTTCCCTTTTTGTAGTCCTAGGTTCCTTATAAGCCTTTTTTATTCCTAGGTTACTGGGCATCCCGGCATAGGATTGTACCACTCTACGGATGTGTCCGAGGATGTTTTGGCGACTGTGGGCACAAGAGGCTTTGAAGATATCAAGTCGCAGACGCCGTCAAAAGCCTTTCGTTGAGTGTGTCACCGGTTGTGGAGCTGTAGCAGAACCATTACCATGTCTAACACGTCCCCTTTTTACCGTTTTAGGTCTGGGCTGCCCTTGTTAATACCGAATAGTAGCAACAAGGGTACCCTGACCATGCAGGGGTTACACAGGAGCCTAGTATGGTAGCCTTTAAACCCTAAACCCTTGTCGTACCCTTATGGGTCCCTTTCAAGGGACCCGTCTTACAAAGGGGCTGAAGCCGTGACTTGCAAGCTAGATTGCTTTCGCGTCCTGAAGTCCCGATCCCCAACTCTGAAGCGAACCTAAACCCTAAAACTCTAAAGCCCCGAACCCTAAACCCTTAACCCTGAACCCCAACCCTAAACCCTAAACCCTAACCCCTTTACCCTGAACCCTATAGACACCCTTACGCCCCTAAACTCAGGCGTGGGGCGCTGGGGGAGGAGCTCGGGAAATTCACGAACCTCGAGGCGATGAAGCCCCAAAAGGGCTTCCTTTTTGTTGGTTTAGGGTTTTGGGGTTGAAGGGTTCAGGGTTTAGCGTTTAGGGGTTTAGGGTTTAGGGTTTGGTGTTGAAGGGTTTAGGGTTTAGGGGTTGTTTTTTTTGGGTTTTATGGCTTACGGTTTCGTAACATCAACCCAGTGCTTTTCGACTAGGGGCTTAGGGTTTGGGGTTTAGGGGTTTAGGGTTTAGGTTGTTTAAGGTTTGGGCGTCCTGCAGCCTACATGCACACCCCAACAACAATGCAGCGCCTTGCAATCTGTCCGAACCTGGGATCTGGAGAATCCTAGGCATTAACAGCCGATAAAACCCTAGGCCGCATCAACCTCAGGCCTCCCTCACTCAGACCTGAAGGGCCCATGTACTCAAACAGTATGTACTCTGGCCCTAATGGCCTTAATGTCGTTCGTATGTTTTCTTTTTGGCCAAAGTGTCTATTCCCTAACCCGACGCCCTGGTACCCTTACAGAACCCGAAGCCCTGGTACTCTTACAGAACCTTCCTGGTAACACCTACAGAACCCTTGTGAGCCCTTATGGCAGCTCGGTAGAGCCCGTTTAGGAACCTCTGAAGGACGACATGGGCCCTTATATGCCCTGCGGGTCCAAAGGACACAATAATCAGGTATTTAGGTCTCGGACAGTATGTTATGTAGGTTCTACTTGAGAGTTTATGATGATTGGATACTTGGACCCTTACCCGAAGGTTCAAAATCAAAAGCCTCACATAGTTTGGCCTTTCGGCCAAGAAGTCTGAACATATGAGTCCTTGGAGCTCTAGGGTTACGGGAACCCTTTTAGCATCCTTTCAGGAACGGTTATAGTATCCTTATAGGAACCCTTGGGGTTGGGGAGGGGGAGGTAGAGGAAGACACTAGACAGGTGCTGGCACTGGATGGGCGGCTCGGAAGCCAAGAACCAGGCCCCCCCTCAAAAGCCCTAAGCCGTCGAGCGTTGGGATTGAGTGTCGTACCCTAGGGGTTTTGGGGTTTTGGGTTTTAAGGTTTAGGGTTTTGGGCTTTAGGGTATTAGGGTTTAGGTTTTAGGGTTTAAGGTTTAGGTTTTTGGGTTTTAGGGCTTTGGGTTTTAGGGTTTTGGGTTGTAGGGTTAAGGGTTTTGGGTTTAGGGTTTTGAGTTTAGGGTTTCAGGATTTTAGGGTTTGGGGTTTAGGGTTTAGGGTTTAGAGTTTTAAGGTTTGGGTTTTACCTTTGCCCCTTCTTTAAGGTACCGTAGTTTTATGCTCCATAGGGGCTTAGTGGGGATCTCGTTCCAAGGAGCATCCTCGAACCCATGGTCCCAGACCCTCAAGCTGTAAACCCTATAGGCCCTGCGTTTCACCCTAAACCGTGAACCCTAAACCCAAAGCCCCTAAACCCAAATTAAGCCCAAGAAACCATAAACCCTAAGCACAAAACCCTAAAACCCAAAACCCTAAACACAAAACCCTAAAACCCAAAAAGCCTCAGCCCTAAACACAAAACCCCAAAACCCAAAGCCCTAAACACAAAACCCTAAACCCCAAAAACCCTAAACCCTAAAACCCTAAACCCTAAACCCCCAAATCCCTAAAACACCAAAAACCCTAAACCCAAAAAGACCCTAAACCCTAAAATGCCCTCAACCCTGATCCGAGGAATCGTTTGGACTCCACTCTTCCGGGAGGCCTTGCCCGCCTCACATCGCTGCGTGAGCCCCTGGCTTGCAACATGACACCTGGGTTTAGGGTTTTAGGATTTTAGGGTTTTAGGGTTTAGGGTTTTAAGGTTTAGGGTTTAGGATTTTAGGGTTTTAGGGTTTAGGGTTTAGGGTTTTAGGGTTTTAGGGTTTTAGGGTTTAGGGTTTTAGGGTTTAGGATTTTAGGGTTTTAGGGTTTTAGGGTTTAGGGTTTGAGGGTTTAGGGTTTAGGTTTGAGGTTCAGGGTTTTAGGGTTTTAGGGTTTAGGGTTTAGGGGTTTAGGGTTTAATTAGCGTGTTTATACAGGGTTTGGTCTGAGGTTTGAAACAGTGAAGTCCTGGTGGGGCCGAAAGCTCTGGGCCGTAAACCCTGTGTGAAGTATGCATGCATTCATGTACAAGTACTTGAAATGCATGTGCGTACACACATATACATGAGAATTGATCCACAGGCCCGTGTCTTTAGTTTCATGTAACATATGTTCGCTGTTTGCGCAAGTTGCGAAATATATAAGGAGGCAGAGCGTGCTCGGGGGCATGTAAGCCTTGTTTTTGCGCAACGTCGCGTCAGGCTCCAGCGAGGTGTCGAAACCGGGTTCGGAGGCCCTGAACCTTGCAATCCTTCAGGCCAAAATCCATAAACTGGCAACCACGAACGTTGCGCGACTCCGTCAACCCCTCCACCCTCAAAGGAGCCCCAGACCCAATCTTAAACCACTGAGGCTGGATCTTCGAAATAACAGCTTCGAGGGCAGCATCCCGACAGATCTTCGCAGCTCGGCGACCGCATGCTTCGCAGGTTGGGTGTCTTTTGGGTGTCTTTTTCATAGGGCCCCAAACGGCAGAGGAAGGCAGGTGATCCTCCATAAACAGCCCTTATGAAAGGGCTCCTTTTGAGGTTTTGATGATTTAGGGGGTTAGACTAAGGGTTTGTGGTTTCGGCTTTTGGATTAAGCATGTAGTGTAGGCAGACTGTTTAAATTAGGTTTTTCCTGCAAGTGTTTATAAGTGCGTAGGATTTCAGAGTACTATGGGTTTTGAGGCTTTGATGGTTCGGGTTTAAGATTAAGGGCTCTTGATCATTTCGAAACCCTAAACCTCTAAACCCTAAACCCTAAGCCACTCAACCCTAAACTCTAAGCCGGGTTCAGTTTTGGCCTTCGGGCTTCCGAAGGATTCAGAGGCCTTTGGGTGAGCATGACAAATTCTCCCTGGATGTTGTTGTGTCTTCTGGGCTCGGGTACTGTGGCCTTGTGTCTACAGGGCCAAATGGGTGTGGATGTTTGGGATACCCCTATTTTGAACGGTAACCCGTGGGTTTCGGATAGGTTTGGTGTAGCCAGGGCCCCCATAGCATGAGCTCCATAGTCCTCAAGCCGTAAGAGGCCATCTCAGATCTATCTACAGCCTACGGGCTCTTCTGCGGGGTGTTTTGGGTTTGAACAGCTAGTTGTCTGAAAAAGGGTTTATAGGGTTTGCTATGGGGCCTTGTAGCTTCCATGTGCTGAAAAGTTTATCCACTTAGGACTTAGGTTGTATGGGTGGGCTTATATGTAAACATTGCCACATGGACGCCTACGGCATCAGCCATAAACCCTGATTAACGAAGTCGTCGAGTCGGTAACCTTTAACCTGTGTGGGTAGTATAGCCCCAGGATACCCGACAAGTAGGTCCCTAAACCCTAAACCCTAAACCCTGAACCCTAAACCCTAAACCGAGCAATGGCATCAGGGCCACAGTCGAGGGTAGTCGGTGGGACAGCATTCTAGGTTCCCGGCTCAGGGGTCCCTGACGCGATGTTGCGTGGTGAAAGGCTAGGCAGGCAGGTCGGTCGGTAGATCGGTCGGTAGGTAGGTAGGTAGGTACATGTACAGATAATATATGTATGTGTGTATATATATATAGATATGATATGGTTGGATGGGCCATCATACCCCGAAACCCAACATGGTCCCGTGTGAATGCCCTTGTCGAACTTTTATAGTAACCCTTGAAATATCACTGGCTCCTCCGTGGAAAGCCCCAGACGCAAGGAAAGCTGCCGCATCTCACACGTCTGGCCTTGGGCCGCCAGACTGCACTTAGGCAGGGGGTTTATACTAAACCTCTCAAAATAGGGGGTAATATTGGCCCAATACGTATAAAAGGCTATTATTCTACATACTTTTGGGGTCCAGCTAGGGCTTAGGGTTCATGTACTCAAATAGCAGAGCTTTGGGTGCCAACAATCATTCAGGGCATAGTCAGTCGTTGGAGTTGCTGCATTTGTACCTAGACCCGTTGAGGGTTTAGGGTTTAGGGGTTAGGGGTTTGGGCATAGTTTTTAAACGCCCGACACCCTGAACCATGAAACTCCCAAACTCCTAAACGCCCCAACCCCTAGACTACACCCTGGAACTCTAAACCCCCAAGCCCTAAACCCTAAACCCCTAAACCCCCAAGCCCTAAACCCTAAACCCCTAAACCCCTAAACCCTAAACCCCTAAAGCCCTAAACCCCCAAGCCCTAAACCCTAAACCCCTAAACCCCTAAAACCCTAAACCCCCAAGCCCTAAACCCTATAGTGGGCCCTATAGTAGTCTCTGGGCGCAGCGTTGTTTGGAGAGCCTGGCTTCTCGGGATCCACAGACCGTTCAGGGTTTAGGGTTTAGGGTTCAGTGTTTAGGGTTTAGGGTTCAGGGTTTAGGGTTTAGGGGTTTAGGGTTCAGGGTTTAGGGTGGATGGACGGAGTACCGAATTTCCTTAAGAAGCCTGAACTATCGTGCATTTCATATGGCTCCTCTGTTGGCTTTTTACTGTGAGCATGCTTGTTGGTACCACTTCTACAACTGCGATGCTCCTATTCACCGAGGTAATAACAACTTCAAGCGGAAGATTGCAGAGGACAACTGCGCTCCGTTGGACAAGGACCCCCCGAATTGTTCCTGAGAGGATCCGCACAGCTTCTACATCAGCGGCCCCATTAAACCCTACACCCTAAACCGGAATCGGGGGCCTTGTCAGGGAATTTGGGGTTTTCACCAGGTCACAGGTTCTGTGCGGGCTTCTGGAGATGAGAGGGTGTTTCCAGCATTTAGGCCCCGATGTATGGGTTCTGTCTTGGTTTAGGGTTTAGGGTTTAGGGTAGGAGGATCATGGGAGGTAGTAACTAAGTTGTAAGTCGGGTAGTTGTAAGTATGAGTATTGTAAACCTGCATGGTTGCTAGGTCCCATGATCCTTTGAGAAGGCCTTTGAGAAGGCCTAAACCGAACAAGGGCTTTCACTAGACCGAGAGAGATCGAATCATGAAAGCGTTGTCTTTGGCATGTCTGGGTTTTGGGTGGTATTTAGGGTTTAAGCTTTAAGGCCCTGAATAACCCTAAACCCTAGACCGGGTTCAGGGTTTTGGTGGTCTCCGTCCGGTGTCTCGAGGATCCATGTGGGCTTTTCCGCTTCAAGGTGCTTCCTGAAGGCGGGGAGCAAATTCATGGGGCGAGAGAGAACCCTAAGGCCTAAAGGGTCCAGAGGACCTGATAATCATGTATTTGGGTTTAGGGTAGTAGTTATGCAGGTTACTATGTGGGGCAGTATATGTGCTATTTGGGACAGTATATGATTACTAGGTACTTGCACCCTTAGGCGAAATCTTGCATGTGTGTGGCGTGATTTTGCCTCTTGGATCGTGTGGATTATGTTGTCAAAGCTGGTGTAACACCGCCATGATACGCCTGGGAAGTGGAATGGGAGTGACAGGACAGGGTAATTGAGCGAGGAGGTGCCATGACATTGTGCAAGGACATAGTTACTGAGCAGTGTAGTGCAAACTGTATACTAGCATATCTGAAGCATACAGCAACAGGATATCATGCACAGTTACAGAGGCGCACGCCCTCAATGCAGCCTTTTGCAAAAGAAAGATAAACCGCACGCCCTCAACGCAGCCTTTTTTGGAAAAGAAGCTCAAACACGATTCACCTCAGTCAGTACCCAATAGGTTCTATAATCGTTATAGTCTTACCCAGTTCAAGATGCGGACTCATTGCCTCACCATCGACATGCTCTACTCACCTTCTGCTGACCAGGTCCTAACCTATACCTTGTCACATGTCGAAGTCTCGTTTTACACTGAGACCCCCCAGCTGCCCTCTAATGTACCCCAAACGAATACCTACCTTTACGGACCACGAGACCCCCATCAAAGGGCCATCGAGGGTCCCGGTAAGCCCCTACTGAATTCTTGAGCGTTTTGCCGAAGACTTCCTCGCTGCACCTGTCTTGGCATCCGTTTGCAAACTGTCACCAATAGTTTGCCGAAAAACAGGGCTCTGCGATGTGGTATTCTAATGATTGGCCAGCTGCACCCACCAAATCGGAACTTCCAACAGCTGCAGTGGGACTCTGCAACAAAAACGCACCGCATACTGCAATAGCCACACATAAACCAAACACTTGTACCTCCTGCAACGACACCGAAAAGACCCACTCTCCTCTACAATACTGTAGGCAAAAGCCATGCCCCCTCCCCTTCCAACCCCACGAATGCAAGCAAAACGCACGACAAAATAAACAGAGATGATCTACTTACTCTAGGTGTAAGGCTATCAAAAGGTTCCATGTACCAGGCTTACCATCTTTCAGGCTATGGGTGCTCAGGCGGTGAGACCTTTTGATGCTGAAGCTCAGGCGTCAAAGTCAAAGCACATCCCACCTCCCCAACTCCCCAAGTCTCGAAGATTCTTCACCTTTCAGAAATTGTGAAGATGTAAACAAAGGTTTCTTTAATGACCAGTCCTTGTTGTTTAATACTGGCTGTGTGCTTCGGGGCTGGTGCTCTGCTTGGGAGATGGCGAAGAACCCTGGCCGTTTATCATTGCCTTCTCTCTGCTGCTGTCGGGCATCTTCTACAGAGACAAGACCTTTAAAGGAGGCGCGCCCGACATCAGAGAGACGGTTAGAGGGTTTGCATATATTTAGGTGTCAACCTCTGTAGCTGCTACGACTCTGAAGTCGTTGAACGTGGGGTAAGGGGAGGACATAACATGCTTTGGGGGTCGATGGCCTCGGTTCTGCAGATTGCATGATAAGCGGGTTCATGCTGCCATCCATTCCATGTATTAACTCGCCCAGACATCCTAAACTCTTGTTCTCTGTAGCTTCCTCTGTCCCGCGCATAATTCCTCGCCATCGTATTGTACCGAAGCTCAAAAACCGCAGTCCCGAGTTGTAGCCACCGCGAGCATACCAAGCAACGTCCCCTGTGGCCTGGCCCATCAAATGCTTTTGCGTAAGTGGGTTGCAAAGCTAACCTAGAGAGCATATGAGCTGGCCTATGTTGCAGTGCCTTCTCGAAAAACAAAGCACTCTGTTTCAGATGACATCGCTCACTGGCACTTCGTTCGAACTGGTGCGTTGCATGCTTCCAGCAACATGCTTACCCATAGGCCACATAGTAGTTCCTTTTTCGGATTACCTTATAGAACTCCAAATATGAATCTTACAAAGGAACTACTATGGGGCCTATGAGCATTTCTGCCTGATTCAGCTTCCGGATCGCATGCACGCACGCACACACACACACACACATACACACACACATACACACACGCACACACACACACACACACACACACACACCGGAACACGGACCCGAAGACCTCACGACCAATCAGAGTCTAAAGCAGCATCGTCATTTATGGTTTAGGATCATGGCCATATTTCCCGCATAGTGTTGCTATGATACCTGCTTTGACTTTATCACCGATTCTGGCTTGTTATTTTTAATGAAGCGCTCCTTCACCGACTGAGGCAGCGGCGTTAAAGCAGGCCCACCCCTGGGAGGGGAACCGGGGAGGGCGGATCTTCGTGAAGCTTTGGTTGGGCGTATACTTGGAGTAATTATCCTGGGACTTATAGTAAGTAAGGTTATAAGCACCTTAATTGGGGCTATAAGTAGTTATAGGTATAGTTACCCTAATTCTATTCCTAGATACTCAAGTCCCATGATCCTTTAAGTATAGGGAGCAGATATCACGGTATATGTTCTTCTGTAGTCGCAGTGGGTGTATCTTACTTGCGATGTGTTGTTCTCATGGTTCTAAAGCCCAAGCCAGAAATGCAAAATCTCGCATATCATTTCGAAGACCAGAGAATTCAGAAGTGGCAGCACAGATCTCATGGTTTACGACTTTTGTCCACAAGTTGAAGGATTTCGGCACAGTTGTTGTCTACAGTGATCGGATTTGCAACAAGAGCTGGCTATACTGCAGACACTCAAGTTTCTGCTGTCCAGCTCCGGAAAGAGGACGGGCCCTACGTAATATCGAACCCCAGAGCCCCACAGTTTCAGGCCAAAACCCTAAAACCTAACCCCAAACCCCAAACACCAGCCCTGGACAGCGCAGGTGCGATGGAGCTTGCGGCTGGAATCGACGAGTTAGCCGTCTATGAGTGCAGGTCAGAGGCTTAAGAAAACTGCCGGAAGAAGCGGATATGAAAGGGGGCCTCCTTGATTAGATGGGGGCCTTAGTTTAATTCGAGTAGCGTTTCGAAATTGGTTGTACTACAGTTGTTTTCGGAACCCTACGGAACAGTATTCCAATCGCTATAATTAGGTAATTCGACTGATACATAGATGGCTCATACAGTGTTCACTCATTCAAACAAATTCGCATGTAGGTGCATTCACAGGGCTTTGTCATATTGCAATGCTATGCTTGTATGTGTAGTTTCACGTGCACATGACTGTTCGTTCATCCCGCCAGATATGTCCTATGTTCATGTATGCGTATGTATGAGCATTACTGTGTGTATATATATATATATATATATGGGCGCACCCCTATTTGGGGTCCCCTACGTTTTTCGCTACATCATCTGACTGAGCTATAACCACCAGACTAGGTTATAACCAGCCGATTAGGTTATAACCAGCCGACTAGGTTATAACCATTCGAATAATTTATAATCAGGTATACATTACAGCCGACTAGGTTATAATCAGGTGTACGTCATCGACTACAGTATTATATCCGGTTTGAAGACCATGTCTTCAGAATGCTGAAACCCGCACAACGCTAAGAATTCTATGACACCTTCGTCGAAAACCTGTTACAAAGTGCTAAAATCCTTGCTTTGAAGCCGCCGATGTAGCTTCGTAGTTCATGTTTGTGTGACTGTATCTAAACCGCTGTAATTCAGTTTTTTCCAACAAGCGCGCTGTAGTCATTAGTCTGGTTCAGTCATTCCTTATCGCGAACTAGATTTTGCAACGAAACGTTTTCCATCTTTGTACTGTAATGCCGCAATCCCACCAAAGTGTCTGTTGTTGGACGCATTGCTATGACGTTTTGGCAAACTGATAGCTTTCAATGACATATCCCTGTGCCCCCATGTGATTGCTTTTGAACACTGGTATATCCGGTAGGTATATTTGAGTGGTGCATTCCTTAATTCTGTATGACGGCTGCCCCAAGCCAAAATTGAAAACTTGCATACTACAAGCTTAGCAAACGTTGTATAGTGTTTTTCCTAGGGGACGACATGAAGCGTCGCTTCTTAGGCTTGGCACTGTTTCTATATGCCGAGTGATGTAGCCTGTGCTTCTTGTATCAGCATACCTTAACCATCACGTAAAGCCGACTGAAAACCATAAGGCTACATCTAGCTTGTCCGAATTTCTGTTTGTGTTCTTGTGAATATTTACTGAAAGTCGAATAGAAGCCATTGTTCCCAGTCCAGAACGTGATCCTCGTGTTAGAAAAAGTGGTACACACACACCGAATCACTCCTCGAAAGAGGTTCATCCATGTAGTTGGAAATAGCATTGCGAGGAATTTTCTACGTACTGAGCGAGGAAACCTAACAGTTTAAGTCGCGAATTTTGTTTCGCTCACCACACATATTCTTATCAGTTTTGTCTCGTCGAAATCCGGCTTCCTTGGAACGATGTTTGAACATAACGTTGCAACCAGTTCACCTATGTACGAAGTGATGAAACCTGACCACGCTGTAAAAATTGAAATGCTCTCTCTCCCTACAATGACGTCGTATCAGCCGTATCTCAACTTTCTATGTACCGTGATATTCCAATGTTGACAACACTTACTGACCTACTGTAATCCCGATAGAGCCCCTTCATATTCCGCATTTTGATTCCTGCGTGAGTGACATGTTAGCGGCTATTCTCTCAATGTGTACATAGGTCTCATAAACCCGATGTACTGGAACGGACAGACCATTGTGTAAAGTCGCCAAAAAGCCTTTCCGCTAAAGTTGGGGAATGCGCATATGGTCCCCGGAGTTATGTTTGTTACAAAGCACTGCATCATGCCTCAACAACCGCATACACGCCAATTACCTCGGACCCTCTATTCTTCTAGTCCTTGTTTAATTTCATTGCGGTTACATTCACCCTGAAACACCGACACTTTCGAACGTTTGGATTTAGGTGTTGATGAAGTACTGTAGCGGTGGCACAGGCCTGGTTATAACCTCTGTCCCCGGTTATAACCAGGACACCTGCGTAGTAGGCAGCCCTAGACCCATCACTACGTAAACCATTAAACCATTAACAAACCGTTAAATTAGTACACCGTTAAACAAATCCTTTGCCCCAATGGACCCAAACCAATAAACCATTAAACCATTAAGCCAATCCTTTTGCCCCATACCACTAAACCATTAAACCAATCCCCTTACCCCATACCACTAAACCACTAAACCGTTAAACCATTAAACCAATCCGTTTGCTCCATACCACTAGACCACTAAACCACTAAACCATTAAACCATTAAACCAATGCTTTCGGCCCATACAGGGGTGTGTCTCTCTCTATAGGGGAAAATGATTGGTTTAATGGTTTAATGGTTTATTGGTTTGGGTCCATTGGGGGAAATGATTGGCTTAATGGTTTAATGGTTTATTGGTTTGGGTCCATTGGGGGAAATGATTGGTTTAATGGTTTAATGGTTTATTGGTTTAGTGGTATGGAGCAAAAGGAATGGTTTAATGGTTTAATGGTTTAGTGGTTTGGGTGTGCAAAAACCCAGGGAACCCCATATAGGGGGGTACCCATATATATATATATATATATATATATATATATATATATATATGGTCACCCCCCCCATGACAGACCATCCCCGGGGGGGGGGGGGGTGAGCATATATATATATATATATATATATACACATACGTATATATACATTTGCACATATATGAATACATGTAGATATATGTATGTGATACCTATGTACATGTCTGTGCATATGTGTACGCATGTGTACATGTAGGTATACATGCACATTCGCACCCATGCATGCATGCATGCATGCATGCAACATACCTACTTGGCTACCTACAGACCGACCTAAATCCTTCCATGCCTGCATGTATACGTACACGCATCCATACATAAATACATGCATATAGATACGGATGCATATGTACTTGCACATGCATACACGCATATGATTCATACTGGCAGGTCTATGCAGGTACTTAGGTGCAGATTATACAGGCACATACATACATACGCATACGCATACAGATACGCATGCACATGCATATACACATACACATAGAGACACACACACACATACACAAACGCATACACATGCCCGTGCCCATACCCGTACCCGTACCATACCCATACCCATACCCATACCCATACCCATACATACCGACATACGGACATGTCTACATGCTTACACACTCAAGTGCATACTTGTATACTTACCGGCTTGCTCGCTTGCTTACTTGTTTACATCTTAACGTCGACACATCCGAGCATCTACACATATGTGCATCTAAGCATCTGCATGTACAGGCATTGCTTCTCATGTTCCGATAAGCACGCGTATTGCTTTAACACAATATCGGGCTACATGCTTGCTGGGGTCCGAAAACACCTACCTACGGCACCAAAGAGATAAAGATCTGGTCTCTGTATGTAGAGACGTGCAGTACGGGCTCACTGTGTTTACTGAAGAGTTCGAGACCCTCAAGGTGCAATCGCCATGCCCGAAACTCCGACACACAAACCCAACCGCCCCTGAACCAGAAGCTCTGTAGTCATAGCTTGAAATTAAACATGCTCAACTCCTGGACATAAAGCCCTACAGCTGTTGATGCTTCACCCCTCCTGCCATAAGAACCCCAAAGTTAGTGTGTATAATTCTGCTTCGAGTTTGCCGGAATTGTTCAAATACGCTTCTGGTAGTGTGTGCATACATGTATGTACTTATAATATATATGTGTATATACATGTATATATACATATATATATATATATCAACATACATACCCTGTGCCTCGCAAGCATTGTTAAGGCCCGTACAAGTCTGCCCTAGCCTTCACGGAATTTCGAAGCTCCGGTTTGGTGCCCTTCAGGGTTTAGGGTTTAGGGAAGGCTCCTGGTTTAGGGTTTAGGGTTTACACACTTTCTCCAGCAAACCTTTCAAGCCTTTCTGCCAGACTTAGGCGGAAAGCACGCCACTTCGTCGCCTTTGTGGAGGCTGCATCCTTCGGACAGAGTTCATCTACCAGCCCAAAACCGATAGGTTCATTGGACCCCATGCCAGAAACCCTAAATCCTAAACGCAGCAACACTTTCACGAACCCCGGCCTAAACCCCTCAACCCGAAACACTCAGACCGCTAAAGGCCAAACACTCACTCTGTTTCAAAAGTCTTGGAACGTTGGATTGAGGATCGTTCCTTCGAGTGTTCCTTTACAGGTCAGTAGTTCTCTACACTAGGGCTCGTTTTTTCGGGTACTGTTTATACGGGTGCCCGACTATTGTCGGGACGGAGAAAGGGACCCTCATTCAAAGAACTAGCCAGCTGCCTTCTAAGGGTTCAATAAGGGATTGGAGCCTTAAAGTTTAGGGCGAGCCCGATGATTGAATATAGAAGGCTTGAGACGGGGACCAGTCGAGAAGAACATTTACTGTTAATGTTAGCCCTTGCAAAGCATGGATGATGCAAGAATACGGTTCATGGGTCAGGGTTAAGGGGTGAAGGGTTTGTAGGGTTCGGGGTCTGTATTTTCTTCGTGCTTTGTTCGCTTATTAGAGGCGTGACCTAGGTTTCCACTCCACGATTCGGGCACACAAAGCTTCCTTTCTGCAAGTGCTTGGAAGATCGTGGGAGGTAGCAAGTAAGGTTATCAGTACCGCGTTGGGGGTTAGAAGTAGTTATCATGCAGGTACTCTATTTCTGACCCTAGCTACTAAGTCTCAGCATCCTTTAAATTGTGTGGTGGCGCGATATGAGGACCTCTAGCCATCGACATTGTGATCCTTGAGCCCTATACTGCACATCCGGCCTTTATTCGATCCTTTGGAGCCCGGTTCCAAGTTTTCAGTGTGAGAGAGCTCAACACGAAAACTTTAGTCCCTATACACCCTATGCTCCAAGGCCTTGTTGCACAGCGGCCTTGTGAGATCTCCTGACCATACTCACGTAAGGCGTAAGATGGGGTACTGATCGAGCAGAAGAAGAATGACCCCATGGTCCCTATATCACGATAGAATCGTGTACCCCCGAATGCCCTCTTCCAACTATCCGCGCGCCTGGGGTATGACCGTTGGAAACTGCAAAGGATCCCACCTCTACAACTGTCACCTTTTAGTGGAAGATCTAGAAACAGACAGCAACCCTACGTCCTAAAACCGAGTGCCAACTCTAGAATGAATGAGAAGCTTTGGAAAAGGCTCCAAATCTCAGCACGCACAGCTATTGAAGTCCGTGTAAACCTAGAACCTCGTTAACATGTTGCCCCCTCTTCTGAAAAGTTGAATTTGTAAAGCGCTGTTGGGGCAGGTGTGCCAGCTCTGCTTGGTCATTGCCGTGCCCATTCTCTGGCGGCCGCTGCTGCTTGCCACTGAAGCCACACTTGAATCCCAGGGTTAAAGAACTTAGTTTCAGTTACCTGTGCAGGGACCTATAGTAAATAATGTAACCTAAAACTTAAATCCCTTAACAAGAGCCCAGAACCGGCCCCAAGAAGCCCGAAAGCCAGAGCGCAAGAAACGAGGGACCTACAAAACTGGGAGACAGGATTCAAAGTCATGGCCAGGGTTGGTGCGAGTTAAATTACCCAAAGGGTCCAAGTATCAATCTGGCATATACTTAGACCCCCAAAATACCCTATAAGTATATACCATAATGATACTTGGACCCTTTGAGTTATACAATTGTTTAAAAATTCTAGGTTTTGAGCAACTGGGGGTCCTTTATGTTTTGAGCGTCTCTGCATGCATAAGCACATGTTCTTGAAATATGCCCTAGCATCCTTTCCCTATAGTTTACGGGTAGGTTTTGAGTTTTAGGGTTTAGGTAGACTCCAACTGTACCCATAGGCCCCATAGTAGTTCTTTTTTGGGATTACCTCATAGATTCTAAATATCAACCCCAAAAAGGAACCAAAAAGGGGCTTAAAGTTGGACCTTCAGCCCCATGAAATTTTGAAACCCGGAGTGTTAAGGATTCCATTTCAGGGGATCCTTTGGCTGAAGTTTCTGTAGGGCATAGGGAAGTCTTAACATTACATGATGTGTCATGGGTTTAGGGATAATGTCAGACGCTGTCCAAAGAGTGTTGTTGCAAGCGAAGTCTCCCTACATCCTGGGCCCCAAACTCTGCACCTAGCATGGGGTGTAGGGCGGAGGCCTACACACAGAACTTGCGGTGTAAACATCTGAGTAGTTGTTAAAATTATGGTCCCTTTATGGGTACCCTAAATATTAGGTGCCGCATTATATTAGGGATCCAAAAAGGGACCATAATTTTGACAACTACCCATTTCTTTGTTGCGAAGCTTTTAGAGTTAGTTGTGCAGCAACTTTTGCCCAGGCTGGGCTGCATCTCTTCTTTGACAATCCTTCTGGGAAAGCTGCTGTTGTCGCTGCTCTTCCACAAGGACACGTGCACGGTTTGGTCGGTGTCTGCACCATCCCGAAATGTGACAGCTTTTCCTTCCTTCGTAGGCAGTGCTTCAGAGCTTTATGGTGCGTTCCTGGAGTTTAAACGGATATTCATGGAGGCTTAGTTTACATAATGAATATTGTTTCGATTTTTGGGCTTCGCTCCAACATCGGTGCCTCTGCAGCGGGCCGTGCAAGCAGTCGGAAAACACACCCCGATGCACTTTAATGTAAGGGCCTGAATAGTTAGAATCGGGCTTCTGGGTACATTATAATACTGAAGGTATAGTAAAGAACCCACCAGAACCCTATTCTAGTTATTAAGGCCCCGGCATTCATCTGAAGCCAGGTTATGTGTCAAAATGTTCAACACTACTCGTAAGCCTTAAACCCATTCTTTCAGCTGTGCGGAACTGCACCGTGCAAAGCTGTAGAGTGTTGTTGCTCTCCAACACTCGAAGTCGCAAACGCTTAATAAACCATCCTACACCGGTTCAGGCTCCTCGGGTTAGGCATTGGGGTTTCTCAAAGTTTCACAGGTTCAGGGTCAAGGGTGGCATTGAAGCCTTCAAAACAGGTTAGTGGACCTTAATTCGAATGCCTGACCCGAAACTCTAAAACCCTCAACCGGAGCGCTAGATTCCGCTAGATTTTAAGTATTCCCAAAAGCAAGGCTCTCAAACATTCAAGCCGCTATTTTTGCGCTCCCGAGCCACCGAAAGCCTGTCAGCCCCATAAGCCCTTCCACCCTACTCAGAGGGTCAAAGCACCCAGTAAGTGGGCTTGGAAGTAACGCAAGCCCTAAACCCTGAACCTGTATACTTATTTGCTAAAGTGTTGCAAGTAAGGTGGAACATAAACCCTCGACCTTTTGTTGTACTTACTCGTGACCCTAAGTATGGTACCAAGGGCTCGGAAGACTGAAGCCTAACATCTTGCGCCACTGGGGTACGGGCACCACAAGGTAGTGTAGATTAGGAACCTGATTATAAGACCCTGGTCCTAAAAGCCCAAAAGTATTATAGGATCCAAATAAATGGTGGAGATTCAGGTCTATCTAATAGTACATTACATACCTTGGCTGCAATGTAGTGTGTCCTTATCCAGGTACTTTAGGTCCCACGTAGATGCTATATGGCTGCATCAACCTAAACCCTGCACCCTAAACCCTGAACCCGAAACCCCCAAACCCTAAACCCCCAAACCCTAAAGCCCTAAACTCCTAAACCCTAAACCCTAAACCGTCTTGCATCGGGAACGTGCTAATCCCGGGCGGCCTGAGGAGCTTGTCTTGCGTCCATTGGACCTGCTTCTGCCGGAGGCCCTGCATCCCAGGAAGAGACTAGGATGTCCAGTGCTACCCTTATTCCCTTTTTGTAGTCCTAGGTTCCTTATAAAGTTACCCAATACCAAAAAGGAAGCCCTGTTTATTCCAAGGTCACTGAGCATCCGAAGAGACAGAAGAGAAGGGGCGTGGAAGTGTGGGGTTCTTCTAAGGGATCCATAAGGGTTCATAAGCGTCCTATGAGGGATCTCTGATCTACAAGGCTCTACACGTCTGTAGGGCTTAGGGCTTGGATTTCTGGTGCTGAACAGTTCAAGACTTGATGTGAAGGTTTGAACCCTCAATTTTCTACACCCCAAGCCGCTGTACGTTTGGGGTCCGTTGTTTCCTGAATGGCTATAATCTAGGCGAAGCCTGTAGACTCTGAGCCCAAACCCTGACCCCCTCTACAGATCCTGGCAGATCCTTTATAGAACCTTACATCGGCGCCCTAACGGTACTCCCTATGAAGGAACCCCAGTGGGAAGCCTGGCGAAGCCCTCGTATCGATTCTGGGCTCTTGTTAAGGAATTAGTCTAAGCTACCATAACGGGGATCTATAATGAATAGTATGGTTTCTTTACTTAATGTAACTTAAGTTCAATTCCTTAGCAAGAACCCTAAACCCGAAGCCCCTTATAAGCCCTAAGCCCCAAGCCCCTAAACCCTAAGCCCCTAAATCCTCTCATATTGGCGGAGCAAGTCCTGCGCTGGAGGGCTCGTCAGTGCATTCGCTGCCCTCGAAGGAGGCTTCGTCCGCCGACTGGTTTGCGGTCAGGGCTTTGTCGGTTTAGGGTTTAATCGAGTTTTCTTGGGTCTCGCGGGTGTTATCGGCGACTTTAGGGCTTGTCAATATGGAGTTTGGGTTTGGAGGTTACGGTCTCGTGGGTGTTACGGGTGTTTTGTGGTTTGTTGCTGTGGTTTTGTTCGTTTTCGGTTTTGAAGGGTTTAGAATGATCTAGACCCCTGGCTTAGCAGCACCCTTGGTGGAAGGCCCTTATTCGCTGGGCTGGAGGGTCACTATTCCGATACTTTTTTGTGGCCCAGAGCAGTGTGGCCACCGGACGGACACTTTCTGCGGGCATCTTTCAACTGGGACTAGGACTTGGAAGGGGTTCTTCTATTCAGGATCCTGCTGTTGTGGGGCTGGGGGACTGCTCTATCGTGGCTCGCATGCTTGATGAGTCCAGGGGCTGGCTGTACTGATACGCTTTCCATCCTGAACCGATACACCTTGAAGGGGTAAACTGAAACAGCTGGCCGCCTGAACTGTCACCGTCAGGTGTTACCTGCTGAGATGTCAAGCCTTAAAGTTCATGAAGCAATCCACCTTCAACACCGCTGATTCACTCAACCCCCCAAACCCTAAACCCCTAAACCCCAAACCCTAAACCCCTCAACCCCTAAACCCTAAACCCCTACTAGACCCCAAAGACCGAAGCTTCAAGCTGGAGCTGCCTGAAGCCACGGGTTTACCCGGGTCTTACGGGACCGACAAAGCATGCGATTCCCCATGGATCCAAAGGACCCAATAATTAGGTACTCGGTTTTAGGATCGTAGTTATGTAGGTTACGATTTTGGAGAGTACATGATTATTAGGTACTTGGACCCTTGGGGATTGTGCCTAAAACAGGGATCTTACGGGCCTTATGGTAGATGTAATACAGCCCCCAAGCTTAAAGCCCTCTTCTAACTCTTTAAGGCCCACGCAGCATCTGAGTATGTTGGGGCTCTTTGTGATCCTGGAAGAGTTCAACAAACCTTCGCCCCCGAACGCATCTGGGCAGATGGCTTTGCATGCCGCTCTGCTGAGCTTCGTCGTGTCTCGCTTGCAGCTCACCATTGCTGGTTTGTGTTAAGGGTTAGGGTTACGGGTTAGAGAACACGCTGTAGGTACATACCGGTTTTCGAAGGGTTCGGTAAGAGGTTTAGAACTAGGATGCCCAGTGCTACCCTTATTCCCTTTTTGTAGTCCTAGGTTCCTTATAAAATTACCCAATACCAAAAAGAGAGGCCTTTTAATTCTTAGGTTACTGGGTATCCTAGCTTAGGACCCATTTTAAGGAACCCTAAAACCCCATAGATCCCTTTAAGGACCCCAAAATAAGGTACCCCTGGGTATCCTAGAGAAGGATTTCTGATCTTTTATGTGAACTCCGGTTCGGGTGTCTGGAACTGACAGACTAAGTCTTTAGGGTTTAGGGTTTAGGGTTTCACCTGTTCAGGTTTTCCGAGCACAGTCAAATAAGAGTAAAGGACGAGGGGAGAGGGAGGGCCAGTCTTCCCATCATTTTTGACAAAACCTTCTTGACCTTAGTTAGGTCTGCAAGGAGCTGGAAACGAAGTCACCGCCGGAATTATTTGGCTCAACGGTTTCTTGCTCATGCCCCCGGAGTTATCGTGCTTCGTCGCTGCTGCGCCATTTCGCGAATATGCTGCAAATCAGAATGCTATCAGGGGAAGCTCTGACGAGCATACCTGTGGACGAGGTACACGACGTGAAGGGCTTGAAGCAGCGCCTGACTCAGCTGCACGGTTTGCCACCACGTTTCAGGCAGAGGGTGTTCTGCCGCTCCGAAAATTTGGAGGAAGCCGTCAGGCTGGACTCACCGATGGACTTGGATCTGGTTTTGTTGACATTTTCTGATGGGCAGGTGGAAGAGCTTGCAGCTGCTGCTACGCAGGGCTCCATTTCCGAGGTAGGAAGTTGTGAACCAGCTTACATGATTGAACAAATCTGTAGAACATGATACACTTTACTGTGCAGATCCCACACCCAAAAACCCTAAACTGAGGCAAACTTCTTAGGCCTTTCTAGTTGGAGTCTGGCCCGGCGAAGCCCAGTGAAGCGGGTTTTGGGTTTAGCTTATGGTGGGGGTTGTAGGGATTAGGGTGACGCAGCCGTGGCATCGATCTTGATATTTGACTGCTGTAAGACGGTTAATGATATAAATCCTGCGTTACCCAGAATAAGGGATGTACTGATGTACCACAATTCCCATAGTTTAGGGTCCTTAAGGCAATGCAGGGTTCATATCATCAACAGCATGTCACGGATCATTGACTGTGTCCCACTATGATACGGTCTAGGGCCCAAAACCCTAAACCTTACCTGGACCCCAAAAGTATGCAGAATAACAGCCTTTTTATAGGTTTTGGGCGGGCCATTATTTTACCTACTTTTGGGGGTCTAGGTAAGCCAAAGGATACGATCCCTTGCGTGTCGATGCCGAGTTCGAAACTGAAGCCGAAGCCCTGTGCCCGAAAAGCCAAAATCTAATAAAGGGGGCTTAATAATTACCTATACTACTTTTGAGAGTTCCTGAATATAACTATAGTATAATTGGCCCCAAAAGCCTATTCTAATTATTAAGGCCCTTACATTAAGTCTCCCAGCCAAGACTTGCAGCAACAAAGGATTGGGCTTCAGGCGTCTAGGGGTTTAGGGTGTGCTAGTTATGTAACCGCGCTGGTTGCATGTCCGAAGACCCTGCAGGTCGAGTCCATGATGCAGCTGCCACAAGATCCAGATTCGATTGGCACCACTCGGCAGCCGGCATTGGTGATTGCAGCTGATCGAGGACATGTTGAAGTCCTGCGTTTGCTGTTGGAGGCCGGTGCCGACGCAAACCTGGCCGACAACAGCGGCGCGACGGCATTGATGATGGCAGCTATTGGAGGACATGTCGAAGTCCTGCATTTGCTGTTGGAGGCCGGTGCCGACGTAAACCTGGCCGACAACAGCGGCGGGACGGCATTGATGATGGCAGCTGTTGGAGGGCATGTCGACGTCCTGCGTTTGCTGTTGGAGGCCGGTGCCGACAAGAACCTGGTCGACAGACGCGGCAGGACAGCTTTGACGAATGCAGCTTCTCGAGGACATGTCGAAGTTATGCGTGTGCTGCCGTTTGCTGGACCGATGATACCCTTGTCGACAATAACCGGGAAGGACAGCTCTGATGATCGCAGGTTTTTAACGGACATGTCGAAGTCTTGCTCTGAAGGGGCCCCTACCCTGTAATAGTGGTATAGTAGGAATATACTAGGGCCCTAATAAAATATAATCCCTATAGTCACTATTACAGGGTGGGGGCAGCTTCTAAAGTCTTGCACTTACTGCGTGAGGATGCGGCTTGAGCTCGTAGCCTGTTGTGCCGGTCCCAAGGCTGTGGCCAGGATCGGGCAAAACTCGGAATCCCTAAGGGTCCATGTACCCAAATAGTAGGGGTTCCTTTAAGGGTTACTATAAGGGTTACTATAAGGGTTCTATAGTTTAAGGGTCCATGTACCCAAATAGTATATACTTTGGGCCCAATGTACCCATATAGGGAGTACTTGAAGGCCAATGTATATACTATAGAGGTACATGGACCCTTAGGGAATCTAAACCTAAAGGGGACACTCCCCGTCTCATTGTCGGCGAGCCAAGTACCCCTTCAGGACTACGTCTCTTTTGCCCAACCGCAAATCCTAAGTCCTAAACCCTTAAAAACCCTGAACCCACAGGCCCTAGCCCTTGTCTTCGAAACCGTAAGTTCCTAAATCCCAAAGAACCACAATCATAGATCATGAGACTTAGCAACAAGGTTGAAACAAGGTATCTAAGCTTCTTATCCCCGCTTAAAGTACCTTCGATCTTACTTACTAATTCCCATGATCTTCCAAGAAGCAGAGGAATCTAGAGGGTATCACAAATCCCGAAGAAAAGCTGCTTCTAGTTGATGGGAGAGCTTGGACTAGCCTTCTGGGTTTAAGTGTTCAGGGGCTTTACGGTGCAAACAAAGAGCCCCATACGTCCCTCCGGACGTCCGGAATGATGGTCCTTTTCAACCATTTTCAGGCATCTAAAGTATGGGTGGCCTGGAGCGCTCTTTACACTACAAAATCCTTGGGGTATGAGTACTTATGAGGCATTGGGCTTGGCTGGGTTTCCCCCAAACCGTTTTCAACACCAAAGTATATCCTTGTAGAGCCTTTGCGAAAACATCACCGGGAATCATGGTAGTCACTGTCGCAGCCAATTCGCAAAAGCCCTTTTCATACAATCAACTTATCTCGGCATTTCTCATTCCAAGACTCAAACCATATGAAAGGCTGTTGCAACCCTGATGTTCTATTCCCTGTTATATGAGTTGAAGACTCTTTACAAATCATTGTAAGCATGCGCAACCAAACCTATAAGACCTGTCTATAGATAGAGACCCATAAGAACCATCACATATCTTTGTAAGTTGAAGCCCCGTAACAGTACTTAACGTATACCTTACCAGCACCCTGCAAGTTATCAACTCCAAACCACACAGGCCTGAAGCCAGGGACCTACAACCTATCCCTAAACGCCTGTGCTAAAACCTGTTCTTTCGGGAGCAGTAATATCTCTTACGGCTTCTATGCCAAGCTCCTACCTAGACCCCCCAACGTAGGTAAAATAATTGCCCAAAACCTATAAAGGCTATTATTCTACATACTTTTGGGGTCCAGAAACTCGCAGAATTTAGGCCAGAACACCGTGAATCATAAGCCCTGGGCCCTAGAACTGGCAATCCGAAACCTCAAGCCTTAAGCCGTGTCTCGACTATGAGGCTACCGGCCTTTGGCTGACGTCTTTGCAGCTCGGCAAGCGTGGGCAAAAGAATTCAACCCAAAGCTGTTTTAGTGTTCCTTAGGGACCCTACTTGGAGGTTCAGGGGTAGTTATAAGCGGGGTTGTAAGTAAGCTCACTATAATTATAACAACCCATATTAGGGACTCATAACTACCCTTGTAACTACCCATGAACCTCCCAGTACGCCTTCAGCCGATTGCTTGGAAGTTGGGGGTGCAGGCTTTATGGATTTGGGGCATGGGGTGTAGGAGTTGAGTGGTTAGAGGGATAGCATTGAGTGGTGAAGCTGGCTACAACGATGGAGTCCCTACCATTTTGGGGGTTCCTTATCGTGATTATAGTATGATGTGCCCCAAAACCCTATTCTAGTTGTTAAGGCCACTATATTAATTAGGCTAAATCTAGTCGAAAGGCGCATGCTGGAGGAGATCATCTGTGCAAGAAACCAATGCATGACATCTCAGGTTTATGCTTGGGCTCAGGGTTAAATTTTGGGTTGAGGGTTCTGGGTTTGGGGCTCAGTGTTACAGACTGACTGAGTCGTCGAACCCTTTGAAGCATGATGCAGATTCTTGGGTTAGTTTTTATTGCTTTAAGTGCTTGATGGTTAGGATACCGGTTGACTGTGATGTTTGTTGGTCGAGGTGGTTTACAAATCTGGGGTCTACATGTCGTGCGGCTGATATTGGGCAGCTCCTGTTTCGTGGAACACTTTGCAGACCCCGAGCTAGAGGTGGAAGAGGTTTTCCAGAAGCTTGGATAGTTTGTAGTAGCAAAATTATTTGTCAAAATCGCTCCCCGGGAGTACAGAGTCATACACCCCCGAAGAACCGTTCTGATAATTGAGACAGCTGTCCTCTTGAGTTCTGCTTGCGCCATCCTCAATTCAAGCTTCCATGTCGGAATGATGAAGGGTTTTTTGGGGAAACCAGAACTTAGTCTTACCTCCCCCTTATAAGGATCCATGTGCGCCCATAGTATCTACCTGAGCCCTCAAGCGCATATACAACCACATCATGGCCAAAGTAGCGGCATGGACCCTGATTGTCTTCTTATGACATACAGGAAGCCTCTTAGCCGCAGGGCGTCTGCGGCACTGCAGAAGCAGACCGTCCTCCAAGACCAGCTTCAGAAGCTGAGCTGAAAGCTGTTCAGGCTTTAGACATCAGGCTTTGGGATTGGATAATTGTTTTGAGTTTGGAAAAGCTTCCCATGGAATAGGCAGAAATGCATGCATAAATGTATACATAATAATATATATATATATATATACATACACACACACACACACTAGAGACACCCATAACCTGCAACAGTGACACTGCGCAGCGATGGGTGTAGTGAGAGTCATGGAAGAATCTGATGCAGTGCAGCCATTCGTGAGGCTATACGCCTGAGGTTTTCAGGGTTCAGGGTTTAATTAGTGTCATTAGTCTGCGCCTCAAACCCCCAACCGAGTGAGCACGAAGTAAGTAGTGTTTCGGTGCCCCGCGCAGCAGCAAGGTAACCCCTACTGTTTATGATTCGATCATGACAATCTACCCCAAAGTCTGGGGGGGATATGTTGAAAGGGAAGGTGTGTCCAAGACTTTGATAGCAGAGCACGATCTGCTGTCTATTTGCCCAGTGCCCCGTGCTCCCTGCGTCCCATATACGAGTTTCCGAAAATAGGGACCCTAATATAGTACCGTAAATAGTAGGATCCTTATTATAAGGACCCCCCCCCAAAAAAAAAGAAGGTATCCCTACTTTTGGGAAACCCTAAACCCTAAACCCTTTATAGAAGCGTTATAGATCCCTTTAAAGGAACCCTAAAGGACCCTTCAACGGCATCCCCGATGTCCTGTGCTGCACTGCCGGTTGTTGTAAAGAGATCCTTCTCTGAGACTCATTCTCGATGTTTCCCTGGAAAAGCCTGAAAGGGTTTAGGGTTTAGGGAGTTTCCAAAAACTAGGGGTACCTGTGTTTGGGGTCCTTTTAATAAGGATCCTACTATTGAGGGTACTATATTCCTAGCAGTAGAGCAGGTAAGTAACCTTGAACCTTTTTTGGGGGCTTAGGGTACCCTTAATGGGTTCCTTTAAGTTAAGGAGTCTATAGGGTGTTCTATAAGGGGCTCTTAGCAGCAGAGTAGGCCTGTATAATCCCTATAGAACCAAAAAGGTTAACCTTTAGTTCCCCATGATACCCGACAAGTAGGAAAAGGCTGCTGTGCAGTTCAGAAGTGCTTCTGCTCAGTTCCCTCCACTTCGCGGGATAACCTGTACTGTACAGCACCGTTCGTTTTTGTAGTGGCAAGAACTTGTGGGTCGTAAGGTTGTGTCGTGTTTTATTTTTGAAAGCATAGTTCATGAGCATTGCGGGGTTGGACTTAAAGACTCCGGATCGATTTCGCAAGATACCCTCGATCTCCGCCTCCACCCAAGATCCTGCAATTTTCCCTACATCTTAGACCTCTAAGCCCATTAACCTTTTCCCTACGTAAGGATCATGGGGACTTAGTTAAGATGCCAGGTATCTTAATCGGGGCGTGAACTAACTTTTCAAGCATAGCTACCGTTATGTATTTGGAACTCTAGGTACTAAGTCCCGTGCTCCTCTCTGTACGGTCATGACCCTAAACCCAAAACCCTAAACCCAAAACCCTAAACCCCAAAACCCTAAACCCTAAACCCGCTTCGCCCCCAACAAAATCGGATCCATCGCTGCCCCTGCGAAGGATAGAGTTGACCTTAAACCCACGATCTTAAGAACTGTTGAAGACCGGCCGCCACGCTTTTCAGGTATGTCTTCCTCGTCGTGTGTCTTCGCAGCCATTAAGAGGTTGAAGTCGGTGTTCACGGAAGGCCTGGGATTTTGAATATCGCTAGTTCATAGCGGCTTAGAGCTCGCGGGGTTGGGGTCGAGAGTTCCGTAACTAAGAGGTACCTGAATGAGGCTCCGAAGCCGAAACTCCAAAGCACGACTGCTGCAAACGCCAAACCCCTAAACCTTAAAACCCTGACTAGGACCCAGAGTAGGGCCTTACTCCCTTTTTTAGGGTTTAGGTTCCAAAAAGGGCACACTTTTTATTCCAAGGTTACTCTTGGGTCTAGCTGAACACTCTGCGCCCTGCTCCCTTCACCTCGAGCCCATTCCTCCGCACTCCAAGAGTCTTAACCTCGAGAAGGGTTTCGGGGGGATCATCCTCTGACTCTGCACCCACCACACAATGCATGCCTGCCACTGCGCATGATATAGGAGCTAGACACAACCTTTGCACAATCAGCTGTGAAGACTATCGTTGATGACCATCTAGTATGCAGCAGGTTTCAATGATTGGCAAAGAGTACTTTTTCGTAGTGGATATAAGGGGGCACTCTTGCTAAATGTTCCGACCCCTATGGTAACAAAATTACCGTGAACCCGAAGCGGTGACTATTGCGGAGAGTATGTGATTATTGGGTACTTGGACCCTCAGGGTTACAGCAAGCCAGAGACCTTGCCGGATTTGGATGTCTTTTTCGGGTCTGGAGTCTGGGGGTTGCGGTTTGGGCTTACGACTTTAAACCGGGTAAAGACATGTAAATGAGGGTGTAGGCCTTTCAATAACTTACCGTGAAGGTTTGGGGGTGGGGGTTGTTGGGCTGGACTTCGTGTAAACCCTAAATCTTACGCTCTAAACCCGATCTCCAAACCCCAAAGCCTAAATCCAAAACCCTTATCAACCCTAAATCGTAAACCAAACACGCTGATAACCCTAAAGCGTGAATCTAAAACCTCTAGAAACCCTAAACCAGCCCACTCTCAACCTAAGGCCTGAGGTCTGGGATCGATACAGTCGAGGTCTATCGGGTTTAAAATTAAAAGCTAAATAGCAATATTTGAGTTTCTGAAAAATAGGGGTACTCTATGTTGCGGTCCTTCTAATAAGGATCCTACTGTTTAGGCTACTAGATAGGGTTTCCAATTTTCAAATCCTACCAGCTCCTTAGACGGTAGACCTTCCTGAGCTGCTGATTCCCCCTGTATGCTCCTTGTATGTAATTATGTTTTTCTCTCTACCCCTCTCCCTCCAGCCACGCCTCAACCAGCCCGATCTTGGACCCCAAACCAACCAGTGCGCACACAACCGCTTGGAACCAAGGTTCCTATGGGCGTTGTCTCGTGTCAAGCTTGCTACCAGCAAAGTGCCGTTCGACGAGTACCCTGGCTGATGAATAGAACTCCTTTCGTTTACAGGCCTTGGTATTGGATCAACAGCCTGGTTCATCCACAAAGTCGTTTACTGTAGACATGCATAGGATATGTCTTGACCTGGCATGAGACTCCATCACAAAGTCGCATGGCTGCTGCGGTCCGGATTTCAGGACCGCTTCTAAGCTCCGACACACAGAGACTTGAACCCTCAACCCTAGCACTTTCAAGCCCCTATAGACCCGAAACCCCAACGCTTTAAAGCAATCAGTCCTGCCTGTAGTCTCAATAATTGTAGTTCCTTCTTGGGATTACTCTAAAGGATCCTAAATATACAGTTTCCCAAAAATAGAACTACAATGGAGACTTTTGGCAGATCCCCAAATTCGGGATGGTCGGTATCTTCAGTCAAGACGAAGCCCTCGACCCTGCATCCTGAAGCATGACAGCAACCTGCAGCTGCGGGTTAGAGAAAGAAACTATGGGTTTAAAACAAGATTTGGGCTTACATGGGGCCTTAGTCCTAGGTCCGGAGGACATGGTGATATAGCATCATATAAAAACGACATATCGGTTTACAGTTTGGGGTCTAGCGGTGGACCCACGGATTTTGGGTGCATAGCTTGACATGTTGCGATGCACAGCGCGACATTCTGGCTCAACGGGTCATGTTTTTTTCCCACGGTCCCGTTCCTACTTGGAGGATCACAGGACTTAGTAAGTAAGGTGAAAAGTACCTTAATTGGGGTTATAAGTAGTTATAAGTACAGCTACCTTAATTATAACCCTAGATACAAAGTGACATGATCCTTTAAGTAATCGTTCCTGCGATTCCGAAGTCCGGAGTTGCAGATAGGATGCTGCAAGTCAGAATGCTCTCCGGAGAAATGTTGACGGGCATACCTGCAGAAGAGATCCACGATGTGAAGAGCTTGAAGCTGCGCCTGAATCAGCTGCATGGCTTACCCCCACGGTTTCGGCAAAGGCTCCTCCTTTCTGGCGTATCCTTGGAGGATACCCCAAGACCCCGAAGCCCCCGAAAGTCGCAAAGTCCCCAACACTTTCCTGTAGTATAGGGTCCTTTATAATTTGACTAGGGTTTCGGGGCCCATTATATTATAGTTATGATAAGGAACCCCCAGAATAGTATTGGTAACTATTTAGACCCCGATATTAAACCCGGAACCCCTAAACCCTTAGAAGCTTCAACCCTGAAGCTCCCATGCAAGGGTCGCTGCTCCTGCGCCCGGAAACCTTAAAGCCCCGAGGTTTCGGGTTTACTTAGTAGGTAAGTTAATGGCCCAAAGCCACTAAAAAGGCTATCATTCTATATACCTGTGGGGTCCAGGTAGGGGCCTAATGCCCGAAACAGAGGGTCCTTGTTGCGCTCCGTTTGCAGGATACTGCCCGGCTGGACTCCACAACGGAACTTGCTCCTGGGTCCATTTACAGTAGAAGCCAGAAAGTGAAAGTTGGAACCTCATTATCCTCGTGCCCGTAAAGTAACGGTACAGTATTGGTAATCCCAGCAAGAATCATCCTAAATGTATGTTCCAACTTTCTGGGTTTTAGCATAGTTACATTAGTAGTTATTAGTAGCTATAGGCAGCAGTGCAAAATCTCCTAGATTTAGTCAGAGGGTTACTATAAACAGCTTCCTGAGCCCCCGAGTTTAGGGCTTCTATTGGGACTTCCCCAAAAGCCCAGTCTCTTGGGTTACGCGGGTTGTTCCCGTGTGGTATACACTCATGGAGTCCTATCGTTGGGTGTGAGGAGAGTTGGGTCGGGTAGCATTTGGGCCCGACAGTGTTTGGGGGAAGCAGTTTGGCGGTGGTGTCCTCGTGGTCCTGTTCGCGGTCCTGAACCCTAAACAATTAAGCCTAAACCGAGTGGTTGTGGTAGTCTTGGTCAGTCTTACTTTGGTCACGGTCGTGGTGGTGCTGTATCATCTACGGAGGCATTTTGATTATGTACGACGTGACTATACAGTTCAGGGTTTTAAGAATATACCCACTACGCACATAACTGAGTGTTCAGGCTGTTTATGCTTTCATGATGCTTGTGGCTTAAGTTCTGGCTCGAGGGCACGAAATCCACACCCCTGGACACGCCTGGCAGAACCCTTGTACCCGTAGTCCTTTAAATTACACCGAACATCAGAACCCTTCCAACCCCTATACCCAAGCCCGTATTAAGTTACTGAGCCATGTGTGTTATACACCTTTCAAACCCTAAGCCCTAAACCCAGCCCAACAGCCTAGGAGCTCGTTCTACTACCACTTGCAGACGTTTCCCAAGCGCAGACGGATGGTCTAGCATCCTCAGTTCGCCAGGGCGCCACGGCCGAGGTGGGCCATTCTGGGAGTGTTTAGGGTTGTCTTTAGGGGCAGGGTGGAGGGGTGGGCTTACGGTTTCGACTCCGAAATGACACCCAGAACCCCAAAAGCACAAATCCTATGAGTAACAAGCCTTCGTCCTTTAATCCCCAGGTTTTGGGTTTAGGGTATGGGCAAGACCGCATTCTCCCAACAGCTGCTACAAGTGTTGTGCCAGTCTTGGAGTCTTGCAGGTAGGAAGTCACCTCTTCGTGATTCTCATGCAGAGCTTACCCTAAAGGTCCATGTACTCATATAGTATATACATTGGCCTTAATGTAGTCCCTATATAGGTACTTTGGGGCCCATGTATCTCTATATGGATACATGAGCCACGGTTCAGGATTTGGGGGGTGCAGGGGGCTCCGCTTCTGAGCGTTTAGGCTATGGGGTCAGAAGTTTGGGGGCTCGCCTGGCAATAGCCTACTGAAAGGATCATGGGACTTAGAAACTACAGTAGGGCTATAATTCGAGTAACTATAACTGCCTTATAACCCTAATTAAGATACTTATAACCTTACTTACTAAGTCCTATGATCTTCCAAGTACTGATCCATATATATATATATATATATATATACGGTATATACAGATTCCAAAACTACTATTCTGTAGGTTCCGGGCCAAAGGTGGGGTACAGATGATATATAGAGGGAGCCCTAGTCACGGAAGAAGGCCCCAATGAGTTGCGACTTTTCGGCACCTCCATCCTGGGAGGTTGAGTCCATGCTACAGCTGCCTCAAGATCCAAACCTGCTTCATTCGGACGGCTCTAGAGCGTTGATCCTGGCATCTGAGCACGGTCACGTGGAAATCGCACGCTTGCTGCTGGAGGCCGGCGCCGACAAGGACATCGCAGAGAAGGGGGAGCTTAAGAGAGGCGGAACAGCCTTGATGATCGCATCTGAAACTTGGTAGCTGCGTAGGGGACCTTTAACAATCCTTTTTGGATTGTATCAGTAAGTATAATGAGAACCCTACCGCAAAAGACGGAGAACCCTACCACAAATGACGGTCAGCAAGGTCAATTAACCCTGTTTGGGCTAGGGTACTCGGCCCTATAAGGAAAGAGGCCACGTCGAAATCGTGCGCTTGTTGCTGGAGGTCGGCTCCGACAAAGAACTGGCAGATAGACGCGGCTTCACAGCTTTGATGAAGGCGGCTTGTCATGGTCATGACGAAGTCGTCCGCTTTCTGCTGGAGGACGGTGCCACGAAGGACACGGCGAACTGCAATGGCAACACCGCCTTGATGATGGCATCCGAGCAAGGTCACGCCGAAATCGTCCGCTTGCTGCTGGAGGCCGGTGCCGACAAAGAACTGAAAAACATCAGCGGCTTCACAGCATTGATCAAGGCGTCGGGGCAAGGTCATCTCCAAGCCGTTTGCTTGCTGCTGGAGGCCGGTGCCGACAAGGATGTGGCAGAGAACCGTGGCGGCACAGCGTTAATGATGGCTTCTGAACAAGGCTACGTCGACGTCGTCTGCTTGCTTGTGGACGCCGGTGCTGACATCAGCACTGCAGACAGCAGAGGCTACACAGCATTGATGATGGCATCTGGTGTAGGCCACACGGACATCGTACGATTGCTGCTGCGGTCTGGTTCTGACACAGACCTGGCCAGAAATGGAGGTACGAAAGCATTAATGATGGCAGCATACGAAGGTCATGTCGAAGTCATGCGCCTACTGCTAGAGGCAGGTGCAGACAAAACCGTTGTGCTGCTAACTGTGTGGTTCCAGGGTCGGGATGCATCCAACATCGGTTTTGTGGCATCGTCTCGCTCTAGCCGAGCCGAGCTTCGATACCAGCCTTTCAGCGCACTCCTTTGCAGGATAGCTCGCATTAATGTCGCCAGAAAACCTTTAAGACCCAAGATTGTAGCACCTGTTTGGATAGCTGATGGCAATCCCAAAACGTACTGCAAATCATGGTCTAAGTAGAACTCCACGCAGCTTCCCCCCAAGTAGACTTCCTTCTGGTAGGGTTTATGAGGTTCCTCAGAGGCAGGTGTTTAGGCGCGGCCATGATGAGTACTTGGGTCATTACTGAAGGGGGAGGTCTAGATAAACCCTGACCCTGAGGCCCAACATCGTCCGAAGCCACACAGACACCCAAGTCCTAAACCCGGGCTTCTCTACTTGGAGGGGCAGGGGACTTAGTAAGTAGGATATAAGTAGAGTTGTAAGTACCCCTAATTGGAGTTACCCTAATTACAACCGTACTTAAAAACGACTTACTAAGTCCCCTGCCCCTCCAAGTACCAAGGCTTACAGTCTTGCAGGGTCCTGATGCACGGTTTTTGGGCGTTGTTTACGGTTTAGGGTCGCAGGTTTCACACAAACCTAAAGACATGGCCAGCCTAGGGTGTCTACAGGTTATGGTCGCGTGAAAGCCAAGACGTCTCGAAACGTTGGGTTGCAAGTTTCCCTGCTCAACTATTAAGCCCAAAGCTCTAAACCCTCAGGCCTAAACCCTGAACTCTGAAATGTTTGGATGTTTGTGCCTAAAGCTGGGACAGGGCTTGTAGGGCTTCGTGCTTAAGGACCAAGTGCACCCCCGAAGAGATTGTGGCACCCATGTAAATTGTATACTATTGTATACATATATATGTATAAAGACACGCACACACACACATGTGTTTGCGTGTGCATGCCTGCATGCCTGCATGCCAGCATGCCTGCATGCCAGCATGCCAGCATGCCAGCATGCCAGCATGCCAGCATGCCTACATGCATGTACTCCGAACACAAGCCCGGTGACATATTATAGAGGCGGGAAGAATTAAAAAGAAAGGTTCTCATAATCCCTATGTCATCGTAGTAGTACTGTATATCCACCAAACACCACTGATGTCTTTATACAGCAGTATCGAGCCTGGCCAGGAAGTCAGGGAAGTTGGCAGCAACATTCCGCACGGCTCGTTGACGAAGCATTAACGATGAGAATAGCCCCAAGAGTGATTTTATATCGCGAAGTGGGCTTTCGGAGAATGTAGACGCTTGCCAGCACTTATCCCTGACAGTCACATCCCAAGAAATCCTACAGTCAACTTTACAAGCCCTGAAACCACTAAAACCCCGAAAGCCCTTAAACCCACAAACCCCTAGCCGTCCTCAAGATCGCCCAGCTCCAGGTCAGTTGTCAAAATTGTGGTCCCTTTTTGGGTACCCTAAATATGAGCTGCCGTACTATAATAGGGACCTAAAAAGGGACCATAATTTTGAAAACCACTGAAGGGTTCATGTTGCTGACAAGCAGCACATTTTGGCTTACCGGGTTCTAGTTCCCGCGGGCTCCGCATAGCAAAAGTAGGTTCTGTCTCTTTAGCCTGCTTCCTGTCGACTCTGAAGTTTGTAATGTGTGTATAACTGTCCGAAACACTAAAAGCCATAAACTTGTGTACTTGCATGGAGCCGTGAGGGGTTGGCCCTAGTTGGCATAATTCGTTGCATTCACCAATTCGCTGATGCAGATGCTCCACACCCGGGTGCTCTCCGGGGGTACAGTGACGAGCATACCTGTGGAGCAGATACGCGATGTGAGAGGTTTGAAGCAATGCCTGAATCAGCTGCTAGGCCTCCCAGTGGGCCCTTTTCCCTTTTTGTAGTCCTGGGTTCCAAATAAAGTTAGCCAATAGCAAAAAAGGAGCCCTTTTTATGCCTAGGTTACTGGGCATCCTAGGCTGCACGGCTTCCCCCCGCGTTTTCAACAGCGGATCCGTCTTCATGGCGAGAGTTTGAAGGATTCTGTGAAACTGGACTCTGCGATGGACCTAGATACTGGGCTTTGGAGTACCATACTTTATTCTTTTTTTCTTAAGGGAACAATTATGAAATAAAAGTTTTTACTTTTTTCTCCCTGGTTATTTAAAAGCCCAGGATATCGTTCTGTTGTCGTTCGTTGATGTTCCGCAACAGCAAGCCGACGACTTGGCAGCGGCTGCTAGCCAGGGCAGAACGGCTGAGGTGGGAAGTTGAGATGCTTTGGGGTTTTCTACGGTGTTATAGTTATAGGTGGTGTAGTTACACGATTTTCGTTCGTTTTCTTAAGATTTAAGATTTTACTAGTGTTTAAAATTTTACTAAGGGCTTCCGCTAGGTCCTAGGTTTGTGAATCCTTCATCTGTTGGTTCTTGCGCCGAGTAGACCCCGCCCCCACCCCCGCCCCAGCCCCCACCAAGTCAGAGACGCGCGCAAGCCAGCCCAGCACATAGTCTGACACCTTTTTGTCTGCCTTCGTGTCCATTGTACCCTCGTCCAACATCACTGCACAAACTGGGAGTTTCAGATCCAAGCAACGCCGATACAGAAGCCTAAATGCCGGGTTCCCTTCTACCAAGAAGCCCCACAATCAGCATGCCCCAAACCTTAAACCCAATGCCCTAACTAAACCCTAAACCCCGAAAATGCCCTTGAGGTCGAATCTATGCTGCAGCTGCCTCAAGATCCAGATTTGCTTGACTCAGGCGGCCGCACAGCTTTCATGAGGGCAGCTGTGAAAGGTCATGTCGATGTCGTCCGCTTCTAGGTTTTTTCAGTAGTATCCTGTTGCCTGTTCATTAGGGCTCCCAGGTTCCCTTTAAAGGGGGTTTAGGGTTCCTTTACGAGGGGTCAAGGGTTCCTTTACGTATACAGTTCCTTATAACTGGATATGAAGAAAGAGGGTACGGTTGTTAGCAAGGGGCTGCTGGAGAGCCAAGGCTTACTGATGGAGGCCGGCGCCAAAACTGATGTGGCAGACCACATCGACTGTGCGGCATTGATGGGGGCATCTTGCCAAGGTTGCGTCGAAGTCGTTCGCTTGCTGCTCGAGGCCGGTACGAAGGACGTCCCAAACAACGGTGGCTACACGGCTTTGATGGCGGCATCTTACCAAGGTCATCCCGAAATCACACGGCTGTTGGTGGAGGCTGGCTCCGACAAGGATGCCACAAATGACAGGGGCAAGACAGCATTGATGATAGCATCTGAGACTGGTCAGGTCGAGATCGTCCGCTTGCTGCTGGCGGCTGGCGCCAACAAGGATCTTCCAGACAACAGCGGTCGCACAGCCTTGATTAAGGCATGTTGCCAAAATTATGTCGAAGTGGTGCAGCTGCTGCTGAAGGCAGGCGCCAACAAGGATTATGCGGACAACAAGAATGGGTACACAGCTTTGATAGCATCATCGCACGCAGGTCATACCGAGATCGTTCGTTTGCTTTTGGATGCCGGTGCCGACAAGGATCATGCTGACACTAGGTTCGCCAGTGGCACCCTTTTCCCCTTTTCATCTTAAGGTTCCGTTAGAAATTGTTATTATTGTTATCGTGATTATTAATCGTACTAATGTACTAATGTAATTACTGCTTTTATTATCATTATTAAGGGGCCACAATCGGGAACCCAGGACAACAAGGCAGACACTGCCTTGATGGTGGCATCGGTTGCAGGTCATGTCGAAGTCGTGCGGTTGCTCCTGGAAGCCGGCACCAACAAGGATGTAGCAGAGAACGACGGATACACAGCTTTGATGATGGCATCTACCAGAGGTCATGTGGACGTTGTCCGCTTGCTACTGGAGGCCAGCGCCATCAAAGACTTGGCTGACAACAGCGGCTACACGGCGTTGATGATGGCATCGTACAGAAGCTTGATAGAGAGTGGGTGGCCTTGACCTCTTTGGGGAATTAGATTAGATCCCACATACAATCCCGAGGATTGTTTTTTTGTTTTTTCAATATTCGGTCCCCGTTGGATACTGGACAACTAAGGAAATCAAGTCGAAGTGGTACGTTCTCTCTTGGAGGCTAGTGTTGAAAAGGACCTAACAGAGAAGGACGGGTACACAGCTCTCATGATGGCGGCCGATCATGGCCATGAGGATGTCGTTCGTTTGCTGTTGGAGGCCGGTGCCGACAAAGACTTGGCGGACCATAGAGGCCACACAGCGGTGATGATGGCATCTGCAAGGCAGGAACAGAATCCTGAAATCGTTGCTTTGCTGTCATAGGCACTGTGTCAGTTTTACGCGGGCTTGCATAGATGCGCTCCGACATGGAAAAGGATCCGGGTGTCCACGCCCAGGGCCGAAAACTGCAACCTCTAAGTCTTTCGAAGCCTTACAAGCTTACAAACTCTAGCCCCTATAAGCCCGAATCCTTAGACACCGTTGCCCCTATAGGACTTCAGGACCCCAGTTCATATGGTAGTTTCCGAAAATAGGGGACCCTAAGATAGTACCCTAAATAGTAGGATCCTTATTATAAGAACCCCAAAGTAAGGTATACCCCTAACTTTCGGAAACTCCCATGTACGCGACGCCGCAGGCCCCTTAGCCTGTTTCACTCAAGCGATCGATCCTCGAGCAAGTTCCCGAGGCCCCTGAACTTCCCGCATGTTTCCTAGGACCTAGAGTAGGCCCTTTTTCCCTTTTTAAGGGTTCAGGTTCACTTAAAAGCCCCTTTGAACCAAAAAGGGCACCCTTTCTATTCGTAAGCTACTCTTGGGTCTAGTTTCTTGCCAGGATTCTACACTGGAACCTCGCAGTACCCTTAAAGTAGAAGCCCAGAAGTTGGAAACCCCATAGCCTCAATCCCTAAGAGTAGGATATAGGGAATCCTAGCACTTTTCGGCCTTAATCCGATTTCCAGCTTTTTGGGGTTTACTGTAAAGGAACCTGTGAAGGAACCCGAGGATCCTAGCAGGGCTTCATACCCGTTCTAGAGCGGTAGATTTAAGTCCCTGGAGCCTTAGGGCCCTAGCGGTGCACCTTTTAGGGGTTTAGGGTTTAGATTCACGAGGTTTAATGAGGGGTTTAGATTTAGATTTGTTTTGGGTCTAGATTTACGGGTTTAGGGTTTATAGATTTAGGGGGTTTAGGGTTTGGGGTCAGGGAGTTTTGGGTTTCGGCTCCCCCTTAACCCTGAAGAACCTACCTTTTTAAGGACTTATATACTGAAATCATAATAGGGAACCCTAAAACGGTAGGTTCTTCAGGGTCAAGGCCGGGTTTAGGGCTTCCGGCCTTTAATCTCCCCTAGGATGCCCAGTAGTACCCTTATTCCCTTTTTGTAGTCCTAGGTTCCTTATAAAGTTACCCAATACCAAAAAGAGAGGCCTTTTTATTCTTACCAAACCCTAAACCCTAAACCCTAAGCCCTTTTTATTCTTACTGGGTATCCTAGCTCCCGCCCGAGGCAGAACGAGGAGAAGGCGAAAGAGCTTCGGCAGATCGCGATCATCCTCGAGGCTTCCAGAGAGAAAGTACTTGGAGGGTCGGGGGACTTAGTAACCGGTTATTTTAGGGACTTATAAGTACCATAACCCCAATTAGGGTCCCTTCTAGGGTACTTACTACCTACTTACTAAGGCCCCCGACCCTCCAAGTAAGACAAAGGTCTGAGTATCAGGACCCCCCAATGGCCCTTTAATGGAGCCCTTATGGTCCTTAATAGTGGGTATTTAGGGTATGTTGAAGGCTAGTTGGGGGGTCTAGGTAAGTAGTGGATCTTTAAGGGTTTAGTGTTAAGCATAGTTTGAGGTAGGGGTTTAGACACTCAACAATGGGATTCCTATAAAGATTGGATCTATAAGTGTTTAGTGTTATAAGCATACTTTGATACAGGGGTTTAGATATCCAACAATGGGATTCCAAATAGCTAGTCGAGGTATCGTAAACCGTGCCCCAAAAGGCTTGTTCTGGTTGCTATCAGGCCCCTATACTGCCAGTCTAGGGATTTGCTGTCGGGTTTAGGTTTTGCGCTATATAGACCTTCTTGTATCAGTGGGCCGCAGAAGTATTAGGATCCCTGCTCCACAGGGTTCCATGTGCCCATTTAGTATATACTCAGACCTGAAAGTAGTCGCTCTGGAATCGGTGATGAGCCTTTTCGGTTCCGCATACTTTAGGGCCTATCGGGTTCCAGGTGTAGGGTTAAGAGCCTAGCATAGGGCTTCTAGGGTTCTAGGATGCCCAGTAGTACCCTTATTCCCATTTTGTAGTCCTAGGTTCCTTATAAAGTTACCCAACACCAAAAAGAGAGGCCTTTTTTATTCTTAGGTTACTGGGTATCCTAGGGTTTAGTTCAGACAGGGTTTAGGGTCTGGTTTAGGTTGTGCAGATCTGAGGCCCTAAACCCAAAACCCTAAACCCAAAACCCTAAACCCTAAGCCCAAAACCCTAAACCCAAACCCTAAACCCTAAGCCCAATACCCTAAACCCTAAACCCAAACCCTAAACCCTAAACTTACTTTGGGGGTTTACTGGCAATAATAGTGCTGGGAGTTGAGGCGTTTGCAGCTTCTCGGCAGGTTCGGGTTTAGGATACTCCGAGTGCTATATAAATGAAATCACAATAGCGACTTAATATCAATAACAGTAACACTTAATCATAGTATACTACTAAAGGGTAACATATCTTCAGTGCTGCAATATCAATAATCAGTGTTGTGCATGGGCTTTTGGCCGACAAACTCCAGCCTCACAATTCTTTGCTAAGGTTGCGGTAAACCTCCTTAAGCCCTCAAGCCGTACGGATTAGGGCGTAGGGGTTTTGGGTTTAAGGTACCCTCATACCCCATGCTCTCAATTTTGCACGGTCGTGCAAGTCTCCTCAATGCTCCTCCTGGACATTGGGGCCCACTCCTTCAAAGCGGAAGTGTTGGCCTAAACTCCAAGCCGTAAACCACTTCACCCGAAGCCTCTAAACTCTCAGGCTTTTCCACCCTGAAGGCTTAGACCCCAAAACCCTAAACCCTAAACCCAAAACCCTAAACCCTAAACCCTAAACCCCAAACCCTAAACCCCAAAACCATTAAATCCTAAACCTGCAAAGAGGTTTTCACTCGCGATGCCGACTGGCGCCGGACGGAGGACCCTTCTCGGCTTGCCACAGAGTATCCCAGACCTTCCAAAATCCCTTAATTAAGGAATATACCTTAAATCATATTAGGGATCCTACTATAATTTAAGGTATATTCCTTAATTAAGGGATTTTGGAAGGTCTGGGATCCACGACAGCCCTGTAATGCCCGGTAGAATATGCCTAGAGGGCCTTGAAGTCAGGAATTTATACCATCAACATATTAAGCACCCTTTGGCTCCCTATGATTCAAAACACGTTCCTTCATTGAGGGGCACTGGGCTCCCTGGGAACTCCAATCACAGTATAAAGTGGTTTCGGTCGTTGGGGTGTTTATCAAAATGGACGCAGGTATCCATGTTTTCTTAAGTGTTTTGTTCATTGCTTTCATTTTGATCTTCTTTACCGTGTGGTCTTTTGCGGGAGGGATTACAGCTTCAGGTCAGAGAGTTTAACGTTCGCCGTGTTGCAGAAGTTGCCAATACACAGCCTTCGCACGTGAATCAGCACTTCACTATTCTTGGCCTAAACCCTAAACTCCTAAACCCTAAACCCTAATTGTGACGCAGCTTGCTCAAGATGTCTCAACTGCGCTGAGATGTGTCAATCGAGCCCGAAGTTGAAGTATCTAAAACCTCTCAGCGAGAAACTCTTCCCCCCGCTCCCAGTCTCCATCCTATAAGGGTCCATGTATCCATATGAGTATACTTTGACCCCGAAGTACGTATATAGGGACTACATTGGGGCCTATGTATATACTATAGGAGAACATGGACCCTCAGGGCATGGCATGCTCCAATACCCTTGCACCTTTACCCCGTTGGCGCTGTAGACTCAGATTACGGGATTGGTTCGCGGTTAGCTGCCGAGGAGCATTTCATTGGCCTTTCTGGCACGTGCGCTGAAGAGTCACTCCCGAAAACATACCCCTATACCCTTAACCCCCCAAACCCGAACCGCATGCGAGGACAGTACGGTGTCTGTTGACTTCCACCTGCCCTCTCACGCCCAGCGTTCCGGGGAAGAGATCGAGCTGCAACCGGGCATCGACACCTGAAGTGGGCGCAAGGGGTGTCGGAACGGGTTTAGGCCAAGTTTAGGGTTTAGGGGTTAATGTTTGCCCTAAACCCTAAACCCCAAACCCTCCCTTAACCCTGAAGAACCTACCTTTTTAGGGTTCCCTATTATGATTTCCTTGTATAAGTCCTTAAAAAGGTAGGTTCTTCAGGGTTAAGGTAAACCCTAAAGGGCTGAAGGCTGTAGAGGTTCAGGGTTAATGGCTTCAGAGGTTTAGCCGAGCTCAGAACTCAGAGCTTGAGATGGGGTTCGGGGGGTTGTTTGGGCTGCGGGGTTCAGGGTTAGTAGGTTACCTATAGTCTCCATTGTAGTTCCTTTTTTTGGTTAACCAGTTTTATGGTTAGGATCCTATAATAGAGATTTTGGTAAACCCAAAAAAAGGAACTACAATGGAGACTATAGGTAGGCTTTAAGGTTGAGGGCATTTTCGGACTTCCAAATCCCCCAAGCCGTCTTCGAACCCTGGATCCGAAGCCCTAAACCTGTAAACCCTAGACCCTGAATCTCAAAGGGTTTTACCTAAACCGCCCCCAAAAGTGTAAAATTATGGCCCAACACCAGTAAAACTTTATTCTACTTGTGGGGTCCAAGTAAGCCCTAAACCCATCTCAAAGCACCACGTCAGAAGTGTTGAGGATTGGCGAGGAGGGTTTTCGAAGTATAGGTGCAGGGCAGTTTCGGGATTCAGGACTTGTAGGCTTATAGGCACACTGCGCATTCAGGTTTGCCGACTATCCCGTGTAGAACGATCCCGACTGCACTGCCACTTGTCCCACCTTTGCTTCTAACACAGATCATCTTGCTGCTTGGTGTGCCAGTTTACCGTAAAAAAACCCAGCCCGCAGTGGGTAACTGCTTCTTAAACCCTGAAACCTACTAGTACACAGTATTTCGGCAACCGGGCTTCTTGCCCACTCTCCTAAACCCGCCCTAAGAATCCCTAATAGATGTGATGATGGAAGCAAAGTCGTGTGTGCCGTTTTCTGAATGCGCAGCACCGCGGACGATGTTGGAGGCCACCGAGGCCTACTTAAAGGATCATGGGACTTAGTAAATAGGGTTATATTTAGAGTAACTACATTTTTAACTACTTTTAAGCCCAATTAAGGTACTTATGACCTTACTTGCTAAGTCCCATGATCCTCCAAGTAGCAGCCAACAGCCAACAGCGCAACGGCTGGAGGCAGAACGCGCGTTCTTCGTGCTGGTTGAGAATTGGCTTGCATAATACAGGGGCATTAATAATTAGAAAAGGGTTTCGGGGTCCATTATTCTATGCTTATAAAAAGGAACTCACAACATAGCATAGGAAATTATTAAGGCCCCTATAGCATGTGTGAGGTGCTACAAGTTGTAGTGCAGCTCGTGCTCCACATTGCGGCCTGCGAGGTTCAACACAAACCTACACTTGGAGGATCATGGGACTTAGTAAGTAAGGTTATACGTACCTTTATTGGGGTTATAAGTAGTTATAAGTATAGTTACCCTAATTATACCCCTAGTTACTAAGTCCCATGATCCTTTAAGCAGGTGTGGCTGTGGTCACCCTGCAGAGCCTTCAGATCTTTGCCAGGCTAAGCCGCTAGCGCTCGCCGGCAATGCGCAGTCATTGTCCGGTCTTTCATGCGCTAGGTCTTGCTAGCTCTATCTGGGAAGTATATTGATGCCCATTTTGCAAGGGCTTTCGGCCGCGGCCGGCTTAGGCTTCACATCGCTGCGGATCGCAAGTTCATCGAAGACCAGTTCCAAATAGAATTTAATTTGTAAGCCTCAGGCCCAGTAGTCAGGGGTGTTTGCCCTAAGCCCTATACATCCGAACACTAAATAAATGTATAGTCCTCTCTTCCCCGCCCCAGTCAACCAAAATGGCAGACCACTATATAGGTAATTGGGCTTCTCGCTCTTGATGCTAGACTCTCCAAGCGCGCTTCTGGTGACATGGTTCAAAGGGGTTCAGCAAGGGGTTTTGCACCATGCCGTGCGGTCTTCGAGACACCATGAATGGAGAGACACATGACAAATTGTACTGCAAAGAACTAGGAGCCATACCTGCTGAGCTTTCGAGCTCTTGCACCCTGAGCTTGTGATACGAACGCTGGCATCGTCTATTTGGCATTGGGGCGGGGGGGGGGAGGTCGCGTACACGGTCAGTCTGAAAGCATGCTCCAAGCACACCTGAGCGCCCTAGAACCCACAACCCATAAACCCCTACCTAATCCCCCGAGAGAAGGTCGTGATAATGGCCCAACACCTATAACGGGCCTGGCCTTGTACATACTTGCCGTCCCGGTAAACCCTCACAAGTTTGAAGCATCCTTCGATTCCGGACCTGGAGCCCCAGCCGTGTTGCTTAAGGCAATCGTCTGCAACGCCTTCCTTGAAATCCGCGCAGGAGGGTCGGGGGCCTCAAAAGGTAGGATGAAGGTAGGTGGGATATTCCCAAATAAGAGTCCTTATATAAGGGAATCCTTAATCCCACCTACCTTCATCCCACCTTGTGAGGCCTCCGAGAGGGGCGGGGTGGGGGCGCTTGGAGGCTTTCAGTGTGAGCCTGGAGGGGTTTTGGAGTTTAGGGCGGCTTGGGGCTTTTTGGGTTGGAGTACACTTTACCGTGCGGTTTTTTCCGATTAAGGTTACAGTAGGTCATTAGGGCTGCGTTTGTTTATGGATTCTAAGAGGTTTCCCGAGCTGGAAATCACGGCTTGCCTAGGACACACAAAAACACACACACAAACACACACACACACGCCCTGTCAGCCGCATAAACCCCACGGGCCCCCCTGCCATACACCTTGACAGCCCTGTATGCAGAAAACCCCCGCACCCAACAATCGAAGCCATAAACCCTACACCCGAAATGTCGAAGTCCCGAACCCGAAATCAAAGCGAAGCCCTAAGCCCTGCACCCTAGAGGCCTAAACCCTCCTGAACCCTAAACCCCCATCAGTCCGATCCGACACCGGCGGCAGAGACTGAAGATCCGGAGGAGGCGATACGATGGGACTCTCGGCATTCAAGCGCAAGCTGGGCTAGTACAGACGCCGGACTATCTACTTTCTAAGAGTTCGTTGCTGTGATTGTGCCATACTATATGTGAGTTTCCCAAAATACGGGACCCTAACATAATATCCTAAATAGTAGGATCCTATTTATAGGGGCCCCAAAATACGGTAGCCCTAATTTTCGGAAACGCCCATATTGCCCAAAGAGCCCCATACTTCTCAGTTGAGGAAAAGACCACCACGGCCCAGGGCGAATCCTAAAAGCAAAGGGGAAAAGGAGGGGCCCTTAATGGCCTGTAATGGGCTATATAATGAGTATATAATAGTTAAATTAAGGGTATATACCTAGGGGTCCATATTAAAGGTCCCTCCTTTTACCCTTGGACTAAAGCCAGTTCCGTGTCAGGGCTTTGAGTGTTCTGGCTGCAGTCAATCCAGAGTCGTCACCTACCCACCTACATGACGACTGGGTTTACGGGTTTAGGGTTGAGGGCCCAGCATATCTCCCGCTGGGTACCCAACATTTGGCAGCGATATTTGTATCCTGCTCGTGCTAGCATGGGTTGCTATTGTTCATGTGCTTGCAGCAGCATGGCACAGTGTAAGTGGGAAAGTCCACATGAAGCATTTGGGAAACTCGGAAACTCAGTAATCCTAAGCCCTTAGAGTTGAAGCGGCTGATGGACAAAATCCTGCATTGCCCATTACAAGGAATACACTGTAATTCACCTAGTTTAGGGTCCTGAAGGTCATGCAGGATTTATATCATCAACCGTTATGATAGTATGATACACACCAAAACCCTATTCGAATCCTTGAAGCCCCTACATTGTAGATCCCTACTATAGATCCCTTATGCGATTTTGTCCATCAACAGAAGTAAGGATGGCGCCGGGCATCACAGGATCGGGGTTTCCGTCACTGTCAGACAGATGTTCGCCATTGGAGGGCCTACTTCTCTCACTATGCGCCCTGGCCACGGTTTAGAGTTTAGGGCTTAGGGTCACGATGCCCCCTGGCCACGGTTTTTAGAGTTTAGGGTTAGGGCTTAGGTTCACAATGCGCCATGGCGAATTTAGGATTTCAGATTGCCTCTCACAGTGCGTCTTGGCGAGTTTAGGATTTTAGAGTGTGTGCTTAGAGTTCAGTGCTTCGAGCTTCAGGAGAGCAAGGGGCACACCTTAAACTTGAAACTGTGCACAGTCCTAGTAGTAGAGTAGGTAACTTTTTAACTTTTTTTGGGCAGTATAGTCCCTACATATTCCCTATATAATCACAAAAGCTTACCTGTAGCTCCCCATGATACCCAACAAGTAGGCAGTTAAAGCAGCAGCATCACGGAAGGTGCAGTCTTAAGCGCGCCTTGGGGCAACATGAGAAGGGGTTCAGCCCTAGGCATTTCGGACACAACAGATCACAGGAGATGAGGTTTGGAGGTGGCCCCTTGTCTTACACATGCATACCTGGTACTACAGCCAAGCCCTGAAGCTGTTTAGACGTCTATCTATCTGTCTATGTACATATGTATATACACTGTTATAGGTGTGTATGAATAATTATGTAACAACATATGTACACATACTCTATCTGAATATACTGTTTTGAGCCTTCTCCAAGAAACCCTGAGCCTTGATCAAGCCCTGTAAATAAAGCCATACTCTAAGCCCTTAGCCTCCAGCCCTGAGCGCCGGTAGGAGTTGATGCATTTCTGATGGACCCGGGCCCTTCCCCTACATGGCCCTACATGAGGGCGTTTAGGGTGTAGGATTTAGGGTGTAGGGTTTAGGGGTTTAGGGTTCGGGGACCCGAAGATCTCAGCTGCATAAGTAGTGGGTTATTGACGACTACAGATTTAGGAACAGCCCCAAACCCTACAAGCCCTACCTAGACCCCCAAAAGTAGGTAAAATACTGGCCCAAAGCCTATGAACGGCTATTATTCTACATCCTTTCGGCGTCCAGGAACCTGCCAAAACCTACCTTTTGTAGGGTCCCTATAAATGCCCAACCCCCCTCCGTCTTTTGAAGAGGAAGTGGACAGATGACCGGCGGCACTCAAAGGAAGTCTGGCTCCTCGCGCCTTGGATATCTTTTTTGTGGGTGGTTGTCAAAATTATGGCCCTTTGTATGAACCGTACTTGAATTCTACACCCTAACACTTTTGTAAAACCCAGAGAAACGTCTAAAACCCCACCTAAAGCCACAAGGGTAGTTGTCAAAATTATAGTCCATTTTTGTGTACCCTAAATATTATTATTAGGTGCCGTACAATAGTAGGGACCCACAAAAGGGTCCAGCCGGCGGCTTTTACGCAGTTTAAAGAAATTTGAATAGGTGTTTGGGATACATGATTGTCGCATAACACTAGAACGTGATATGGGAGTTTCCGAAAATAGGGACCCTAATATAGTACCCTAAATAGTAGGATCCTTATTATAAGGACCCCAAAATAAGGTAGCCCTAATTTTCGGAAACTCCCATATTGCTGTTGGAGACTGAGTCCGCTGGATTCGGCTGACAAATTCGAGGGTTCCGAAACTCCCCCGTACCCTACCTATAGTCTCCATTGTAGTTCCTTTTTGGGGTTACCTTATAGGATCCTAATTATATAGTTGGTTAAACCAAAAAAGGAACTACCATGGAGACTATGGGTAAACCCTACACCGCAGACCCTCAACCCTAAACATGCGGGACAAACGTGGCTGGACCGAGTTGCTCTGGCAACCACCGACATGACGGTTTCGACGGGGCTATTTAGGGTTGCATGGTCTGGGGACCTCTCGTGCAGTCGTCAGAAATCCGTTTGCCCTGTTCAGGGCTTCCCGAGTGTCGTCAAAGTAAGGATGAGGTCAGAGGGAGGGGCCAGTCTTTCCTCGATTGTTGATATGACAACCTTCATCACCTTAGTTAAGTTTGGAAGTAGCTGGAAGTGTAGTTACCACCGGAATTACTTGGCTCAACATGTTCTTGTTGCAGTTATCATGCCGACGGAGTTATCGCGCTTCTTGGCTGCTGCCCCCTTTCGCGAAGATGCTGCAAATCAATATGCTATCAGGAGAAGCTCTGACGAGCATACCTGTGGAGGAGGTACACGACGTGAAGGACTTGAAGCAGCGCCTGACCCAGCTGCACGGCTTGCCACCACGGTTCAGGCAGAGGGTTTTCTGCCACCGCGAAAATTTGGAGGAAGCCGTGAGGCTGGACGGCCCCATGGACTTGGATCTCGTTTTGTTGGCATTTTCTGATGTTTCTGAAGGGCAGGTGGAAGAGCTTGCAGCTGCTGCTTCAGAAGGCTCCGTTTCTGAGGCGGGAAGTTTTGAACCAGCATACATACTTGAACAAATAAGTAAGTATGTAGAACATGATATACTGATATCAAAGCCCCTAAACGCCTAAACCCCAAACGCCTGCGTTTGGTCTTCCGGTGGGCGTCGCCCTTGTCCAGTTTCTTCCACGCCCGAGGTATCACTGGAGACTAGCCCAGTCAAGCGTGTTTCGGGTTCCGGGCCTAGGGCTTGGGGTGTAGGGATTAAGGTGAAGCAACCGTGACTTGGAGCTTGTTTTAGCTCCTGTAATACGCCATGGACAATTGCGTTTGGCTCGCTATGATACGGTTTAGCGCCCTAAACCGTAAGCCCAGGGATACGAGCTTCCTTGTTTGTCGATGCGTCGGGGAGCAAATCTCAAGCCCAAGCCCCGTGCCCGAAAAGCCAAAATCTAAGTCTCCTGGCCAAGACTTGCAGCAACAAGAGATAGGGCTTCAGGCGTCTACGGGTTTAGGGTGTGGTACGGTTGATGGTATAAATCCTGCACTACCTTAAGGACCCTAAACTATGGGAATTATGGTATATTCCTATTATGGTTAATGCAGGATTTATACCATCAACCGTAGTATTGCAACCGCAACGGTTGCATTTCCAAAGACCCTGAAGGTCGAGTCCATGATGCAGCTGCCACAAGATCCAGATTTGATTGGCACCACTCGGCAGCCAGCATTGGTGATCGCAGCTGGTCGAGGACATGTCGAAGTCATACGTTTGCTGTTGGAGGCCGGTGCCGACAAGAACCTGGCCGACAACAGCGGCTCGACAGCTTTGATGATCGCAGCTGGTCAAGGACATGTCGAAGTCATACGTTTGCTGTTGGAGGCCGGTGCCGACAAGAACCTGGCTACCAACGGCGGCTTGACAGCTTTGATGTGCGCATCTTTGCAAGGTCATGTCGACATCGTGACGTTGCTGTTGAAGGCAGGTGCCGACACAAGCCTGGCCGACAAGAGCGGCAAGACAGCTTTGATGATGGCAGCTGGTCAAGGACATGTCGAAGTCATACGTTTGCTGTTGGAGGCCGTTGCCGACATGAACCCGGCCAACAACAGAGGCTGGACAGCTTTGATGATGGCAGCTAGTTCAGGACATGTTGAAGTTCTGCGTTTGCTGTTGGAGGCGGGTGCCGACAAAAACTTGGCCGACAACTACTGCGCGACACCTTTGATAATGGCAGCTGATCGACGACATGTCGAATCCCTGCGTTTGCTGTTGGAGGCCGGTGCCAACATGAACCTGGTTGACATCAACTGCTCAACAGCTTTGATGATCGCAGCTGGTCAAGGACATGTCGAAGTCATACGTTTGCTGTTGGAGGCCGGTGCCGACACGAACCTGGCCGACAACAACGGCTCGACAGCTTTGATGATCGCAGCTGGTCAAGAACATGTCGAAGTCATACGTTTGCTGTTGGAGGCAGGTGCCGACAAAAACCTGGCCGACAAGAAGGGTTCAACAGCTTTGATGATGGCAGCTGGTCGAGGAAATGTCGAAGTCCTGTGTTTGCTGTTGGAGGCGGGTGCCGACAAAAACCTGGGCGACAACAAAGGCTCGACAGCTTTGATGATGGCAGCTTTTCGAGGACATGTCGAAGTCCTGCAGTTGCTGTTAGAGGCCGGTGCCGACACGAACCTGGCCGACAACAACGTCTCAACAGCTTTGATGATCGCAGCTGGTCAAGGACATGTCGAAGTCATACGTTTGCTGTTGGAGGCCGGTGCCGACACGAACCTGGCCCACAAGAACGGCACGACTGCTTTGATGAACGGAGGAGCGCATGTCGAAATCGTGACGTTGCTGTTGAAGGCAGGTGCCGACAAAAACCTGGCCGACAAGAAGGGTTCAACAGCTTTGATGATGGCAGCTGGTCTAGGAAATGTCGAAGTCCTGTGTTTGCTGTTGGAGGCCGGTGCCGACAAAAACCTGGCTGCCCACGGCGGCTTGACGGCTTTGATGTGCGCATCTTTGCAAGGTCATGTCGACATCGTGACGTTGCTGTTGAAGGCAGGTGCCGACAAAAACCTGGCCGACAAGAGGGGCAAGACAGCTTTGATGATGGCAGCTGGTCGAGGTAATGTCGAAGTCTTGCGTTTACTGCGTGAGGCTGCGGCTTGAGCTCGTTTTCTTTTGTGCCCATCCCAAGGCTGTGACCAGGATCGGGCAGACATTCAAAGTTGAAACCTAAGAGGGACTGGGCCCATGTTTTTTTTTCGGAGAGCCAAATACCTCTTCACTACTAAGGCTCTTGCGCAACCGTAAATCTTTCAATCCTAAACCTTCTAAACCCTAAACCCACAAGCCCTTGTTCCCTGTCTTCGAACGGGCTCTATGGTTTTTGGGTTTTCTGGGTTTTAGGTATTTTGAGGGTTGAGGGGCTTGGGGTTCGTGGGTTTCACATGCTTTGGGCTTTACAGTTTCGGGAGGTTATGGGCTTCAAGGTTCTTCCAGATCTGGCGTTAGGTTTGGACATGATGGGTTCGTGGTTCATGAATCCAATGAAGCTCCGGTGCCTCGAAATGCCTGAGCCCGAAAACATCTGCAGACTGCTGTTTGTACATTTTCAGGACTGTGCTTCCAGATGAAAGCAAGCTAATCTAGGGGCCTTAATAATTTGAATAGGCTTTCGGCGCCCATCAAAATAGTATTGATAATTATTTAGGCTCCTATAGTAGATCTCCGAATTACCGCCGATTATGCTTCAAACACGCTAAGAAGAGCTTCGAGCCTCAGGGGCGGTATTGAAGATATCCTGGGGTGCCTTTGGGGTTTAGGGTTTAGGGGTTTAGGGTTTAGGGTTGCCATATTCGCACCCGAACCTCAAAGAATTGAAGTCTCAAGCAGCAACGTCCGGAAGCCCTGAACCGAAACCCGTGAAGCTGCAATTTTGGACCAAAAATGTCTTACTCCGCAGTTGCGCAAAGCGTTCAAAACAGCAACAAGTTCACCAAAGTCGATAGCTGCGCACCCCAAACCCCTAAGCCCTAAACCTTAAACGCTAGACCCCTAAACCCTAACCCCCTAAACCCTAAACCCTAACACCCTAAACCCTAAACCCCTAAAACCTAAACCCCTAAACCCTAAACCCCTAAACTAAACCCTAAACTCTAAACGCTAGACCCCTAAACCCCTAACTCTAAACCCTAAACCCTCTACAAGTAAGAAAAGCCAGAACAAGGCGACCTGCGAGTCTTGAGCACACCAAAGCCCTCTCACGGGATTTAGGGTTTAAGGTTAGGGTTTAAGGTTAGGGTTTAGGGTTTAGGGTTAGGGTTTAGGGTTTAGGTTTAAGGTTAGGGTTTAGGGTTTAGGGTTAGGGTTTAGGGTTTAGGGGGTAGGGTTTAGGGTGTAGGGTTTAGGGTTTTGGGTTTTGGGTTTTGGGTTTAGGGCTTAGGGTTAGGGTTTAGGGTTAGGGTTTAGGGTTTAGGGTTTAGGGCTTAGGGTTAGGGTTTAGGGTTTAGGGTTTAGGGTTTAGGGTTTAGGGTAGGGTACTTGGAAACATGTTTTACGTCTTGATTACTATAATCCCTGAGAAGCCTAAGAAAAGCATCTGACACTGATACTTTGGCATTGTGTACCGCGTTTAGTAAAGAATAGCCGGAAGCCCCAATCCCCTGAAACCCCAAACCTCTACTATAGAGGTCTGCATCACCTTGTAGTCACCCAATTAGAAGCCCCTTACAGGTGGGTAGTTCTTCTTCCATAGTACTCCCATAAGACCCCCTTTACCTTATAGGAGTGGTATGGGAGGCTTATGGGAAACTACCCACCTTATAACTACCCACCTGTAAATGTCTTAGACCAATGCCCTCATGAAGCAAACACTGTTCACCGCAACCCTGCTCTAGTTTTGAAGGTCACTGAATCGGCCTCAACCCGACAACCCTCAACCCTCGCCCCCCTGCCCCTAAACCCTAAACCCTAAACCCCTAAACCCCTAGACCCCTAAACCCTAAACCGCCCAAAGCCCCAAGGGGGCAAAAATACCCGAAGACCACGAGGAGATGGGTCCCGTTGTTTGGAATGGTGCAGGCAAGGGGGGAAGCCCCCACCCTGTAATTTTGACTACAAGGATTATATTAGGGCCCTATTATATTCCGGTTATATCACTATTACAGGGTGGGGGCAGCTTCTAAGATATTGAACATGTTGCATGGTTTCGGGTTCAGGATTCAAGGGTGTAGGTATAGGGGCATGGAAGAGATACCAATACTATTCCATAGGGTTCTTCATGATACTTGAGTACAGGAACGCCCAAAGCCTCAGTCTGATTATGAAGGCCCTTCTAAGAGCAATACGGTTGGGGTTTTACGGTTCGCGGTTTGGGATTCCGGGAATAGGGTGTAGGATTTTAGGATTTAGAACGCAGCCCGAAAGCATCAGGAGGTATGATCGAGTATGCTCGACTCTCCTTACAAGGGTAGGTTTTCAAATTCCTGCTTAGCAGCATCGGTTTCGTGACTTTGATTTGGGGTTGCGAGGCTTGGGGCAGGGGGCTCGGTGAGGGCTTGCCACTTGCTTTCACATTGGTGTCGGGAGCTTTACGGAAGGCCAACGATTGCCAGAATGCAGGGGGCGGATGGGGCTGGGCCGAGAGTTTTGCACTTTACATCACACTTGTTCGCCGCCGGGCAGGGAGCTTCTGCGGCATGTCTCTACACAAAGCAAAGGGGCTTTAGTAACTTTAGTAATTGGAATAGGGATTTGGGCTTAAGGAGCCCCCAATATAGTATTGGTGATTATTTAGGCCCCTGTATTGGTATGTTCCACTGGACGAAGGCGAGTTTGCTTTTCTTACACCTAGTCGCTGGTGTTTTACTTACACTTGGTTAGCATTCGAGCGGCAAGTCTTCTATGCTTTGTCTGCACTCGCTGGTACGCTTGTCTTACACATTCATTCTGTCTTACCTTGCATCTGCCCGGTGCGGATAGAACCAAAGCCGAATACTGTTGCGATAGCCGCTACGGCCGCTACTACTACTGCTCCTGCTCCCGCTCCGGCTCAAACTTCTACTCCTGCTCCTGCTCCTCCTTATCCTACTCCTGCTACCACTACGACTCCTGTATCGGGCCCTGCTAAAGATTTTTGAATTCACGATATGAATACTTGGAAGGCGGAGCGCTGTTCGACATGGCTTTAGTCCTGCTGCAGCTTCGGCTTCCAACAAACTTCAACAAGCTTGAGCCTGGGAGGGAGGTTGTCAGGACTCAGGGTCTAGGACGCCTTGTGGGATAATAATACTCACTATAAACTAAAAGTGCACATTTCTTCTGAGTTCATTTTTGGGGGCTTATGTACTCAGCAGCTAAGTCATGAACGGCTTAATCTTCCGCGTTTACTTCGCCTCCTGCGGCAGGTTTCGGGGGTTTGGGCTTGCAGGGCAGGGGCTTCGAAGTTCAAGCAGGCTTGAGGCTGGAGGGGTTGGAGTGGAGTGAGGGAAGGATGCCATGGGAGTGGGTTCTTATGACTGCTTGACAGGCAGTCTTTCTTTCTGTCCCTCAGTATCCGTTTTTCAAAAAGATTTCATCAAACCGCCGGAATGAAGATGTTGTTTTGATTGAGATTGCAGCATGTGCTGAAATGGTTTGGGCTCGGCGTGGAGCTGTATGTTTTTGCTTGTTGTCATCTGTGCTCGTACATCGCCGTCAGTCTGCTGTAATCTCAGACAGTGTAATATCAGACATTCAGCTTGCACGACGTTGCCCACGAGTGCAACTTTCCTAACCCTAAGGGTCCATGTACCCAAATAGTATATATATATATATATATATATATATATATATAGGCCTTAATGTAGTCCCTATATAGGTACATTGGGCCCAAAGTATATACTATTTGGGTACATGGACCCTTAGGGTAACCAAGGATGCTGCTGCAGAGCCTCGCGCTCTGCCAATTTGCTCGAGCGGAGTGTCTTGACGGATCCAAGGGGATTTTTCCCGGCGTAAACAGCAAGCATAGCACACAGAAAGAATCCTGAACCCTGAATCCTGAGGTGTATCTAAGCATATCTGAGCGTTCGTCTTCATGAGTCATGAACTGGAGGTACAGTTCAGAGTTGATTCCGTAGCCGCCACCCCTATTGTCAACTTGCATTCCGACTAAAGCAGAACTGTTCTGATGATGTGGTGACAGTCGGTAGTACTGACTCGCTGGCGACCTTCTGGCTGCATGGCAGCAGCACGGTAGCTAGTGTATTGACACCAACCACTGCAATGGTCGCTTTCCGTCAACTTGTTGATATAATCCCTTCCCCCTAATATTTAAGGCCCCCCCTCCCGAATATTAAAACTGGATTTCGGAGGTTTAGTTTTTATATAAGGGGGGGGGTTTCGGTTCGGTGCATCCACGTACCCGACTCCCAGCTGCTAGCTATCCTAAGCCTGGAGCCGTGAGGCCCTACTAAAGCCCTAAGCCCTAAACCTCGAGCCCAAGACCCTAAAGCCCTGAGCCCTAAACTTTAAGCCCTAAAGCTTTAGCCCTGAGCCCTAAACCCTTAAACCCTAAAGCTCTACTGTCTTTAGTACAGCTGTAATCTTTGGCTCTATACAGCCCTGAGCCCTAACTTTAAGCCCTAAAGCCCCAAGCCCCAAAGCTTCAGCCCTGAGCCCTAAACCCTTAAATTGAGTATTACTGTAATCTTCGTTCAATTAAAACACATAAAGATCTAGCCCCCCCCCCCCCCCCCCCTAATGTTGTCCCTTTTAAATTGAATGTGGGGCCCGAAACGGCGAAATCCCGGGGGCCGGGAGTTTTTATATTAGGGGGGTTGAATGTTAAGGGGAAGCGATTATTCATGCGCACATCAGACCCTGAACTCTTCGATTCCAAGAGCCTCTCCAAATAACCCACATGGGTGGTTGTCAAAATTATGGTATCTTTTTGGGTCCTTAGTATAGCAGGGCACCTAATATTCAGGACACCCATAAAAGGGACTATGATTTTGACAACCACCCACATCTTGTTTGTAGACTTGGAGTCATAGGAGCTTCATCTCGGGCCGGGAGTTTCGACGGAAGACTCACAGGAAGAGGATGTTAGAGTCTAGACCACGGTAGAGATGCAATCGCGGTTTCGGCTGGCTTAGAGAAGCTTTAAGTTAGCCCCCTTGTACTTGCCTTGGTAGAGACACCTAATCCAGGATAGATTCGTATGGCTTTGGGATTCCAAAGTCTACTTGCCTGTGGAGTTCTACTCACCCGAGACATGCTATCGTACTTACAACGCTCGGCATGCCACCTGCCAATAGGGTTTGCGATTTAGGGTTGGAGTAGAGGAGTTAGGGTTTGCGATCCTGGGATAGGGCTTATAAGCATCAGGATTTATGAGTCCCTCGTACCCCCTGACAAACTTGAACCTGGTTGTACCCGAATGCCTTGTAGGCCCGTGACCTCGAGATTAGCGTAAAGGTTCGTGTGTTATTTGTCGACAGCTCGTATGGTAGTGACTCATGACTTTCACTGCATGTGCGGTCCCAAGTTGCAGACACGGGCCACCAAGACTCAGTAAGACTTTTCCGGAACCACCAGCGAAAGGTTAAACCTTCCCTTCCAGCCAGCATCGCAAAAACCCTAAACCCTAAACCTGAAAGCGCATGAAACCCTAAACTGTTGCCAACAACCACAGAGATCCCTGAAGAGCCCATGCGACAACCTCCAACCTTCTCAAACCCGAGCCCCACATGGCAGGCTTCGACCAGCCCGTACCTGAACCCCGAAAGTATGTAGAATAATAGCCTTTTATAGGTTTTCAACCATTATTTTACCTACTTTTGGGGGTCTAGGTAATCATGCCTTGCCACGACGAATCGAGGGTCATCTAAAAATGTCTTCCCTTTTCATAGGTTAACCGACTCAATCAATCGAATACTCAAAAAGTCGACCGCGCCGTCGCTGCAATAACTTTGCTACTCGCAATGGCCGTCGTCTTAGTATGCATAACAGTTCATGAAGCGTGACGCTCAAAACGATGGTAGATAGCGGCATAGAGCCAAAAGCCCGAAACCCTATTGTGCACTGGCTACGGCAAAGGCACACCTTCCTGACGATTTGTTTGATGGCTTCTTGGCCAGATAGGCTTGCGGCTCGCTACTGTGGGAGTTTCAGAGTTTCGTAGCTTATATGCATAAGTGCAATGACTCGAAAGAATGACCATCTGAGGCAGTGTCTCTTTTGTTTGGACATAATGAGTATATAGGCCGGAAGGAAGGATAACCTTGCCCAGTTGTAGGGCATTTACTATACCCAAACCCAGAAACCCAAAAATTTCTCCAAGTGGAGCTTGTTCTTCTTCTTCGCACTTCGAGGCCTTGAAGAGAACCCTAGACCCTAAACCGAATTTAATTGGGAGTCAGTACCAACTACTCAGACCTCCATGTTAGCTTTAAGTTTCTGGGTGGTCCATCTTTTGTCCACCCTGCTTTGCGGTGTTCTGGCTTTTCGGCCTGTCTTTGTTGCAGCCGGCGTGTAGCAGGTGTTGCGGCTGAGCGGCTAGGCTTCAGAGTTTCATTGAAAGCTCTTCGAAACAAAGGAGTTCAGATAGAGGCTCGAGGGCTTAGGGTTTCAGGGTTTAGGGTTTCAGGGTTTAGGGCTTAGGCTTAGGGCTTAGGGTGGAGAGGCTGGTTTTGAGGATTGGGTGTTTATTGCGGCTGAGGGTTTCCTAATTTTGGCCTCCCAGCATCTGGCCAGGGTAAATGAAGCAGGTCCTGGATAGGAAGACAACTTTCCAAGGGATAGCTTGGTTGCGGTTTGGGATTCTTAATAATAGTATGTAATAGTTGTGATAGTACCGCTAGTAATAAGAATAGTAGTATATGTTAGACGGTTTTGTAGTTTACCCTAAACCATACTTAAAGGATCACGAGACTTAGTAACTGGGGTTAAAATTCGGCTAACTATAATTAACTACTTATACTTGGGGTCAAGGTACTTATAACCTGACTTACTAAGTCCCATGATCCTCCAAGTAACCCCTAAACCCTTATAGATCCCATTATAGGAACCCTTATAGATCCCTTCTAAAGGAACCCTAAACCCTAAACCCTCACATTACTTACTAAGATCCCAGGCCACTGTTTGGCGCCTCACGATTTGGAATGCCCTAACCTGGATCAAGTCGCCTGGTGGCACTTGCGGGCTCCTGGGACTTTGGGTTCCTACGGTTGATGATATATAAATCCTGCGTTACTAGCCCATCATAAGGGATATACCACAATTCCTATGGTTAGGGCCCCTAAGGTAATGCAGGATTTATATCATCAACAGCTATTTGGTTAGGGCTTAGGGTTCCTTTAAAGGGACCCGCAAGGGTTCTATCAGAGATGTAGAGGGTTCGGGGTTTAAGGTTCAGGGGTTTGGGTTGACCAGGACCCCCCCGCCCATGGCCCTTGAATAGGGCCCTTCGCCTTATGATCTTTAATGGTGGGTAGTAAGATTATATTCGAGGGTAGTTGTGGGGCTTAGGTAGCCATATCAAATCTAAAGACTTACTACTTACCCGTGAGGGTCCATGTTCTCCTATAGTATATACATAGGCCCCAATGTAGTCCCCATATAGGTACTTCGGGGTCAAAGTATACTCATATGGATACATGGGCCCTTGGGGTATGGGATCTCCTCCTGTCCTGTCACCCCCTTTTTTTCACAACACTTCACAAACGCACTTCTAGCATGTTAAGGTTCGGACACTGGGCTTGTGACTTGATCTATGCACCAGGGATAAGGGTTTAGGGTTTACAGGGTTTATAGGGTGTAGGGCTTATAGGGTTTATCGGGTTTATCGGGTTTATAAGGGTTTATAGGGTTTAGGATTTCTAGGGTTTAGGGTTTATAGGGTTTAGGGCTTACAGGGTTTAGGGTTTACAGGGTTTAGGGTTTATAGGGTTTAGGGCTATAGGGTTTAGGGCTTACGGGGTTTATACGACAGCCAACCAGTACTTAAAGGATCATGGAACTTAGTAACTAGGGTTATAATTAGGGTAACAAATATAACTACTTATAACCCGAATTAAGGTACTTATAACCTTACTTACTAAGTCCCATGATCCTCCAAGTATATCCAAAGTCTTCAAGCCGTTACACGTTCAGGACATCACTGAGCGCCACGGCGACTAAGCTCTTTGAATTATTGAGGGCCAGCTTGTTTTTCTAAACCCTAAACCTAGCCCGAAACCATGAGCCGTTGGGCCTTGTAGCAGTTTCAGCACAACTTGAAACCTTACTTTCTGAGCAGTGTACGGCATTTGATGCATTACCTTGAATAGGGTCCCTAGAAATTCCATAATAGGGTTCGTCCTAAGATTCCACACAAAAGTAGTAGGGCTTATGGATGAGGCAGGTTATTTGAGTTTGACCTAGTAGTAGAGTAGGCAACCTTTAACCTTTTCTTAGTTAGTAGTATAGTCCCTATATAGTCCCTGTATGCCCAAAAAGGTTAACCTTTGGTTCCCGATGATACCCGACAAGTAGGTTGAGCTACACATCGGATGAAGGCACAGCCTTCTGATGAAGTTTGGGGTCCTCATAGCCAAAGGCTGATGGGTCGTAGTATGTCTATGTACGTCCCGGTGACGGTATAGCTATAATTGATCGCGCTGCCGTGGAAACTGAGCCCTCTACGCATGTTTGTCTAGGACCTAGAGTAGGCCCTTATTCCCCTTTTTTGGGGGTTCAGGTTCCCTTATAAGCCCCTTTAGCCCAAAAAGGGCACCCCTTTTTATTCCTAGGCTACTCTTGGGTCTAGTTGTTGCGGGGCCTTACAGGTTCAAGCAGTTCATGCAGATGCTTGCGACGGTTCAGATCCCACAGCTGAAGTGCTAGGAAGCCCCACACCCTACTTGGAGGGTCGGGGGACTTAGTAACTGGTTAGTTTAGGGACTTATAAGTACCATAACCCCAATTAGGGTCCCTTCTAGGGTACTTATAAGTCTACTTACTACCTACTTACTAAGGCCCCCGACCCTCCAAGTAATCCTTACGGTTGATGGTATAAATCCTGCATTACTCATATTAAGGAATAGACCATAATTCCCATAGTATAGGGTCCATGAGGTAATGCAGGATTTGTATCATCAACTGTATTAACCCTAAACCGCAAACTTTAAACTCACTCACTCCAAACCCTTAACCCTAAACCCCAACCCTAAACCCTATGAACCCTGAACCCTAAACCCTACCAACTCTAACCCCGGAAGTTTTAAATCTTTCGGGTGGCTGGGCTTTGTGGAACCATGGCTTGGGCGTACTTGGAAATAATTTCTAATTTTTGGTCATTATAATCCCTAAGAAACAGCTAGAATTATAGTTTTTGCTAGGGTTCAAAGTTCAGTTTAGATGGGAGGTTGCCCAAAGAGATCGGCACCACGGTCCAGCAGGGCTTCTTCACCGAAGCTTAGACGTCCTAGAGGGAGGGGAGGGAGGGGGGCTTGGGGTTTAGGGTTGAGGGTTTATAATGTAGGGTTTAGGGTGTACTTGAAGGATCATGCGACTTAGTAACTAGGGTTACAATAGTAACTATACCTATAACTACTTATAACCCCCATGATCCTCCAAGTAGACCCTAAACCCTTAGAGATCCCATTATAGGAGCCCTTATAGATCCTTTCTAAAGGAACCCTAGACCCTAAACCGTCCCATGATCCTCCAAGTAGGGTGTAGGAGGGGGTGTACTTCCAGGATCCGGGGCCCTGGAACGCTTGCATTGTATGCCCTAAACCCTAACATGGGTGGTTGAGGGGTTTAGGGTTTTAGGGTTTAGGGTTCTGGAATGGTTTCTGAGCGTTGTCAAAATGATCTATAAGAGGATTTGCTTTGGAGGATCGGCTTTGAATTCGCGTGCAGAAATGGGCGTTTGGAGGCTTACGGCTATTAAAACGTCTATGAGAGTCGACAGTTGCGGGCTTGGGGTCCTAGTTGAGGTACGTATAACCACACTTCGGAGTAAGTTATCACACCGAGTAAGCTATCACACTCCAGGTATCCGGGCGTGATTTCTTGCACCGGCACAGTCGTGTCCGATACCAGTACCTCACCCCCCCACGTTTGTTGCAGAATGCACCTGCCACCACAGTCTCCACAATTCCGAATTATGTTGTGTATGTTTATTTAGGTCACGCTCAATTCCGGAACTACCCAATATGCTCCCGGTATCATGGGTTGTTGGGCTCAGTGTTCATGGTGTCGGGCTGGGGGTAGGTACAGGGATTCTTTAGGCATGAACGAGTGTAAGTGTTACAGCGTCCGGTCGGTGTTATTCCGAATGCCTTACCTGGACCCTAAATATCCTACCTTTTGTGAGATTCTCAAATAAAGAAATCATAATGAGGATGAGGAGACTTAAAAAGGTCAGTTTTAACTGTAGGATTTACGGTGATACGATTGATGATGCAAATCCTGCATGTCCTTAATGACCCTAAACTATGGGGATTATTATGGTATTTTCCTTATCCTTGGTAAGGCAGGATTTATACCATCAGCCGTATCAGTAAGAGAAGATGAAACCACCCAACCCCGAAACCCCAAACCCCCGAGACCCGAAATCCCATAACTCATCCCAAGTCCGTCCACGACGTGGCATATTCCTGGCCTAACCCTAAGGGTCCATGTATCCATATGAGTATACTTTGACCCCGAAGTACCTATATAGGGACTACATTGGGGCCTATGTATATACTATAGGAGAACATGGACCCTCAGGGTAAGGTGTAGTCTCAGCTAAGGGCTTGGCATTCCCGACAGACCCGCAGCCCGAAACCGGAATGGCCCTGAATCCTCCGAATCCTACCTAGAGGCTCATACCCTACCCCTCTTTTAGGGCGCCTACTTTTTAAGATAACAGATCCTAACCATAACACTAGGTATCCTAAAAAGGGTGGTAGGGTATGAGCCTCTAGGTAAATACCGTCTTCAGGAAGGAATCATGCGGGTTCGCAGCGATGCGTTTGGTGTCGTTGCACCAGTTCTGGCCGTGTCCTCCTGCTGTAGCCTGGCTACGAGGATGCTGGTGTTCACTTCAGTACTGGGGCGCGCCGCAATCGTTTGAATAGAGATTTGGGAGGTTTGGTCCGGACTATGCCATAATTTCTATGTTCTATATGTGGGCTTCATCATACTGGGGTCCCATTGGAATGCCCAGGTCCTCTTTCTCAGGATCCTAATATTGAGGTCGCAGATGCTGTGTAGATTAAGGACCACCGTTTTTTTGAAACTCCAATGCGAAGAACTTGATTCAGAACCAGATACGTCGTAATTGGACTGCTGTAGAGGTCGGGATTATTGGTTGCTGATGCGTATTCGTAGTTCCCTTATGTATATACGATTAGAATATAGTCCAAACCCCTATTCTATACTTAATTATGAGGCACTGGTCCTGTCCGGCATCCGATAGTCTGTGGAGCTGCGGGCTTTGGGGTTGAGGTTTCGGATTTAGGGTTTAAGGTCCAGGGTTTAGGGTTTAGGGATTTACGGCCCCTGCAGCGGTGTGGCACTTGTGGGTTGTGCCAAAACAGCGGGTGTGAACGGAAGACCATAGCTGCAGGAATGTTCAAAAGCGAAGTTCCTTCAATGCTAGTGCAGGATCCTCAAGACAATGCTCTGCATACGCGATTTAAGCAGGCCCGGAGGGACCAAATCGGTCAGATATCGCAGGACAGATTCCATGACGTGGTGAGTATGTGCCATCCTCCGTCACGTTGAGCCATGTGCCACCTAAACCCTAAACCCCTAAACCCGAGCCATGTGCCACCGACAGGAAGCTTGAAATCCAACCCCTGCTGGTCCCGAATGAGGCGTCAGAGCTCCAGCATGGTTTAGAATCCCTGTGCCCCATCGTTGTGGAAATGCCCTCTGGCCCCAAACCCAGAACTCTTAAAGCACTAACTCTAAGGGTCCAAGTACCCAAATATCATATACACTCAAATATAGTAACCTACATAACTTCTATCCCAAACCCGAGTACCTAATTATTGGGTCGTTTGGACCCTTAGGAGGGTAATTGCCCCAACCTCGAAAGCTTGTCACCAAGTTGAGGGTTGCTTTCGGTATAGCACCAAGGCGTCGCAGCCATGAGCAAGCCCGACTCAATTGCCGCATACGTCATTCTGCGTCTCTTCTGAATGTCGGTTTTATAACTTAGAAGCCAATTTGTTGATATCATATCTTATTTGCCACGCTTGTTTCGCAATGAATCGTTACAGCAGCCTGTTAACACGCACACATGCACGCATATGTCTATATATCTGTATACAGGTATAGACATATTGAATAACAAATCTAACATAATGTGTATATGTATTATTCTGTGTTTGTCAGTGTATTTCGTCGGTTTCGAAGACATGCCTAGTAGTAGAGAATAGTATAGTCGAGTATAGCACGCACCACGCCTTCAGAGGAAGCCCCGTTCCGGGTAACCTGTTCCGTGCGTGTGACTGCCGCAGCCAACTGTCTTTAAAAGCTCCTATCTTTGAACCGCAGGTTGACTATACCAAACTAGGATATGCTACACCCTAGTATACGAAAATGCTTAATGACTGTATCTAAGTATACTACAAAATTATATCATATACTGTAGCCGTAGATTAAATAAAAATGTAGCAGACGTTTTGTTTGGGAAACTCCGAGGTTTGCAGCCCTTGTTCCCATCGCTATCACTGCCTGGCAGCTGCGAATCCAAGATCGCCGGGCCGGTTTCATCTAGAGGAGCCTCTTCGGAAGCAATATTTGGGGGTTAGGGTTCAGGGATTCCTAGCTTCTTCGGAAAAGACTACGGGGGGTTTAAGGACTCTTCTGAAAAGAGTATAAGCATAGGAAGCCGTTGAATTAGTTACAAGGGTCCTCAAAAGGGGTCTATAAGAGTTTCTCAAAAGGTTTCTGTATCAGTTACTTTAAGGGATTAGAGTTTCACGACAATCAGGAGCCGGGTGCTTTAGCATTGTTGCAGCTTTCAACCGTTTGCATCAAAGCTTTCAATCTTTTTTCGACATATACTTTGATGTATGTGTACAATGTATGCATGTATGTCCGTATGTATGTACGTATACCTGTGCATACACATGTATGTGTGTACACAAGCTGGTTGCTGTAGGGTGGCTTTCGGCTGTAGCTTTTCTTGTCTGAAGTTTCGAGGTTGCGGAGTTGTGTAGGGTTTCATGGCTTCACTAGTATAGTATTTTTCTATATATATATATATATATATATATTTGTAGATATCAATGTACTAGCAATTAGCGTGCCATATGTTGGCATCCGAAGGTCTTCGTTCGTCTTTGGGGCTTCGATGTTTTCGCGCAGGCTTAAAGGGTTCATGGGTAGATCTGGTTGATGGGACTCGGCAGTTCGAGTCTATACGTCGAGGTTGTCTGAAAATCACGGTCTTCTTTACGGCAGCCTACGGTAAGGACCCTACTGATTTGGGGCTCCATCAGCTACTGAAACTCCGTGCGTGGGAGCGTTAGTCATTAGTATTTGGAGTGTCGGTGGACTTAGTAAGTAGGTAGTAAGTCGACTTATAAGCACCCTAAAAGGACCCTAATTGGGGTTATGGTACTTATAAGTCCCTAAAATGACCAGTTACTAAGTCCCCCGACCCTCCAAGTAGCAGGAGTTTGGTGTGTGACGCTTTGCACTGCTTCAGCCTGGGTCTTGCTGTAGTCGTCACTGGGGTTTACTATCTCTATACTCATAACTACTTATAACCCCAATTACGGTACTGACAACCTTACTTACTAAGTCCCATGGTCCTCCATCTATGAAGAGCGCAGGAACACACCAAGAGCTGTCATATTTCCATGAGACAGGGACGGGCATATAGAGAATCGAGAAGCTGTACACGTCAAACGCTTTTAAGTCCACGCAGCCTCCAAGCACCTGCTCCCCAAGCCCTTTGCGACACCATGTGTTTGTCGATTTCCGAGGACGGCGCAGTGTCGTTTCTCACGTCTTCTATGCCGCCGTCTGTGCCAGAAACGCTCAATCCTCTAATCGCGACATCCATAGCTTAGTTCTAATTTTAAATCTTACATCCGAAAGCCACCGTCGTATATCTAAGTGACATGATTGGCAGCATCATTACGAAAGCCACCAAAACCACAAATCTGCATCCCGAGGTTCTGTGTTCACCTGTCTTGAACTTACAGGGAAAGTCCATGTGCCCATGTAGTATATACTTTGGCCTCACTGTATGTAGGTATATAGGTACTTCAGGGCAAGAGTATAAAGTATATTTGCTATATGGTTACATGGACCTTCGGGTTACTCATTGAGATGCAGCCTATCCTGCGGTCACGAGAAAAAGCATCGTTGCTCAAGGGGATCACTCGGGAGTTCAGGTGGTTCTCAATCCTGAGAAAAGCATGTAGCCTGTGGCACAGGTAGAGAAGTTTGTTCGTGGCCCAAGTTTTAGAAACGCACTCAGAAGTCGGTTTTGCTTTTCCCTGGACCGCGAACCCTAACCCTGAACCCTACAACCCTAACCCAAACTTGAAGTCTTCGTCCTCAAGGGCAGTTTTATACTTTGGCGGTAAAGCGGGTCCTACTTGGGCACTATTGGGAAAAGTACACACTGTATGAGTACTTCGACTGTTAGGACTTGTTTGCTGGCATTGATTTGGGGACCATGCAAGACGACTCACAGTTCGCATCACAGGCCAGCTACACTCCTGGTTTTTTGCGATCTTCAACTTACCTGCCTGTCTCATGAACCTTCCAGTAGGCCAAGCCCCTAATCTTCAACCGTCCTCAACCTCTACATATACATATACATATACAAATACAAATACATATACTTATACATATACATATACATATACATATACATATGCATATACATATACATATACATATACATATTACTCACATACACATACACATACATACGCACACACATACATACATGCATACAGGCATGCAAGCATACATACATATGTGTGTATGCATAGCTATATCTATGTATATACACACACACATATATATATATATATATATGTGTATACTCATATATCAGTATGGTTATGAACGTGTGTATGCATGTGTTCATATGTTAAGACCTAAATATATGACACATGTTTTGAGATGCATGTACATTGGATAATATATTCGCACATTGAACGTTGTATTTCGCCCGTGGCTTTACACTTACATTAGATGAGGGCTCCATGATGTGTGCATATTTATATGTATATCTATCTATCTATCTATATACATATATATATATATACATACATGTATTTATCTATATATGTATGTATGTATGTACATACCGGTCTAAAGATAACGTATGTATATGCGTGTATACTAGAAATGTCGTATATTTACTGTGTATGGTTTAGCTGACAATACCAACATGCATAACGATGACTAGTTTGCTGTTTTTGTTCACATATTAGTAGCATAGTTATGAGTTGTATTTAGTACTATTATTCAATGGGTTTTGCGAATATGTTGTCGTTGCTGTCGTTTTTCTCGGTCATCATATCGAGGTTTACCTCTTGCAAGTTTTTGCCTCAGGTTCGAACCTCAGCCTTCGCTTCATCCTCCTGGAGAAGCGCGGCTACCACAACTGGATTGCAGCTCCTCGATGCCTTCCCTTGTCAAGTTTACTTATTGGCTGTAAACTCAACTTTTCAACTTCGGGGGTTCTTATAAGGTAGTCGATTCTGAAAGTTTCAACTTTATTTCCTTGGGCCAGTGAGTCTAGGAATCTAGGAAGGTTTAAAGGTTTAGGCTTTGGGGTTGGGGGTTTTAGTAGGAGGCAGGGCTCCGATTTCATGGGCTCATAAGCCAGGGCCAGGATCTTAGCTTTAGGACTTTGGGGGTTTAGGCGATATGCCGAGCCCTAAACCCCACAAGAAGCCTCCCGAATTCCTAAACCCCAAACCCTACACTCAGAAAAACAATCCTAAACCCTAAACCACAAAAGAAACCTCAACAAGAACTCCTGGACCCGAAGCCTTAAACCCTACAAGAAACCTCCTAACCCCCAGCGAACCTCCGCAAATTCTTAAAGCTCATCAAAAAAAGGGAACTCTTCCTATAACCTCCAAAGAAGCCTTCTTCATTTCCTAAGCCTCAAAGAACCGTCTGCTTAGGGTCTAGGCTTTAGGTTATAGGGTTTGGGCTTAGGGTTTAGGGTTTAGGAATTAGAGGGGCCTTCATAGCTGGACAGTGAGCTTTAGAAGCCCCTAAACCCTAAACCCTGAACCCTAAACCCCAAGGACGAGACAGCCTCTGCAGCCTTCGTCCTCCGGGGCTCTGGGGCGCCCGCCGAAGCCGACTTGGAGGAAGGCGCTGACCTCTTTTGGGTTTGGGGTTTTTAGGGTTCAGGGTTTAGGGTTCAGGGTTTAGGGTTTAGGGTTTTTAGGGTTTAGGGTTTAGGGTTTTTAGGGTTCAGGATTTAGGGTTTAGGGTGCTGCTTTTAGGGTTCAAGGGTTCAGGGTTGAACCCCAAGGGTCCAAGTACCTAATAATCATACACTCGCCAAAATCCTAACCTACATAACTACTATCCTGAAACCGAGTACCTACTTATCGGGTCCTTTGGACCCTTGGGTTTTTTTGGAGGGCTACAGGGGTGGTTAGAAAGGGTTTGTTGTGAGGGTTCTCTGGGTTTTGTTGAGGCTTGGTTTGGTTTTTTATGAGATTTTGAAGGGCTTCAATGTGGGGGATTTGAGGTTTTCGGGGTTTTCGGGGTGGCTTCGGTGATTCAGACGTTGGGAAATCGGGTGGTGATTGACGGGTCGGGCTCCTATATCTTGGCTTTCGGTTGTAGTTGCCGGGTTGGTATGGCATTCCGCTGCAGGGGTTTAGGATTTAGGTTCCAGGGTACAAGAACCCTAAACCATACAGCCCTATCATAGGGCCTTTTCTATAGCACATGGCTTTAAGACCTAGCGGCCTTGGGGCACATTGGTTATCGGGCTTCAGATGTTAGGAATTGGGGGGGGAGGACTTAGGATATGAATTGTGCTCATCGGTTACTGATGATTGAGATCATAATTAAGCAATTCGCGGCGTAGGTCCGACATGCAACAGTCACTCGCGGTTTTTTTTTGCATTATTGATTGCTTGGTCGGTCTGGTTCCAGGGGCTAGTATCGGAATATCGACGCGACTTCGCCTGGTATGCACGCATGCATACATACATACGTACGTGCGTACATACCTACGTACATACATACGTGAGTACATCCGTACGTACACACATATAGGTGCACATATAGTTCTTGGACACGAAGACTGTTGTAGCAGCCTGATCAAGACACCCTGGGCCTATAATCCCAACATAGTAGGGTTCGTTTACGGAATCCTGAAAAAGGCCCAAGGTTTCTGAAACAGGTTTCTGTATGAAGAGTTTTCGATCAGGCACCACATGGTGATTTCAAGTTAGGGTTGAGGGCTTGAGAAATCTTAGGTTCTGGTGGATACTATGGTGGCATGATAGAACAACTACACGGGAACATTCTTGCAAGTGCTAATTAGCACTCCTCTGCCGCAACTTGGGCTTAGAGGGCAAGATTTGAAGCAGTATGGATAGATTTCGGGTTTGGAATGTCTTTTGCAGGCAGCTCCTTAGAACAAAACGGCTGCAGGTGAGATCTATCTTCTCCAACATGGCGAGGCTGTCCTGGACCAACATGGCCGCATCCAGTTCCAGACAGGCTAGGCTTCGCCATCTTGTGTATCTATGCACGCCCTGCAAATTAGGACATATTGGGGGCTTAGGGCTTACAGGGTGTAAAGGGTTTAAGGCTTGTAGGTCTTGGGGTTTAGGGTTTACAGGGTTCATTTTTGTGGGCTTATGGGGTTTACAGTAGGCCTTACAGTCTTTACAGAGCGTGTCGGGCTTAGGCTTAAGGGATTATGTGAGGAAGTACCTGACGATGCCGAGGACTTGACAAACGAGCCCAACTTCTGTCGCGTCCTGTGGTTGGCATGTTTTTTGGAGCTTAAACCTTAAAGCTCCGATCATGGGGATCCCGCATTGCAGCTTGTGTGTCACATGCAAATCCCATCAAAAACACGTTCTGATCTTTGAGACTTGTACTATAGAGCCTTAATAAGTAGAATAGGTTTTGGGGCCCCTTGATACTATATTGATAAGAAGGAACCCTCCGAATTAGTAATTTTTAAGGCCCCTACATTACTATGATGGGTTCAGGTTTAGGAACTTAGTTACATGTACCAGAAGAGGGATCTGATCTACAAAACACCCAAATACCATGGTTGCCGTAATATAGTAACGTCTACTAAATTATCATTAAATTATTAACAAGAGCCCAGATCTTCGGTTCGGCAGTGTACACCGATCTTGGACAAGTATTCTAGCCCTAAGGGTCCATGTATGTAAATAGTTTGTACATTTGCCTCGATGTAGTCCCTATATAGGTACATTGGGCACGAAGTAACTACTAGTTGGGCTCATGGACCCTTCGGGTAGATCCCTGAGTAATGAACGCTCCCTTTTCTTTGATAGTACGATCCCACATTACTCCTCATGGTAGGGAGGGTCACCGGTTGGGTGTCTACGTAGCAATGAGTCTGATGCTGGTTTTAAGCACATAAAGCCCTGAGACTCAAAATCCCTTCAGAGGCTTTAAAGCTTAAACTCTAAGGCTTTTGAACCTTACCTTGTCCCCAAGAGCATGTAGACAAATTGCCTTGTATAGGGGCTGGGCCAACATTTTACCAACTTTTTAGGGTGTAGGTAAACCCTAACCCCTACATAGTTTGGTCTTTGAGTCCAAGAGCTTCAAGCTAAGGGAGTCCACAGGCTTCTTTTGGGGATGAGGGTGTGGATATCGGCTCTTTAACTTTAGGGTTTAGGGGTTTACGGTTTTAGGGTTTAGGGTTTGGGATTCAGAATTCAGAACCCTCCCTTTCTGGAATCACACTTCGTCATACGCTGGAGCTCGAAGGGTTTCCGGCTTCGTATTCAGGTTTCGGGATTAGGGTTTATGGGTTACGGTTTAGGATGTAGGGTTCAGCGGCTAGAGGGGGATTTCTTCGAATCCCACAGCTGAAAGGCCGAAATGGGCGACTGCTCCGCGATGGCTTCTTGACGCTCTCCTTCAAGGAAGGAATGTTTTGGTCAACATGTTGGGCTTAGGGCCTCTGGTTTTGAGTTTGAAGCTTGGTTGCGAGGCGAGGACGCGGATCCGCTTACCTTTTTGTTATTTGGACAGTGCATTGTTTTTGAACGCCAGCCCATAGAAAAGATCCTTTCTTTAAGAAACTGTCCAGTCTATATAACAAAGGAACCAGATGTTTTTTCATACGTTACTTTGGTTTCAGGCTGAGGGCTGTTAAAAGTGCAAAAAAGACGCTGCGAGGTCTTCTGGGTTTCGAGTCTTACGACATCAAAGCTTCGGACTTTCAAAATCTTTTCCCTCCTCCGGGGCTTGGGGGAGCTCGTGGTAGGGTTTCGGGCTTGGGGTTAAGATCCTGTTCGAATTAGAAAGTTCCCGATACCCAACGCTAGACATGTACCCTAAGCCTACCTGGGCCTGAAGCAACTTACTTTTTCAAATACTTATGCAGAGACATCAAAATAGGGAATCTTAAAAATATTTCGAAAAGGCAGGCTTTACCGGGTCCCCCAAGCCTAAATCCTAAACCCCCTTAGGGCTCCAGTCACCTGAATAGTAGGTTACCAGCCATATGTAGCCCAGCAGCCTATTACTGGGGTAACTGGAGCCCCTTGGGAAACCCTACAATCAAAGGGGAAAAGGCTATGTAATGGCTATATGAAGGGTATATACCTAGGGGTCCTTATTAAGGGTCCCTCCTGTTACCCTGGTAACTGAAGTCCCCTAAACCCTAAACCCTACTTAAAGGATCATGGGGCTTAGTAACTGGGGTTATAATTAGGGTAACCATACTTCTAACTACCTATAAGCCCAATTAAGGTACTTATAACCTTACTTACAAAGCCCCATGATCCCCATTATAGAGCCCCTATAGACCCCTTAAAGGAACCTTATTATAGAACCCTATAGTACCCTTATATTAAAAGGAACCCTAAGCCTTACTTACTAAGCCCCATGACTAAAGTGCTCCGTCTCCAGGAGTGCCCGGACCTCACGAGCGAGCCCTGGGAGCCCCGGGGGAAGGCTCCGGAAGAGGAGAAAGGCCGGGATCGGGGAGTTGCAACCCTAAGCCCCACAGCAGACCCCATAGTTGGAAACCGGATTAAGGCCAAATAGTGCTGGGATGCCCCATGTATTACTCTTAAGGATTGAGGCTATTGGGTTTCCAAGTTTTGGGCTTCTACTGTAAACCCGAGGTTCCCCGTTTGCCCTTTCTGTTTTGGGGTTCCAGGAAAAAGGGTAATGTAGGAACCTGATTAAGACACCCTGGCCCTATAACCCCAAAATAGGATTCGTAAAAGGAACCCTAATAAAGCCCCAAGGTTTCTAAATCAAGTTCCTACATTACCCCAATCTTTGAGGGAGTTGCAGCGAAGAGTTCTAGGGTTCCATGATAAGAGGAGCCGGCCAGCCAAAAAAGACACTGGAATTCAGGGTCTGGGCAGGGTTTGGGGGCTGCCGGGTGCAGGGATGATTGAGGTTTTAGCAGGCTTGGAAATCTGAGGATGGTGGATCGACCCTAAACCCTAAACTCCGGCTTAGGGTGCGGGCTTCTTCGGGCTCCAGCTTTTGCAGAGTTATGTTGAACAATGGGGTTCAGGATTCAGGCCCTGAGCCCGAAACTAAACATTCAAATCAGTTTCGGATGTCGGGTTTTTGGGGTGGGATTCTGATTCAGGGTTTAGGGGTTGAGGGCGAAGAAGAAGCTGGTGGCTCAAACTTAGTTGATACTGGTCGATTCTTGGTATCTTGCTTGCTGGAACCCTAAACCCTAAGCCCTGAACCTTTTTGTCATGCCCCTGCCAGTTGGCCACAAGTGCTTCCTCTGCGGCGAGGAGGAGCGGCCGAGGGGCAATGCCTAGTGTAGTGTGAAGACCCATGAATCCCTAAGGGCCCATGATCCTTACAGGCTATAAAATGTGATTTCATATCATGTATCTATATATATACACATTGTTATGATTATGATTACTGTTTACTGTTGTTACTGTCATGACTATGATTACAGGTATTACTATACATTTTCATTTCTATATGTGCAAGCGTCCATCTCAGAAAGACACACTCACCAAAAACGAGAGACATGCTGCCAGCACCTCAGACCTCAATAACTTCATTACTCTGAGATCTTCCCCTCCCAGCGGTGTTGCGCAAAGGTGATGGACTTCGGATGAACATGATGCTCAGAACATAGCTATAGGGTGCTGAGCATGCACAAGCCCGCTAATCCAAGTAAGCCATTAAAAACCCAAAACAACCCAGAGCCTTGCATCACACACTGGACGGATACATGTGTCGAAATTCGGTTCTGGGATGGTGGGGTTGAGGTTTGGGATGTAATGTTCAGGAATTTCAGGTCGTGGACATTTGGTTTCACATCTACAATGATATGTCGGTATGTAATTGCACGGTTTGCAGGTTTGTTGATTAGGGCTCATAACGGTTCTTGGGTGTTGGGGTTTCCGAATTAGAAGTCAGGGTTCTACAGGTTTCTTCGGCTCTCTGTATGTCACGCAGGATCATAGCGTCTTCAACTGCAAGTTCTTGGAGCAAGGCGTCGTCATCAAGTCTCCTCACATGGAGACCGTTGAGAGGCGCGCTCGCACTTCGGAGTGTCCGGTCTAGGGTTTAGGGTTAGTGCGGAGGTTCATTTCCGTATAGAGCCTTCCTAGAAGTGCACTATGCGCAAGTCTCTCTCTCGCTGTCTCTGTCTCTGTCTCTGTCTCTGTCTCTGTCTCTCTCTCTCTTTCTCTCTCTCTCTCTCTCTCTCTCTCTCTCTCTCTCTCTCTCTCTCTCTCTCTCTCCCTCTCTCCATCGCTCTGCGTAGCGTTCTGCATGTATGTGCATGGATTCTTGTGTTCGTGTGCATGTACGCGTGTGTGTGTGTGTGTGCGCGCATGTATGTATATATACATACATAGCGAGAGAGGCCTGTAAAGGTATACATGCTAAGTACATACATACGTGCATGCATGCATACATGCCTGCAGACAGACAGAAATGCGTACCTGCACACATACATCCACCATCCGTCCAGCCTTCCATCCATCCATCCATCCATCCATCCATCCACCCATGCTTACAAACGTACATAGGTACATGGATAGATGGAAGTGTTTGTCTTTTCTAATGTGTACATACTATACATACACTTGAGCATAGACATGGCCGTGCAATGGCTCGTGTAGAGGATAAAGAACACAAGCATTGACGCCGACCAGGAGAAGCAACATACCTACACATCACATACCTTTACCATATAAACATCTCAGAAATTACAAGGCTCTTAAATCAAGCATGGACAGAGCCACAACGGCAGAATCGTGCTGTTCCTCGCTCGGCCGGAGGACGGAGCGGAGGTATCTCTTGCAAACGGCCTTGGAGGAGCGCAGATTTTGGGTAGGGTTCAGGGTTAAGGGTTTGGGGGTTAGGGTTATATAAGGGTTTAGGGGTATAGGGTTTAGGATATTCCTGCCACCAGCTGCCCTGTAGAGATCGTGATGTTTTGTTTTCGGGTCGAGGCTTTCGAAGCCTCTGAGCTGGTGTGTTTAGGCTTGGGTCTGAGTCTGAACACGACATGGGTGTTGCATCAAGACCTCTCAGGCCCAAATATGTAGACCTAAACCCTAAACCCTGTGGGGGCCACATGGCTACCCTACCGGGCCCCATTAGGGCCCCATATACACACACACACATCTGCGTGTGTAAGTATGTATGTATGTATTTATGTATGTATGTATGTATGTATACATATATATATATATATATATATATATATATATATATAGGATGTAGTTGGGGCCTCACATCTACATGCAATTACACGCTTGCCGTTTATAGGTGTCGGGCCATTATTTTACCTACGTTTGAGGGTCTAGGCGGTTTGGAGGGCGGTTCCGGTTTCTCGCGGGCCCGGAAGGATTGGCACTATTATCTACTATGGTCTACTCGTATCTGTTTGCAGATATGATGATGATGATGACAGGTAGCATGACATCATTATTGTTACTGCTTCGAAGACTCCAGGTCCACTTTAACCCACCATTGCAGGTTGTTTTGCGGTACCTTCTACCAAGTTCATAGCTATACAGTCCCTAAGCCTTAAGTCCTAAACCCTGAACCCTACCGAAACCGGAAACCCTATGATACACTTGTGACCCCAGAAAAGATGCTGCAACCGACTTTGTTGGTAGAGATGTGTGGCATGGACTTTGCACTAAGAAACCCTTAGGGTTTAGGGTTTATGGAAGTTAAGCCAAAATGCCACTGCACTTCAGGCGCAGGGTCTTCAGTGTGAAGCCTGTCGGTGGTACAAGAAGGACCCAAGCCGAGCGACTGTTAGAGGAGACTATCATGCAGGGGCCTTCACAACTATAACCCGGGTCCCGTCGAGACTCCTTGAAGAGATCTCAACCCAGAGAGCCCAATACCCCTAATTAAGGAATATACCTCAAACTATTTGGGGCTTCATATCATGATTTGAGCTATACTCCTTAATTAGGGGATATTGGGCTCTCTGGGAAGGGTTGCATCGGGCACGGAGCGTCTGCTGGTTTAAGGTGTTAGCTCCAAGAATTCTACGATGTTGATCGGGTTCAGGTCTTGGTTCGTACCTTTTTCGCTACATCCTAAGAGAGGAAGCCTAAACCCTGAACTCTTAGACCCTACCTGGTCCCCAAAAGTATGTAGAATAATAGCCTTTGATAGGTTTTGGGCCATTATTTTACTTACTTTTGGGGGTCTAGGTACATGCTAACTCCAAACCCTGTTGTGAGGGTCTAGGGTTCAAGCTTTCATGGGTTTGGGATGGTTCTGGTTTTGTCCAGGATAATGTAGAAGCCTGATTGCCAGACGCCGCTCACTGAATGAGAGTTCACTGTTTAGGGCTTAACCCTGCGTGCTGCCGAAGTAAGGGTCATACTGGGGATCCTACTATGAGGGCCGGCAAAGAAAGGTAGTTTACGAGTCAGGGCTCTACATTCGTGTCAAACGCCCAAAACCATAAGCAAAGACATCAAGCAAAGCATTTGTCAGAAGGTCTTGGTCCAAAGTGGCTGTCTACCATGAGAGAGTTTAAGTGGACAGTTGTTCAGACAGAGGAAAGCCCAAGGCTGTCCATATCACTTCTTCTCTGGGGACATCTACTGCAGAGCAACATCAGGAATAGGAGACGCTATATGGGTGGTTTTCAAAATGATGGTCCCTTCTCGGGTCCTTATTACAATACGGCACTTAATATTTAGGGTACCAAAAAGGGGCCATAATTTTGACAGCCACCCATATAGGTTACGACATTCTCAAGGGAGGGGGGTTCCAGGAGAGGGGGTGTTTGACTGAACAGTCGCAGTTTTCTCAAGTACTCCCTAAGGTTCCCTAAACATCCCTGTCCTAGCGCCCCGGCTCCTTAGGATTAGACTTAACTCACCTACTTGCTAAGGTTTCCCTAAGCACCCCTGTACCCCTCTCCCCCGCTCCTTGGGATCCAAAATCTGCGAATGATTACAGCAAATTAGGATGTCCTCAAGGGGGGGTGGTCCAAGGGGGGTAGGTAACCCATTATTCCCCAATACTCCCTAAGCTTCCCTAAGGTTCCCCAAAGCTCCCTAGTACCCTCCCCCCTTGAACCACCCCCCCTTCAGGATCCTATAAGCAAAGGGAGACATGATGATCAATGCTGGCGTTTGTGCATAGTGTGCGCTGGGGAAATGGGGACGATGAGTTTGCAACTGGTCTGGATGGTAGCTAATGTGCGCGTAGATGAAGAGCAGCCCTCAGAAACGACCCGCGTCACTAAGAGATCGCCCCCATGTGCAGACCGAAGTCTAAAAGATCATCCGTGCCATGTCTGTCCTCTTGGCTCTTGGCCCACAGTCCCAGACTACACCGAGGATTGTCCCAGTTAGCGTCCGGGTATTTTGGATTTTTTAGGGGTTCAGAGTTTTTGGGGATGGGACTAGCGACTAGGGTCTATTTGGAAGAGTCTCTTTGGCGGACCTGTTTGCTCTCGAGGAGAACACTCCCGGCATGCTCTATGCTCGGCTTGGATCCAAGGAGCTCAGACACAGCGAGAATTGATTGGATACATGTGGGTGTTTCCAAGGCTCTTCCATGCCTTGCCAAAACAGCCAGCACAAATCAAGAGACGCTCCGCCCCCACCGCCACGTGGGAATTCGGTGGAGTGGGTTTGGTCTTCTGCCTTCTGCCTTGTTGGGGAGGGCTTATTCTCGAACCTCACAGGCCTGCACCAGCCGCTAAGATGATGCCTCAAGCCTCAAACACTACTAGTTGCTCTCTTGTTGCAGGCATACTCTCTGGTTGGCTTTCCTGAGGGTCTCCCACAGACGATGATAACGATAGTAGTCATTTTTGAGCAATGTCTCAGGACACCCTACCTGCAGCAGCAACCACAACGACGACAGCAGCAGCAACAACAACAACAACAATAACGACAAAAGCGACAACTACACTGGTCGTGATCACAACAGAAAAATTCGGCACTCAGGGTGTGGGATTCGGGGATCAGGGTTTCGAGATTACTGTTTCAGTCCAGTAATGTCCAGTATGCATGCCTCAGGCTGAGAATTTAGGTGGCGCTGCATGGTAGTAGAGTAGACTGGAGTGGAGTACAGTTTAGTATTGTGTAGAGTAAATCCTAAACCCTAAACCGTATTCCCCCCAAACACGGGCCAGGAGGAGGCAGACGAGCTTCTCGCAGCCAAGGCACATGGCAGAGTGCGTAAACACGTGCATGGTTCCCGGTAGGTTTCAGGGTTTAGGGTTTTCACAGGTGCAGTGTTTTTTGGTGTTTTAAGACTTTGGTGTTGTGTTGTGGGTGTAGGGGTTTGGGATTGGGTCGAGGGGTAACTAGTTTTTAGCCGGGCATGCATGTGCAGCTCAAGGTCAAGCATCTCGGCAAAGCCAGTGCGTGGACGGTTGGTTGCTTCCGGTGTTCGCTGGCCTAGGGTTGAGGGAAAGGCGGTAGCTTGCACTCATAGCGTGCCACACTTGCACGGCTTCCCTTCGGTCCTAAACCCTCCTTGCGATGGGCTAACCCTAAACCCTAAACCCTAATGTTCCAAACCCTCAACTGAAAACCATGAAGTTCGTTGTAATTATACATGTACACATATACATATGTACCTAGGTACATAATTACATATGGTCCACATATATATATATATATATATGTATATATATATATATATGTATGTTTGTATGTATGCATGTATGTACGTACGCATGTATGTATGCATGTATGTATGTATGTATGTATATATGTATATACGTATGCATGTGTGTACATGGATGTGTATATATATAGATATAGAACACACACACACACGCACACACATTTATGTATATACAAACACGCATAACACATACATACATACATACATACATACATACATACATACATACATATATATATATATATATGTATATGTATAATACATACATATAGATTTGTTTATGTTTTCATATTTTCGACTCCCTTTATCCGATTCAGGAGCTCTTGATCGGGGGCGAGACTGCGCAAGTCTTCGCCATCAGCCAGAAGGTTCGGAGGGTCTATTCTAGAAGCCTAAACAACTCTAGAACCCCAGACAATCACCAAAAATATTCCTTAGGGTTCCTGATCATGGTCAGACGATACTTTACCCCAAAAGCCTGTTCTAATTGTTAAGGCTCCTCTAGTACGGGCTTGAGGGATGTATGGTTTTGAGCTCTTTCGTTTTTTTTACAGGGCTCTTCAGAGACATTGGGCTTTCAAGGTTTTGGAATCAGGGCATGGTCTGGGAATTCGGTGCGTCAGTCCGTGTATATAGGTTTATAAACTTCCTCAGCATTGCGGGGGCTTGAATAGTGATTTGTATCCTCCATATGTTGCCCTCTCAATGCCCTCATTCTACGTACTAGTGATTCGGCCTCCACATTTGGGTTCTCATTTAGTTGTAGTGTAGAACCCTGAGTCACGAAGAACACCTGTTTTACGGGCGCTGGCAGTAGGAAGCCCTAAGTCCTACATCTCTTAAGCAGGGGTGTACGCTGCCTCTGCACAAACTATCGGTTCATTTTCGGGCACCGCCGCAGAGTCGAACATAGAAGTAAAGAGGTTTGGGGAGGAAGGTTCAGGGTTTGCGGTGTAATTAGCGTTTAGGGTGCCTAGGGTGTAGGATTCAGGGTGGGGTGCAGGGTTCAGGGTGGAGGGAGGAAGTCGCAGCTGCAAGTTGAATTCCATGTGGGGGCTGTTGCGTCGCGTCAGGGAGCACTTGCAGTATCTTGGTTTCGCGTTATAAGGAGCTTGCATAATGCTACCATGGCAGTCTCTCCGAATAGTTCGTCTGGTACATGTGCATGTCTATATATATATATATGTATGTATATATATATATATATATATATACATACATACATATATGTATTCTTCTATACATACACACAGGCATACACGCACATATATGTATCTAGGTATGTAGACACACATACTTATAGGTAGTGTGTGTATTTCTACATATATATATATATATGCTCACCCCCCCCCATGACAGACCGTCGTGGGGAAGGGGAAGGGTGGCGTGCGTCCCCAGGCAGGATCTGTCAACGGATAGGCGACAGACACTTCTCCCAAACTCAATTCCAAAATGTTCTTTTAGATGGTTTGCAATTTTTGGAAATTTCTTCACATGCATGCAGCGCTCCTAGTCCCAATCTTAATCTCAATTCTGCTCTTCGTACCACTATTACTGTTTGTAGATCTTAATTCTTGTATCAGTGTTAGCATTAGTATTAGTTTTGTGGTAGTATTGATATTACGATGTTTAGTATTAGTAGTAGTATTCGAATTAGTATTACTCTTAGTATTAGCATTAAGTATGTGTATTGATGTTAATAGTAGTAGTCGTCGTACTAGCAATAGTTGTCGCACAGTAGTAGTAGTGGTAGCATTAGTATTGGTATTAGTATTAGTATGAGTATTAGTATTAGTATTAGTGACTAGTATGAGTATCAGTATTAGTTTTAGTATTAAGTATGTGTACTAGTAGTAGTAGTAGTAGTAGTAGTAGTAGTAGTAGTAGTAGTAGTCGTAGTAGTAGCAGTAGTAGTAGCAGCAGTAGTGGTGACATTAGTATTGGTATGAGTATGAGTCTTAGAACTAGTAGCTAGTATTAGTACTAGTTAGTATTAGTGTTAGGATTAATATGTATTGTTCTTGGTTCTATTCTTAGTACTGCTGTCATTGTTCGTAGTAGTCCTAATCCTGGTATCAGTGTTCATATGAGTAATAGTTTTGTGGTAGTATTGATATTAGGATGGGTATTGCTTTAGTACTAGTATTGGTATTGGTATTTAGTATTAGTATTAGCATCAGTATTAGTATTAGTATTGAATAAAAGTATACATATCAATAATAGTAAATATGAACTCGTGATTATGTTCGTGCTGGTGTTAGTGCCAGTGTCGATGTCAATGTCAGTAATAGTACTCGTGTTAGTATTAGTATCAGTCTGAATGCTGGTTTTAGTATCTGTTTATTATTCACAGAAGTGCTGGTATTAGTATCAGTATTAGAAATAGTTTTGATATGTGAATATACTGATTGATTCGTACATTTTGAGCTTAATATAATACAGTAATGTATTCGAACAATAGTATATTTGCATAGTTGAAGATTGCGCGAATATATTAGTACGTTGGTGCATGAGTACATTAGTATATTGGTGTATCATGATATTCGTATGTTAACGTAGTAGTGTATTAGTATATTATTATAGTGGTCTATTACTACATTTACTATATTCGTATTTTACCTAATAGCTTGTAGGTATATCAGTATGTTGGCATAATGGCATGTGAACATGTCAGTCTACTTGCCTTTTACAGTATTCGTATATTAGTACACTAGCATATTTAGTGATAATTAGTGTTAATGCCAGTGCCAATGTCGATGTCAGTTTTAATCAGTCTTAATGATGAATTTAACATCAGTGTAATATTCGCGGACGTACTAGTATGCGTATCAATACTATAATTAGTTTTGATATATTAGTATACTGATAGATTGTATAAACAGCTTAGTATACCAACACATTATAATGTATTCGAACAGTAATATGTTTGTATACCTGTATGTTTGTATGCTCTTAGTATATTAATGCATGCGTACGTTCGTGCATGAGTACATTAGTATATTGGTGTGCTATTATCTTCGATTATTAACATATTAGTGTATGAGTATCCTGGTATGCTACTTCATTTATCATATTCGTATATTATCTAACAACTTTTTTGGTATATCCATATGTTAGTATACCATTGCCATGTGTCAGTGTACTTGCATATTACAGTATTCGTGTCTTAGCAAGTTAGCATATCAATACAGTATAATCAGACGTTAACAAGTAGTATATTGTCACGTTGGAAACTGGGTATATGACAAATTAAATACGAATATACTACGTTAGTACACGAATGCATTGATATATTTGCTTTTCAGATAGTGGTATGTATACCTGCGGACATTAGTATACGCAGGTGTCTGTTAGTATTGGCATTAATATCAATATGAATATGACTATTGGTAGGCGTAGGAGTATTAATGTTAATAATAGTATTAGTAATGTGCATATTCGTAATAAAAGCATTAATATAAATGTCAATGTTAGTGTTAAAAGCACTACACAGTAATCTTACTTGAGTCATATATAGAGGACATTCCAGCATTTCCAAAATTTCCAAATTTTCCAAAATTCTCTCCCCTAACTTTCCGGATTTCCTAAATTTCCAAAATTTCCAAAATTTCCAAATTTCCAAAATTTCCAAAATTTCCCGACCTAGTCGACAGGATTTTTCCAAAACATAAGGGCGGACTTTTTGGAAATTTTGGAAATCTTGGAAATCCGGAAAGTTAGGGGAGAGAATTTTGGAAATTTTGGAAATGCTGGAATCTGCTCTATATATGACTCAAGTAAGATTACTGTGTATAGTGCTTACTATGTAGTGTATCAGCACAACCCTCATCCATACACGTGTGCTCTGTAATTCTTTTCTTGGTAGGACACCCGCGCGCCTTATCGTGCTGCTTTCTGGTCTCAGTCTTTTGGTGGTTCCAGGGATACGTTCGGAGGGCTCAAACTCGATACCCCGGAAAAAGCACGAACACGCCGGTGGGAGCGATGTTTTGAAGGGGATGGTCTGTCATGGGGGGGGGGTGACCATATATATATATATATATATATAGAGATGCACATATATCCACATCCCTCACGCAAAAGCTTCAAACACTCAGGGAGCCCCAAGCTAAAGCTGAAAACGCAATCAGATAAGCCCAATTAGCTCCAGACGAGTGTCAGGTGTTTTAGGGTTCAGGGGAGTATATAGAACCTGCGCGTTGAGAATTACGGGTTTTGTCAGTTTTGATGACTATTCTGCTTCTTGTTCCCGGCAATTCCCACCTCCTAGCTAGTCGTGATTGGGTAGTAGGCTGTAAGAAGGCATAGTACGTGGCCAGAACTCATCACCTCGTCGTTACACCACGAA